CTTTGCCTTCAAGGTACGCTTCCTAAGGTTGAAACAAAAGAGAAGAAAATAAAATACACAAAGAAAATGGTCGCATGCTGAACAGTCTCCATCTCCTCGCCCTCGCCTTGTGTCCCTTGCAGTTGGTTGACAACCATCAACTGGCATGCTCATGCCCCCAATAAATGCCAAGCAAAATGCCTCTCTGACAGTCTTCCTGCTCGAGGCACGAATGACAAGGCAGGACATCCGTGCTTGCTTCCATTTTTTCATGAACCCACCAGATGGCCGAGTGGTGGTACCAGACGGGAGAGCAGAAGCTCAGGGCGTCTTATTGCCATGCCATACCCTATCCCTGCTCACACCTCTCTGCTTGCCCTGCTTGCTCCTTTGCCTCCACTCCCTCGTTCTCAACACCCCATCAGATGGCCGAGTGGTGGTATCAGACGGGCGAACAGAAGCTGAGTGCGCCAACCGTGTACCCGCCACCGCCACCCCCACCTCCTCCCAAGGCAAGTTCTTTTCTTCAAAATTACGACAGCAAGCTCAGCGCTCCCACTGTGCCCTCTGCTCCACCATCATCCCCACCACCCCCAAGGCGAGGGCAGAAAAACGGTCAACCCACTCCCATCATCCATTTGTCTTACACGCCATTTCTTTGAGCCGATTCCCTTGTAACCCATTTCCTTCAGCAATTCCTTTTTTATCCTTTTCCTTCATCCCCTTCCCTTACAAGCCACTCGTGTCAAGCCATTCCCATATTATCATTTCCCTTCAGCCCATACGCTCGCAAGCCACTCCCTCGTCACCCATTCTCAGATAACTCGTTACTTTATAACTCATTCCCTTGTCTTCCCTTTTGTCTGGCCCAGGGTAGCCCCTGCAGGGGATCCCTCCCACTGCGTGCAGGCCCAACCCTGTGCTTTCTCATCCTCTGCTTTTGCTGCCAATCCCTGTTATCCCAACCGTCTCCCCCGTTTCCCCTTCTCTCCCTCCAGGTGGCCCCTGCAGGCATCCCAGTGCCGGCCGATCGCTCCCTGTGTCCGCTCTGCCTCTGCCGCCGCACCAACCCCACCGCCGCTGCCACCTCCGGCTTCATTTTCTGCTACCCCTGCATCTTTGCCTACGTGGATAAGGTTGGTAACCGTGTAACCCGGGCTGTAACTCCGGCTTCATCTTCTGCTATCCCTGCATCTTCGCCTATGTGGATAAGGTTGGTAACCGTGTAACCCCAGCTTCATTCTGTGTACCCCTGCATCTTTGCATACGTGGACAAGGCAAGTAATTCTTCACCCTGTGCTGATTGAAACAAATGTATACTGCCTCCGCTGCATTTTCGCCCACGTGGAAAGGGCAAGTACCAGTGCAATGGCGGAGGATCTTGCCTTCAATCCTCGCGTGTTGTTCACCTCATGCTACCACTGCGCCGTTGGTCATGTTGTGTTCTTTCTGCTCACATGTTCGCCTATCTTGCCAAGGTCAAAGGTGGCACTTGTTAGAAAACATGCCCAATGAGTGTTAGTCGCCTTTGCGGAATCGACTGTTTTGAGGGTAGGTGTCCAATGTGGTGCGCATGTTGAATCTTCTATTTTAACACCGTTAGAAGCAGCCTCACTAGAGCTCGTTCTGTATGTTCTGCAAAAGGGTTGCATGCGTGATATTTGATTTTTTCGTTTTCCAGCTTTTCAGCATGGTTTACATTACTTTGACGCAATCTGATGTTCTTTTCTGTCGCCTCCCCTCTGTGCTGTCTCCCCTCCCCGTCCTTTTTCCTATCCGACAATTCCCATCTCTCGCTTCTACGCTCCTCTCCTCTTTGCTCCTGCATCTCCTCTCAACCCTCCCTTCCACCATCCCACCAACATCTTCGCTCTCCAGTTTGGTCGCTGCCCCATCACCCACCACCCCACCACTGTGGACCAACTCAGGCGTCTTTTTCCAGATGCGTAACACTCTTACATTACTGAAAAGTGTTCTTTCCAACTTATGCGTTGAATCAAAAGACTAGAGAGGGTTGCCCCAGTTCCAGCTCGGAAACAGCTCAGGCAGGCACCTCCTTGCCGATGCGACACTGCACCCCTGGATGGGCTTGTTTCCAGTGTAGGCACCAATTCCAGACGCATACTGCTGTACACATTTGGTAGCACCAGCTTGTTGCACAATGTAGGTAGTAAGAAATTGTGTATTGATGCGTCGCGGAAATGCACAACACAATGATATTGAATCAAGCATTCTGTGATTTCTTTTAATACGTATAATTGAACAGTTTCACCGAGCATTAACCCATAACAATCCACATTTTGTAAAACATTTTAGAGTATGGATTTTACAGTAATTGAAATCTGTGAAAACACTTTTAACAGCCTTAAGGCTCGTTGTGCATGACAGTAACGCAAGCAAGGCATAACGGGCATGGCAGTAACGCTCCGCGCCACTTGCTGGTTCCGGTAGGTGGGGGGCGGCACCTTGCGCCGTACCGGGCCGCCTTGTCGAGCTACAAGATCCATGCACCTGCCGCCAGAAACACGATTCCTCCTCCCCTCCTCTCCCCCAGTCCTCGCTATCGCCTTATTCTGTACTGTGCGGTGCAGTGTGCTTCGTTACGTTACGCATGCATCTGTCCTCCCAAGCAGCGAGTGCTAGTGTACCGTAACCGACGTGACAATGTACAGTTGGAAATAAAAGCAGAGGATCCGGACTTTGAGAAGGGTAATATACGGTTATAGAACGGTGCAGTTTGATGACTGTCTGTATCACGTCGGCTGGGCTTGCGGGGTTGTTGAGTGATGAAGAGACTGTAGAGTGCCTGGTGGGTGCACTCGTACCACAGGGGAGAAGAGCAAGCTGCGAACTTCGGCTTCGACTGGAGGAGGAATTCGGCTAGGTCTGCTCACAGACGCACCAGGCCTGTAGTCAGCCCGCCGTTTCATTTCCATTGTCTGGCAATGCTGGGGAGTAGCGGGCTGTTCTAGTAGCAAGAGGTCGTTGGAAGCGCGGAGGCCTCGAGACTCTATTGACGTGAAGGGGATTTGTAGCAAGCGCTGATCGGCTCTTCTTCCCCGTGACACGCCGCTCGACGCATCGAAGCTTGCCCTTTTTTCCCTGGGCCCCGCCAAAGCCGCGCATTTTCCGCCACGATGCCTTCGCCTCGCGCTGTCGATTCGCCGCCTCGCCATTCGACGATCCCCACCTTCCGCTGCCGCCAGAGCCGTTCCGCCGCCCGCGTATACCCCGCGCGCGCATCGCGCTCCCCTTCCGCTCATTCACCCTCCGCGCGCTTCCCCCGTCGTGGCCGCGTCGGGGCTTCCGCCCTTCCGGGGACTCGGTGCGCAGCATGGCTGGCAGCTGTCGCAGTCGCAGTCGCCGTCGTCGCAATGGTGTCGCCTGCGACTGCTGGGCGACCCAACGTGCTGGATAACTTCCTCCCGCCCTGCCCCACCCTCGCCGAACCCACGAGTGCGCCTTTCCCCCTCCCCTTTCCCCCTCCCCTCCTCTCTTCCCCCTCTCGGCCTCCCTCCTCCTCGTTTCTACTCCCTCTTCCCCTCCTCCTCCACCTCCCCGTCTCCCTCCCCCTCACCGCCTTCTCCCTTTTCCCTCCCCCTCCCGGTTCCCTCCTCTTCGTTTTCTCCCTTCCTCTTGAATTTCCTCCTTCCGTCCGCCCATCCCCCCTCCCCACTGCCCCTCACTCTTCGCCGCATTCCCTCTCACCTCCCTCCCCTGCTTCCCCTTTACCCTCCCCCCCTTCAATCTCCTCTTTACTTCTCCCCCTCCCTGGCAGCGTACAAGATGTGGAGCGACCCGGCGACATGGGCAGGCGGGCCCATCCCAGGCCATTCTGCTCGACACCTCCCCCATCGCGCTCACGTTGCTCAACATCCGCGGCTTCCTGCGCGTGCTCGACTCCCGCCTCACATCTTCTTCCTCCTCCCCTCTTCTTCTTCCTCCCCTCCCCTCCCCTTTCCCCTCCCCATCCCCCCCTCCGCTTCTCCTTTTCCCTCCATTCAGCCTACAAGAAGTGGAGCGACCCAGCCTCATGGCCGGGAGGGACCATCCCAGGCCAGGGCGACGCCGTCGGCGCCAACGTCGCCATCGCGTGCGGGGAGGCAATCCTCAGTCCCCCTCCCCTGCTCCCCTCCCTCCCCACCAGCGTACAAGAAATGGAGCGACCCGGCGACCTGGGCGGGCGGGTCCATCCCGGGCCAGGGCGACGCCGCGGGAGCCAACGTCACCATCGCGTGCGGGGAGGCCATTCTCCTCGACACCTCGCCCGTCGCCCTCACTCTCCTCAACATCCGCGGCTTCCTGCGCGTGCTCGACTCCCCCGCACTCCCCAAAATCGACCTGTCGGCGGCGTTCGTAGTGGTGCAGGGGAACTTCTCCATCGGCACGCCGCAGCAGCACTTCCGGCAGCGGATCAAGATCACGCTCACGCCTAACCCCAACAACAGGGCGGACTATCTGTTCACGGAGAATCTTCCCGCGGAGCCCGCGTTTCCACGCAACCTCGGGCACAAGGCGTTTGCCGTGGTGAGTGATTGAATGAGTGGTTTAGTAGCGTTCGTAGTGGTGCAGGGGAATTTTTCCATCGGCACACCGCAGCAGCACTTCAGGCAGCGGATCAAGATCACGCTCACGCCTAATCCCAACAACCGCGCGGATTATTTGTTCACTGAGAATCTTCCGGCTGAGCCTGCGTTTCCGCGGAACCTTGGGCACAAGGCGTTTGCTGTGGTGAGTGATTGAGCGAGTCTCCTCTGTTCTCTCTCCGCCTCTGTTCTGCTACCCTCCTCCGCCCTCCTCTCCCCTCCTCCCCACTCTCTCCCCGCTCCCTCTCCCCTCACCTCACCCCCCCTCCTCTCCCCAACCTCCTCTTCTCCCAATGGCTCCTCTGTTGTTTTCACTTGAGCGGTCAGGTGAAAGTTACGTCCTAGTTGATACAAGTCTGTTGTTTTCCGTCGCCCTTATCCACCTCTGACACACACATTTTGTTGATTTGATACTCTTTAATCTGTTGCTGTCAGGTGGGCGGGCAGGTGGATTTCCACGGCATGCCAGGTGGCAGCAGCACGCCCGCGTGGACGAAGCTGACAGCGACAGCTCAGCCCAACGACCTGGTGATAACAGTGCAGGATGACGTCAGCGCGTGGCCTCTGGACGCCTTCGTTGTTGTCACATCCACCGACTATTTCCCGGACCAGGCCGAGGTCGTGGGGATTATCGATGGTATGTTGCGGAGCCATGGATGGAGGGTGGAGATAGTCTGGCCAGTTACGTGTGTGTGGGACGTGCGTGGGGGAATAGCTGGTGTCACATCCACCGACTACTTTCCAGACCAGGCAGAGGTCGTGGTCGTGGCCGTAAGGAGGGAAACCACTTGCAAACAGTTTGGAGTTCCCAAGAGAGTGCCAGGCAGGCTCATTGCAATACACTACTACCTAATCACCTCTCGCCTTCCCCAACTCCCTCCCTCCAGTGGTGGCGCCCCCTTGAAGCGGCTCAAAGACTGTAGTTTGAGAAGCTTCTTCGCTTGACTTGACCCGCGACGGAAGGGCGTGCTCTGACCAGACTCTCCATCATGCTCAACCCTCCATCCCCTCCTCCCTCCCAGTGGGCCCTCCCCTCAGGCGGTTCAAACAAAACTTCCTTGACAAACAAACCACTCCGCCTGATGCACTTTGGAGATCCCAAGGGCGTGCCGGACGGCTATGGCGGATTCATGGACCAACGGGCCGAAGTGGCCCTCCTCAACCGCACCATCGCCATCACAGCACATCCCTGCTGCCTAGCCTTCACTCTGGCCTCTGGTTGCTCTGCCACCGCTCGAACCACCACGCTCAACCATTCCGGACCCTCCCTCCCTCTTGCCCGCTGTCCCTCCCTCCCTCCGTCCTCCTCTCTCCCCCTCCCTTCAGTGGTGGCTCTCCCCTCCGGCAGCTCAAAAAACTTCCTGGAAAAAACTCTCCGGCTGATGCACTTCGGAGATCCCAAGGGCGTGCTTCACCAGAACCGCTCACCATGCTCACTGTTCCAACTCCTCTCTCCCTCACCCTCCTCCAAACTCCCCTTTCACCAGTGGTGGCCCTTCCTTCGGGCGGCTCGAAGATATTTTTGGAAAAGCCGCTGCGCCTGATGCATTTCGGAGATCCCAAGGGCATCCCCGACGGCTGGGGCGGCTTCGTGGACCAACGAGCGGAAGTGGCTCTGCTCAACCGCACCATCGCCATCACGGGAACAGACGAGCCCGCGCCGTACCACCGCGAGGGCGGGCACTTCATGATTTTTATGAGCAGCACGCAGCAGTTCATTGAAGGGGTGGAGTTTGCGCAGATGGGGCAGCAGGGCAAGCTGGGGCGGTATAATATTCACTTTCACGTGTGCGGAGATGATGGCGGACGGAGCGTTGTGCGCAAGAACGTGATGCATGACAGCAAGCAGGTGAGAAAAGGCTGGGAAGGGAAGCAGGTGGGGTGAGTGAGAGCAAACAGGGGAGGGATGGGAGCAAGCATGAAAAGCTGGGCCGGTATAACATTCATTTTCACGTGTGCAGGGATGACGGGGGGCGAAGCGTTGTGCGGAAGAACGTGATGCATGACAGCAAGCAGGTGAGAGGCCACTATATCCGAGGGTGGAGGTTTGCGAGAAGCAGGTGAGGGATGGGAGCAAGAAGGGGAAGCTGGGGCGGTATTATTTCCACTTTCACGTGTGCGGGAACGACGGTGGACGCAGCGTGGTGCGGAAGAACGTCATGCATGACAGCAAGAGGTGAGAGGGGATGATATCCAGTTGTGAGGGTTTGTGAGAAGCAGGTGAAGGGTGGGAGGGAGGAAACAGGTGAGAGAGCGGTGGTAGTGGGAAGAAGGTGAGGAGTGGTGCACCTTACTGTCATTTCCCACTCCCAGCACCTTGTCTTGCTGGGTCTCCCTGTATCCCCTTTTCTTCAGCACTGTGTGGTGTGGTGGTGCACGCGGCGTTCAACCAGAGCCTTCCTTTGCCCTCACACTGTTTGTTTGCTCCTTTCGCGCTCACTCTTGCGCCGTCTTTGTCCCGTTCGTTCCACCAGCGCTGTGTGGTGGTGCACACAACATTCAACCTGACAGTGGAAGAGAACGTGGCATACCACACGAGGGGGCACTGCTTCATGGTGGAGGAGGGGGGGGCGGAACCAGCAACGCAAACACCCTCCGTCCTCTGACCGTGTGTTTTTTTCTCTCTTCCTCTTCTCCTCCCTTTCCTGCAGCGCTGTGTGGTGGTGCACACGACATTCAACCTGACAGTCGAGGATAACGTGGCGTACCACACGAGGGGGCACTGCTTCATGGTGGAGGAGGAGGGGGAGACTGGCAACACAACGACACTCCTTGCTCTCACCCTATTCTCTTTGCTCTCTTCCTCGTCTCCTCCCTTTCCCCACCAGCGCTGTGTGGTGGTGCACACGACCTTCAATCTCACCGTAGAGGAGAACGTGGCATACCACACGAGGGGGCACTGCTTCATGGTGGAGGAAGGGGGGGAGACCGGCAACACCTTCCTGCGCAACCTTGGCATCTGGACTCGCGCAGGTGCGGTGAATCTGGTCAAGAGCAGGTGAGGTGGGGCAGCTAGAGGACGGGGCATCTGGATTCTGGACTCGTGCACCAAGGCGGAAGAGACGGATGACAGCCCGTCCACCTTCCCTTGTCCACCTTCCCATGTCCACCTTGCATCCCCACCCCATCCCATGTCCACCTTCCCATGTCCACCTTCCCATGTCCACCTTCCCATGTCCACCTTGTTGGGGTTACACCATTTCATCTCTCTCCCCAACCGTCCCCTTCTCTCCCCCCCACGCCTCCCGGCTTTCCTCTTTCCCTCTCAACAGTGGAAGTTCTCATCCCACCCCACTGTCATCCGATCCCACCAAGCCAGAGAAGACGGGCAACAACCCGACCACCTTCTCACCTACCATACACGCTTCATTGCCCCCCATCCTCCCCTTTCCCCCCCACCCCCATCCCTCTCTTGCCAGTGGAGGCGCTCATTCCGCTGTCATCCGACCCCATGAAGACAGAGGAGGCGGGCGACAATCCGACCACCTTCTCACCCACCCTGCACGCTTCCATGCCCATCGTCCTCCCCCTTCCCTCCCTCCCCTTTCCCCCCTCAACAGTGGAGGTGCTCATCCCACTCTCGTCCGACCCCACCAAGACCGAGGAAACAGATGACAACCCGTCCACGTTTTGGATCACCAACCCCAACAACAACCTCATTGGGAACGTGGCTGCTGGCTCTGAGAACTCGGGGTAAGCTCTTCTGCTACTCTCTGTGCACATCTGACCTTAGACGGGTGGGTGGGGAGCAAGTAACCATCATTGCAGGCAGGGCAGAGCATCACCAACCCCAACAACAACCTCATCGGGAACGTCGCTGCTGGCTCTGAGAACTTTGGGTATGCTCTGAGGACTCGGGGTACGTTGTGATTAGTGCGCCAGCAACCCATCTACCTTCTGGATCACCAACCCCAACAACAACCTCATCGGGAACGTGGCTGCTGGCTCTGAGAACTCGGGGTAAGCTCTTCTGCTCTTCTCTCTGTGCTCGTGTGGCTTTAGACAGCTGCTGGCTCTGAGAACTCGGGGTATGTTTCGATCAGGCCATGTTCTGTGCTGGTTAGAGCACCAACATCATACAGACAGGGGTACGTTGTGATTAGAGCACCAACATCATACAGACAGGGGTACGTTGTGATTAGAGCACCAACATCATACAGACAGGGGTACGTTGTGATTAGAGCACCAACATCATAAGGGTACGTTGTGATTAGAGCACCAACATCATACAGACAGGGGTACGTTGTGATTAGAGCACCAACATCATACAGACAGGGGTACGTTGTGATTAGAGCACCAACATCATACAGACAGGGGTACGTTGTGATTAGAGCACCAACATCATACAGACAGGGGTACGTTGTGATTAGAGCACCAACATCATACAGACAGGGGTACGTTGTGATTAGAGCACCAACATCATACAGACAGGGGTACGTTGTGATTAGAGCACCAACATCATACAGACAGGGGTACGTTGTGATTAGAGCACCAACATCATACAGACAGGGGTACGTTGTGATTAGAGCACCAACATCATACAGACAGGGGTACGTTGTGATTAGAGCACCAACATCATACAGACAGGGGTACGTTGTGATTAGAGCACCAACATCATACAGACAGGGGTACGTTGTGATTAGAGCACCAACATCATACAGACAGGGGTACGTTGTGATTAGAGCACCAGCATCATACAGACAGGGGTACGTTGTGATTAGAGCACCAGCATCATACAGACAGGGGTACGTTGTGATTAGAGCACCAACATCATACAGACAGGGGTACGTTGTGATTAGAGCACCAGCATCATACAGACAGGGGTACGTTGTGATTAGAGCACCAACATCATACAGACAGGGGTACGTTGTGATTAGAGCACCAGCATCATACAGACAGGGGTACGTTGTGATTAGAGCACCAGCATCATACAGACAGGGGTACGTTGTGATTAGAGCACCAGCATCCCGTCCACGTTCCGGATCACCAACCTCAGCTATAACAATTTCACTTGCACCCGACAGACAGTTGCTTCCGTTGCTCCCTCGCTCCATACCCCTTTGCTCCCCTCCTCCTCCCTCCAATGTACACTTTCTGGATCTCCCAGCACCAACGGCCCCCTTTGGCATTTACCTCTCTGCTCCATATCCCTTACCTCCCCTTACCACTCTTCCCCCTCCCTCACTTCCCTCACCACCCACTAACCAGTTATTGGATGGAGCTGAGAGAACCCTGTGCGCGGATTCACTCTCTCCTACCCAGACTGAAGGCCACTGTGCCACACGCCCTTGCCCATGCCCTGTGCTTTCCACCTCCTCTTCCTCTTTCCTCTCCCTCCCAACCAGCTATTGGATGGAGCTGAGGGACAGGGTGCGCGGCTTCACGCTCTCCTACCCCGGGCTCAACGCCACAGTCCCCGCCAACGGCCCCTTTGGCATCTACCGGGATAACGTGGCTCACAGCAACAGAGGGCCGGGGTGGAGGACGTATCCCAAGGGGGTGCGACCCAGGCAGACTTGGTCGCTGGACTCTCCCATCCCTCAGGTAAGGGTGAAGGGCTCGCGTGGTTCAAGACCTAGGTGATCTCTGGGCCGACTGAAATGTCAACGCCACCGTCCCTGCCAACGGTCCCTTTGGCATCTACCATGACAACGTGGCTCACAGCAACCGAGGTCCGGGGTGGAGGACTTGTCCCAAGGGAGTCAGACCAGGCAGACATGGTCCCTTGACTCTCCCATCCCTCAGGTAAGTGGGGGGAAACAGGGGGTCCACCATCAGCTGGCTGCCACTCCCTTATGTCCTCGAACCCCTCACGACCCCACTCCACCGCTCCCCCCACCCGCGGTGGCAGTGGAAGCCCTCTACGGGCACCATCAGTGGACTGCTGCTCGCTTGCTTGCACAATGCATGTGCTCATGCATGTGTGTGTATGCGCACATCCCCACACGTCCCCACCCTCTCCCGCCTCCCGCAGTGGCAGTGGAAGCCGTCTACAGGCACCATCAGCGGGCTGCTCTCTTCTTTTACTCGCACAATGCACATGTCACGTGTACATAACTCATACGCGTATGCCTATGCCTATGCCTACGCCCCACCCCACCCACCACCCGTAGTGGCAGTGGAAGCCGTCTACAGGCACCATCAGCGGGCTGCTGCCTTACTTGGCGTTACGTGTACAAATCTCATATGTGTGTACACACACTCACCCCCACCCGAAACCTTGCCCCACCCGCAGTGGCAGTGGAAGCCGTCTACAGGCACCATCAGCGGGCTGTTGCTCTACAAGCAATCCGGAGACGGGTGAGTGAGAGTGGTTTGGAGGGGCGGTGAGTGGCTTGGAGGGGCGGTGAGTGGCTTGGAGGGGCGGTGAGTGGTTTGGAGGGGCGGTGAGTGGCATGGAGGGGCGGGTAAGTGAGTGAGTGGATTGAAGGGCAGCAAGATGGCTCTTGCGTAAAATCTTTGACACTTTTCACGCCCCAAACTGTCTATCTGAGACCAGTCTATGCTGTGCTAGAATTGAGGTGGGGTCACAACTCCCACTAACTACCCCACCTTCTCTTCCAACCCCCTACTTCTCCCAACCACCAGTCTGTTCGTGCACAATTTAGATGGGCTCATCATCACCAACTTGCCGACAATCGCCAGGGGGTGAACCTGCTGGGCAACACGGGCGTGAAGGTAGCAGACAGCCGCACTCAGTCCTTCTGAGAATTTAGCCTGCCGGACGGAACACACCGTCTCTTCCCCACTCCCCCCCACCCCACCCCTTCTCCTGCCTCCCCCCCCCAACGCGCGCCAGTCTGTTCGTGCACAATTCAGATGGGCTCATCATCACCAACAGCACCTTTGCTGACAACCGGCAGGGGGTGAACCTGCTGGGCAACACGGGCGTGAAGGTAGCAGACAGCCGGTTCATTGGGGTGACCCCCAACTATGGCAACCCACGCATGTGTGACTCCACGCCGCAGATGTGTGGGCCTGTCACTGGCTGCGAGTGAGTATAGCCTGTGATGGGAGGGTTTCAGTCAGTATTGGGATGGAGCAGAGGGAGTGAGGGAGCAGGGAACAGACTGAGAGGGTGACAGAGAGCCGGTTGGTTGGGGTGACCCCCAACTACGGCAACCCGCGCATGTGTGACTCCACGCCGCAGATGTGTGGCCCTGTCACCGGTTGAGAGTGAGTGCTGATGGGGGGTGTGGGTGGGGAGTGAGGAAGCAGAGGAGTGAGGAAGCTGAGGAAGTGATAAAGAAGAGGGTGTGCGGCACCAGAGGGAGTGAGGGAGCAGCAGCAGGGATGAGAGAGCAGGGGGGATTTAGAGAATATCCAGGTAGTGCACTGGAAGAACCCCATTTTTGGCTTCACCAATCTGTGCGCCGTGCTGTGCTCCTGTGTGTGGGCATGTGCTTTCGTGTGCTTCCCCCTCGCAGTTTCCCCCTGGCCCCCGGGCAGCAGGGCCGGTCACAGGTGGTCGCATTGGAAGAACCCCATCTTCGGCATCATTATCACTCTCTGTGCTGTTTTTGTGTGTGTGTGGGTATGTGTGTTCGTGTGCCTCCCCACGCAGTTTCCCCCTGGCACCAGGGCAGCAGGGGCGGTCACAGGGGTGGTCGCACTGGAAGAACCCCATCTTCGGCATCATCATCGACCAGCCCACCTTCGGATTCGACTTCGCCCGCGCCCATGCCATCTCCAACTGCCGGTCAGTGCCTTGCCCATGCCATGCCGTCTGTAACTGCCGCTGGGGAGTCTTAAGAGGCTGAGACGTCTCAAACTCCCATCTTCGGCATCATCATCGACCAGCCCTCCTTTTGGTTCGACTTAGCGTGCGAGCATGCCATCTCCAACTGCCGGTGAGGGTCTCAGGACCTTGCCCTCTCTCCATCCACCCATCTGCTCACGCCCATCCGTCATCTCTTGGTGAATTCTTACACCACCCCTTCTCCCCAACCTCTTTCCTGGCCTCTTTCCGCACACAATCTCATCCCTCCCCACTGCTCCACACCCCTTGGAACCTCACCCCACGGCGCCCTACCTGACTTCACCGCACTGAACCTCTGTGCAGGTTCCACGCGTTTGACAGCACGTGCCGCCTAGCTGCTGCCATCGGCACGGGCATCAACGGAGCTCCCAAGGACACATGGGCCACGGCCACCAGCGTGCAGGTGAGAGCCTTTCTTTCTTATTGCCTATGGTTGGTGGCGACCGTTGTGCTGCGTGCACCCTCCACCTTCATTGTGCTGCCATTGGCGTGGATGGGGGCATCAACGGAGCTCCCACGGACACGTGGGCCACAGCCACCAGTGTGCAGGTGAGAGCCTTTCTTTCTTATTGCCTATGGTTGGTGGCGACCGTTGTGCTGCGTGCACCCTCCACCTTCATTGTGCTGCCATTGGCGTGGATGGGGGCATCAACGGAGCTCCCAAGGACACATGGGCCACGGCCACCAGCGTGCAGGTGAGAGCCTTTCTTTCTTATTGCCTATGGTTGGTGGCGACCGTTGTGCTGCGTGCACCCTCCACCTTCATTGTGCTGCCATTGGCGTGGATGGGGGCATCAACGGAGCTCCCACGGACACGTGGGCCACAGCCACCAGTGTGCAGGTGAGATGGGGGCTCCACATGCATGCAACATGGTCGTTCACCTCACTCACCGGCTGTTACCACTATGAGCACTGTGCGCCTTCGTGCTGCTGCCATTGCACCAGCAGTACCACTGACCTCTTTCTCCTCCTCAACCACATTTCTCCTTCTCCCGTCCATGCCCCCACCCCTCTCATCCCAACCCTCTCATCCCACCCAAATCATCCGACCCCTCTCAACCCATCCAATCTGATCCCACCATGGCAGGCTGTGACAGGCACGCCAGGCACCAACATGCTTTACTTCCCGCCCCGCAACTTCACCTTTCCCGTGAGTGTTGCTGAAGCACATGCACTCACTGAGTTTATGGAATTAAGGCCTCTGCAGTCCAGTTTTAGGACGTCTCACAACTCTCTCTCGCAACTTCACCTTTCCCGTGAGTGTTGCTGAAGCACATGCACTCACTGAGTTTATGGAATTAAGGCCTCTGCAGTCCAGTTTTAGGACGTCTCACAACTCTCTCTCGCAACTTCACCTTTCCCGTGAGTGTTGCTGAAGCACATGCACTCACTGAGTTTATGGAATTAAGGCCTCTGCAGTCCATTTTTAGGACGTCTCACAACTCTCTCTCGCAACTTCACCTTTCCCGTGAGTGTTGCTGAAGCACATGCACTCACTGAGTTTATGGAATTAAGGCCTCTGCAGTCCAGTTTTAGGACGTCTCACAACTCTCTCTCGCAACTTCACCTTTCCCGTGAGTGTTGCTGAAGCACACGCACTCACTGAGTTTATGGAATTAAGGCCTCTGCAGTCCAGTTTTAGGACGTCTCACAACTCTCTCTCGCAACTTCACCTTTCCCGTGAGTGTTGCTGAAGCACATGCACTCACTGAGTTTATGGAATTAAGGCCTCTGCAGTCCAGTTTTAGGACGTCTCACAACTCTCTCTCGCAACTTCACCTTTCCCGTGAGTGTTGCTGAAGCACATGCACTCACTGAGTTTATGGAATTAAGGCCTCTGAAGTCCAGTTTTAGGACGTCTCACAACTCTTTCTCGCAACTTCACCTTTCCCGTGAGTGTTGCTGAAGCACATGCACTCACTGAGTTTATGGAATTAAGGCCTCTGCAGTCCAGTTTTAGGACGTCTCACAACTCTCTCTCGCAACTTCACCTTTCCCGTGAGTGTTGCTGAAGCACATGCACTCACTGAGTTTATGGAATTAAGGCCTCTGCAGTCCAGTTTTAGGACGTCTCACAACTCTCTCTCGCAACTTCACCTTTCCCGTGAGTGTTGCTTGGGCACACGTGGCAAGCCCTCGGCCGTGGTTGAGTTCTGCTAGCAGTGTGGGCGGTGGTTAGCCGTCGTCCCATATTCATAAGCCTGGCCTTTGGCTCACTATGCCAGCTGTTAGCCCTCTAATCACCTCAGCATCCCCACTTCCCCACTACCTTCTAGCCATCAAAACCGCCCTGCTAGCACCTTTTCTCTATGTCTTACCCACATCCCTTTTTCCTCTATTTCTTACCCACCACTACCCACCTTCACAGGGCGGTGACGTGAACCTTGGAGGAGAAGCAACAGACCTCTACACCCTGCGGGACAAAGACGGCTCTCTGCTCAACGCCTCCCCCAGAGGCTACCTACTGGCCAACAACACAGCCCTGCTAACACCTTTCTCCGTTTCTCACCCGCCTCCTCCCACCCTCACAGGGAGGAGACGTGAACATGGGAGGAGAGGCAACGGACCTCTACACCTTGTGGGACAAAGACGGCTCTCTCCTCAACTCCTCTTCAGGAGGCTACCTACTCGCCAACAACACCGCTCTGCTGGCCCCCACCAAGCGCTTCCCCGCGTGCCAGCCCGTGTCCTCTTGGAACGCCTATGCGTGCCCTTGCACGTGCTATCGCACCGTCATGTTCTCTTATCTGGAGCCGGGGTTTACTGTGTATGACAACAGCAGCGTGCCCGACATACGCAAGAGAGGCGACTTCAGGTGAGGCAGGAAATGGAGCTGGGGTGAATGAACAGTCATGCGTGACCCGGGCACGTGCAACCGCACGGTCATGTTCACTTATCTGGAGCCGGGGTTTGCTGTGTATGATAACAACAGCGTTCCCGACACACGCAAGCGAGGCGACTTCAGGGGAGGGGGAATGGAGGGGGTGGTGAGCGGCGAGAATGATTGCTGGATTTGTGAACTGGAACTGAATGTGCTTTTGATGATGCCCCGACTTACCATCCTATTTACTTTATTTTAACCGCATTTTACCCCATTGATACCCTTTCCCACCCAACTACCTCTCTATTCGCCGCATAGAGAACGACACAGTGATCACAGTGGACGGCAATCTGCGGTCGGTGGGCAACACATGATCCCGTATCTGCTACCCTGCACCTTCTACCCCTCCTGCTTCCCCTTTCTGACTCTTCCCATCCCAGCTACCTCTCCATTCGTCGCATAGAGGACGACACAGTGATCACAGTGGACGGCAATCTGCGGTCGGTGGGCAACACATGATGCCCCAATTGTACCCTCATTCTAACCCCTTGTTACCTTTTCCCGACCCCAGCTACCTCTCAATCCGCCGCATAGAGGACGACACAGTGATCACAGTGGACGGCAATCTGCGGTCTTTTGGCAACATGTGGGCGGCGGGGCAGCGAATCTTCGTGGTGCCCCTGCTGGCGAACGCCACGTACGAGGTCAACATAGGGTTACCGAGCAACAATCGCGCCTTCTTCCCCAGCAACATCACGGTGCAAGTGCGCGACAGCAACGGGTGTGGTGGGCCGGTCACTCTGAGGATTCCGGCGAAGCAGAGCAACCAGTGGATGATTAATGAGGAGCAGGACGTCAACTGGAAGTGAGTGCTGTTGGTGGTGCTGGTGCTGGTGGCGCTGCTACTGTTTGTTGCTGGTGTGATCATATGAGAGCATTACCAGTCAGCCCGGTGACTCCGAGGATTCCGGCCCGGCCAAGCAGAGTAACCAGTGGATGATCACCAAGGAGCAAGACGTCAATTGGAAGTGAGTAGTGCTGGTGCTATTTGGTAGTGCTGATGCTGGTGGTGCTGCTGGTGTGTGTCGCTGGTACGATCGCATAACTGCACTAGTGGTGCGGCCGGTGACTCTGAGGATCCCGGACAGGCAGAGCAACCAGTGGATGGTTAATGAGGAGCAAGACGTGAACTGGAAGTGAGTAGTGCTGCTCTCAGTGCTTCAAGTTCAGGCCCACCCTCCACCTGCCCTTTCCCCACCCTCCACCTGCCCTTTCCCCACCCTCCACCTGCTTTTTCCCCACCCTCCACCTGCTTTTGCCCCACCCTCCACCTGCTTTTTCCCCACCCTCCACCTGCTTTTTCCCCACCCTCCCGCCCCTCCCCCCACACACAATCCCCCCTCCCGTCCCCCCCCCCCCCCCACACACAATCAAACATCAGGACCTGCGCTGGCACATCAGACAAAGCAGCGGTGCAGTTTTCATTCGTGTGCTTCAAGTTCAAGCCCACCGTTGAGCTCTCCTTCGACGGCACCTCCTCCAAGCCCATTGTGCTCCGCGCCTCCCCCGACCCCGTCACTGGCTGTCGCCTCCCCTAGTAAGCGCCTCCCCTAGTAAGCGCCCAGGGTTGAAGGTGTGCCTCCCCTGGTAAGCGCCTCCACTGGTAACCTCCACTAGTAAGCGCCTCCACTAGTGAGCTCTCATTCGTGTGTTTCAAGTTCAAGCCCCATCGAGCTCTCCTTCGATGGAACTTCCTCCAAGCTCATTGTGCTCCGCGCCTCTGCTGACCCTGTCACCGGCTGTCGCCTTCCCTAGTAAGCGCCTCCCTGATCTCTGTTACCATGTTCTTGCTCCCCGAGAATTTGCCTCCCCTAGGAGTCACTGCCTCCCCCAACCTTGCCACTGGTCACAACTTGCATGCTTACAAGAAAACCATCGCTGTGCTATCTCGCCCCATCGCCTAATCCTTCCCTATAGGTCACCTTCTCCCAACACCAGTTGCAGTGGGTGGGTTATCCTTCGCCCCGGGATCCACATAGGGGAGTCCTCCTGGGCGATCGGCATATGCGAGCTGTGAACGACTCGAGTGGCAGGGAGCTGCATGCTTGAGTTGCTCCAGTGCGGCTGTTGGTTCCAATCCCCCTTTCTCGTCCTCTCTCCCCTATTCACTCCACTTCACCATCTCTCCTTACCACCAGTCGCTGCGGGCTCATAGCACTGGGGTCCACGTGGGCATATGACGTGAGTGGCAGGGAGCTGCATGCAGCAATGCTTCTTCTAAGTAGTCTCTTTTCCCAACTCCCTCAATGCCCTCACCCACCCACCACCAGTCGCTGTGGGCTCATAGCACCAGGGTCAACATGGGCGTACGACGTGAGTGGCAGGGAGCTGCATGCAGCAATCTCGGGCGCCATGGGCTTCAGCTCTCCGCGCTTCAACGACGCCTCCTGGCCCCGCGGCCCGGCCATCATTGGCTATGCTGGATGTACGTTTGTATGGGGGTGCGGTCATGCAGGGCATGGCATGTGGGCACATACAGACACACAGCGTGAGCAGCAGTGACGAGCGCCATGGGCTTCAGCTCTCCGCGCTTCAACGATGCCAGCTGGCCCAGGGGAACCGCCATTATTGGCTATGCTGGATGTACATGCGTGTGTGTGGGTGCCATGGCATGACATGTGGGTAGGGACAGACAGCATGAGCAGCAGTGGGGTGGCATCAGCACGTGGGCACTGCCTTCAGGAGACGCCTTACCCACCTTTTACTATCTCAGGCTAACACCTTGACACGCCTTCGGCCTAACACACCTTTTCCCACCTATCCTCCATTTTCCTTCACAATACGCCAGTGTGATGGTGCGGCATCAACACGTGGACACCCCCCTCGGGGGACGTGCTTCCAACCTTCTACTACCGCAGAGCATGCCTTAACACACCTTTCTGCCACCTCTCCTCCGCCATCTCTCAACTACCAGTTTCAACCCCCCAGGGCAGTGAGGCGGCATCAGCACATGGACACCCCCGTCAGGAGACGCCCTTTCCACCTTCTACTACCGCAGCAGAGTGACACCACAACACGCCTTCTACTCAACGCACACCCCCGTCAAGAGACGACCTACCCACCTTCTACTACCGCAGCAGAGTGACACCAGCTCAACACACCCTTCCTCCCCTTCCTTTCCCCTTCTTGACCACCTTTCACAACCCCCCAGGGCGGTGGGGAGGCATCAACACGTGGACTCCACCCTCAGGAGATGCGCTCCCCACCTTCTACTACCGGCGGCCGTTCCGAGTGGCCAACAGCGCGTGTGCTCATGCTCTCGTGCTCCAAGTCATCTCATCTCAAAGCCCCTTGGTTTCTCAGCAGCACGCTTCCGCCCACCCTTTCTCTCTCCGTCTCAACCACCCATTTGAACCCCCCAGGGCGGTGGGGAGGCATCAACACGTGGACTCCACCCTCAGGAGATGCGCTCCCCACCTTCTACTACCGGCGGCCGTTCCGAGTGGCCAACAGCGCCTGTGCCACGGGGCTGTATGTGGACGTGATAGTGAATGACGGCGTGCTGCTGTACCTGAATGGGGTCGAGATGCTGCGAGTCAACATGGCTCCTGGCGCTGTCAACGTGTCGTCACGGGTGAGACTAGCATGTAGCGGCGGTGTGTTAATGAGGTGTGGAAGTATAACAGCTCAAAAGTCACCTGGAGGCGGTGCGGTGCTGCTGCCCGGGATTGTGTGTGCCACGAGGCTGTATGTGAATGTGATTGTGAACGATGGCATGCTGCTGTACCTTAATGGGGTCGAGATGCTGCGAGTCAACATGGCACCCGGTGCCGTCAACGCGTCTTCACGGGTGAGAGCAGCGTTACTGAATCCCATCTCTTGCGCAGCATCATGCAAGCGCACGCATGCACGTGCGATGGAGCTTAAATGAGATGAGAGGAAAACTCATAGACGCCATGGTGCCCTTCTCCTTCCATCCTTCCCCGCTTTCTCCCTCCCCTTCCCCATCCCTTTTCTCTTCCTCTCTGTAATAGGCCCTTTTGAACCAGGGCCTATGGGAACTAATCCTCTCAACATTCCCCCCCTCTTGCATGCACACACCTCCTTCCCAAATTCTCTCTATTCCACAGGCCCTGCCCTATCGAACAAGGACGTGTGGGATTACACGTCCTTCTTCATCCCTCCCTCTCAACACCCTTCTCTTTCCCTTCCCTTTTTTCTCCCTACCATCGTGACTGCCCCCTCCTCCCACACCACCCCAGGCCCTGTCAAACAAGGACGTGTGGGACTACATGTCCTTCTTCATCCCTCTCAACGCCACAGCGCCTTTCTTGTTCCCCTCTTTCCCTCATTCCCCGTCATTCTGCCTCTCCGTCCTCACCCACGCCGCCCTTATTTTCTCCAGGCCTTATCGAACAAGGACGTGTGGGACTACACGTCCTTCTTCATCCCTCTCAACGCCACAACACGTTTCTCCTTCCCTTCTTTCCCTCGTTCCCCTCCCCCTTCCGCACACCCGCTTCCTTCCTCACCCTCCCTTCCTTCCTCACCCCTCCAGGCCCTATCAAACAAGGACCTGTGGGACTACACGTCCTTCTTCATTCCTCTCAACGCCACAGCACCCTTCTCTCTGGCGGAGGGCACCAACCACATTGCCGCCGAATCACACGCTGCCATCTGGACCACTGAGAACTTCTTTGACCTCAAGCTGTCCGCTCAGATGGAGTGAGTTGATTTAACTCACTCCATCTGTCAGTTGATTTACCAAATCAACTCACAGATGGAATGATTGTATGTGTGTGCCCGAAGTTGTATGCCTTGTTGATTTCTACGACGTGTTTCGTAGTGTAGTATAGGTTTCACCAGCCTGAGTGTTTGCTTTTTTTATTATCTTTCTTCATTGGATTGGTTACTCGAGGCCCCTCCACTCCACACATTCTGAAACGCCTTGTCACTCTCTCCGCTCTCTTCTCGCCCTTCTCCTCTTCTCCCCACCGAGCAGTAGTGCAACGTGCAGCGAATGCTGATTCTGCAGGAGGTGACTTAAGTTCCCTCACTCTCCCTACCCTCTTCTCCTCTCCCCCCTCTTCTCCTGCCCTTCCCGTTGCCCTTGCCACCAAGCAGTAGTGCAACGTGCAGCGGAGTGCTGATACTGCAGGAGGTGTGCGATGGGCTCGACAACAACAACGACGGTGAGCGGGTGGATGGTTGGTGGGCGGGTGGATGGTTGGTGGGCGGGTGGATGGTGGTGGGCGTGTGGATGGTTGGTGGGCGGGTGGATGGTTGGTGGGCGGGTGGATGGTTGGTGGGCGGGTGGATGGTTGGTGGGCGGGTGGATGGTTGGTGGGCGGGTGGATGGTTGGTGGGCGGGTGGATGGTTGGTGGGCGGGTGGATGGTTGGTGGGCGGGTGGATGGTTGGTGGGCGGGTGGATGGGGGTGGGCGGGTGGATGGGGGTGGGCGGGTGGATGGGGGTGGGCGGGTGGATGGGGGTGGGCGGGTGGATGGGGGTGGGAGGGATCGAGCAGAACCAAACCCCACTCTCACCTGTCAATTCACAGGCAAGGTAGACATAGACCTGTCACCTGCGCACCGACCTGCCTCTCACCGCCGCTGCCATCCGTGCCCCATGCCTGCCTGCCCTGCTGCTCTCAATGCCCATCCGTGTGCTTCCACCCATCATTCTCCACACCACCCCACGTGAAAAAAGGAGTGTTTTGAGACGTCTCAAAACATCATTCTCCACACCACCCCACCTGACCCTCGCCCCCCCAGTGTCAACCTGTCTGCCTGTCTGCATCACCCATCCCAACCCATCCAACTAACATGCAACCCACAGGCAAGATCGACATTGATCCGCTCACTAATAGGCCTCTCACGCGCCCGTGCCGCAACCCCTGTGGGGCTGGTATTGAGACGTGCATTGACCACCCATCTCAGCTTCCCCCCTCCCTCCCTCCCTCCCCTCAATCCACAGGCAAGATCGACATTGATCCGCTCACTGATAGGCTTCTCACCAGCCCCTGCCATCCATGTGTGCACATCCCTTCCGCGGCTCATCACGACTCCCTTTCCCTCCCGCCCCACCCTTCACCCCACAGGCAAGATCGACATAGATCCGCTCACGGACCGCCCTCTCACCCGCCCGTGCCGCAACCCTTGTGGGGCAGGAATAGAGACGTGCATCGATGGAGCGTACCAGAACTGCACTGCTCCCGTGCACGGGCCTGAAGTGTGAGTGGGGTGCTGGGATAGGGAGTGGTGTGCCGGGATGGGGAGTGGTGTGCCGGGATGGGGAGTGGTGTGCCGGGATGGGGAGTGGTGTGCGGAGGGGTTGGTGGTGCATGGCACTGTCAGGGACTGTGAGTCGTCGGGACGAGAAGCAAGTTCTACACTTTTTCCTTCCCAGTCCCCTTTTCCTCTCCAATGCTCTCTCGCCGTTCATCCTTTTCTCACTCCCCTACCCTCCCCATTCAGCTGCAATGGTGTGTATGACAACTGTGACGGCCTGATAGACAACTCCGCCTCCCCATCTTCAAGGGCAGTGCCTGGTGTGAAAGGTGTCATCCCCTTTCTCATTCCTCCCACTCCTCCCTCTCCTCCCTCCCCTTCCTCTCCTTTCCCCTTCTCTCCAATCAGCTGCAACGGGGTGGATGACAACTGTGACGGTCTCATCGACAACTCGCCTTCCCCAACCACTCCTCAGCTCGACTGTGCCAACGGCTCCCTGTGCTTCAAGGGGTAGTGCCTGGTGTGAAAGGCGTTATCCTCCTTCTCATCCCTCTCTCGCTTTCTTCTCCTCCCTCTCTTCCCCATCAGCTGCAACGGGGTGGACGACAACTGTGACGGTCTCATCGACAACTCTGCCTCCCCAACCACTCCCCAACTCGACTGCGCGAACGGCTCACTGTGCTTCAAGGGGCAGTGCCTGCCGTACGGCCCTCTCACCACACCCGTTACAGTGGTCAACAAGAGCGCTGCTGGGTGGCTCTACTATGATAAGGGGTACCTGCCCCAGTCCTACCCCACCTGGAGCACCAACAGGTGAGCGTGAGACCGTGGGAGCATGAGACCGTCCTTGCTTTTAGTCGCCTCAAAAACCTTCTGCCTGTCACTTGAGGCACCCCTGCTTGTGCTATACTCGGCCAGAAGCAACCCTGCTGCCGTAGTCTTCTTCTCTGCCCCCTCCCATTCCCCCCTCCCTCCTTCCTCAAACAGCTTCTTGTTCTGAAACGTCTCTCCCACTCATGGCACCCTCTCTTGCGACTCCCACCCTTAACTGCATCGTCCCACTCCCCTCTGCTCTTCTTTCTTCACTTCAACGTGCCAGCGCGTCTACTCAAGGAGGGCGCAGCACCGTTTGGCTTCAACTCAGCGACAGCCACCGCCACCAACCTCTCTCCCCTCTGCCCCTCTCTGCCCCTCACAGCAACGTGCCTGCTCGTCTACTCAAGGAGGGAGCAGCACCGTTTGGCTACAACTCAGCATCACCCACGGCCACCAACCTCTCACAGCTCACCAGTGGCGACTCCGCCTACTTCTTTCTCAAGAGCTTTGCGCTAACGGAGGAGGACGTCAACAACACCTGGAGCTACTGTGAGTCCATACCCTATGTCCCCCTCTCCGTTCCCCCCTCTTTCTCAAGAGCTTTGCGCTAACAGAAGAGGAGGTCAACAACAACACCTGGTGCTACTGTGAGTGTATCCATCCCCCAATTCCCCCCACTTGTTCCTCAACTCCCTCCTCTACATCCCTCAAACGGTTCTCATCCTCAAAGCTTTGCGCTGACAGAGGAGGAGGTCAACAACACATGGAGCTACTGTGAGTTGCACCCCCTCCTCCCTCCTCCCTCCTGAGTCCCTCCCTTACCTGAGTCCCTCCCTTACCTGAGTCCCTCCATTACCTGAGTCCCTCCCTTACCTGAGTCCCTCCCTTACCTGAGTCCCTCCCTTACCTGAGTCCCTCCCTTACCTGAGTCCCTCCCTTACCTGAGTCCCTCCCCTACCTGAGTCCCTCCCTTACCTGAGTCCCTCCCCTACCTGAGTCCCTCCCTTGCCTGCTCCTCCGTTCCTTTGTCCTCTGCTGTATCCCTCCACCCACGTCCTGCTGCTCCCACCTTACGTGCATTCCCCCCCCAACCCACAGCTGCGTCCATCCAGAGGGATGACGGAGCAGTGCCGCTGATGAACGGCGCTGAGTTCTTCCGCACCAACATGCCTGCCGGCCCCGTCACCACCGCTCCCAACCCCTTTTTGTCATGCACTGCATGTGCATCCCCTGCGCCAATGCCTCCTTCCCCTCCCTCACCCACATACAGCCGCGTCCATCCAGAGGGATGACGGTGCCGTCCTCCTGATGAACGGAGCCATGTTCTTCCGCACCAACATGCCTGCCGGCCCCATCACCCCTTCCTCATCCAAGTCCTCATGCCACCTCACCCGTATCCCTTTCACCCGTCCCTCACCCCCCCAACAGCTGCGTCCATTCAGAGGGACGTCGGTGCTGTCTGTTAGAATTGAACCGTTTACTTGATTAGGATTCATGAGGGTTTACATAGTTGGATCTAGGGAAGGGGGGTTGGTTGGGTACCTAGCCAACATTATTGGCCCCCCACCAATAAGTTGGGTTGGAGAATTATTGGGGGGTCCCAATAATGTTGGCAAAAGTGGGTCAACATTATTGGGGGGGCCAATAATCTCCCAACCCAACCTTGGAGGCCAATAATTGGACCAAGGTTGGGTTCCAACCCCCAACTAGGGGTAACCCTAGTTGTGTCTCTATCCTAGGGTTTATAGGATCAATGCAGGATACAAATTAGTAGTATAATCTAACACTGTCCTCTTGATGAACGGAGCCGAGTTCTTCCGCTCCAACATGCATTTAACTCCCTCTTCCTCCCCCTATCTCCCCCATTCCCCACTCCTCCAACAGCCGCGTCCATCCAGAGGGATGATGGTGCCGTCCTCCTGATGAACGGAGCCGAGTTCTTCCGCACCAACATGCCGGCTGGCCCCGTCACCTCTGCCTCCTCCAACCTCTCGTGCCGCTTTACCCACATGACTTGCACCCATCCCTTGCCTCCCTCCAACCCCCCCAACAGCCGCATCTGTCCAGAGGGATGACGGTGCTGTCCTCCTGATGAACGGAGCCGAGTTCTTCCGAACCAACATGCCGGCTGGCCCTGTTACCTCCGCCACCTTTGCTGTGACTGGCACGTGGGGGGCCGACAAGACCACCTTCTTCAACAGCACGCCCTTCCGATCCATCGCGCAGTTCCTGCAGGTAATACCACTTGGGTGGATGCCTCCCGCAGATGTTACCTTCCCCTGGGTAGTACCTCTGTTGTCGCTTCAACCTCCCGTCGTGGGGCCTCTTTCTTCACTGCCACCGGCACGTGGGGTGCTGACACGATTACCCTTTTTTCAACAGCACGCCCTTCCGCTCCATTGCTCAGATCCTGCAGGTAATACCCTAACTGCAGGCACTGCCCCCTGCAGGGAATGCTGTTAGTGCTGGGAATGCCATCAGTGCGGGCGGGGCATTCCGTGTGCAGCAAATGAAGGTTCTAGATCTGGACTTTCCAAGCATTGGTGCCAATGCTCTCCGTGCCCATGTCTCTGGTGGAGCGAAGAAAAGCAGTTCCATCCTCTAACACCTCCTCCCTGCTTTGTTTCGCCCCACCACCGGGCACCAACTGGGTGGGGGTGCAGCTGCACCAGTCGTGCTGGTCAAGCGATGCCCTCTTAGACCTCCAACTCACCCCCCACGCCAAGCGCCCCTGCTCCCTCCCTTCATGTGGTGCCTGTTCTGCCTCCCATCCCATCCCATCCAACCAGCCCGGCACCAACTGGGTGGGAGTGCAGCTGCACCAGTCACGCTGGTCCAGAGATGCTCTCATGGACCTTGAGATCACCCGCCGTGCCATGCTTCCTTGCTCCCTTCCCTCACGCCCCACACCCTCTCTTCCTGCTCTGTCTGCTGTTCCTCCTATCCCACACCAGCCCGGAACCAACTGGGTGGGCGTGCAGCTGCACCAGTCGCGCTGGTCCAGAGATGCTCTCATGGACCTTGAGATCACCCGCCGTGCCATGCTTCCTTGCTCCCTTCCCTCACGCCCCACACCCTCTCTTCCTGCTCTGTCTGCTGTTCCTCCTATCCCACACCAGCCCGGAACCAACTGGGTGGGCGTGCAGCTGCACCAGTCGCGCTGGTCCAGAGATGCTCTCATGGACCTTGAGATCACCCGCCGTGCCATGCTTCCTTGCTCCCTTCCCTCACGCCCCACACCCTCTCTTCCTGCTCTGTCTGCTGTTCCTCCTATCCCACACCAGCCCGGAACCAACTGGGTGGGCGTGCAGCTGCACCAGTCGCGCTGGTCCAGAGATGCTCTCATGGACCTTGAGATCACCCGCCGTGCCATGCTTCCTTGCTCCCTTCCCTCACGCCCCACACCCTCTCTTCCTGCTCTGTCTGCTGTTCCTCCTATCCCACACCAGCCCGGAACCAACTGGGTGGGCGTGCAGCTGCACCAGTCGCGCTGGTCCAGAGATGCTCTCATGGACCTTGAGATCACCCGCCGTGCCATGCTTCCTTGCTCCCTTCCCTCACGCCCCACACCCTCTCTTCCTGCTCTGTCTGCTGTTCCTCCTATCCCACACCAGCCCGGAACCAACTGGGTGGGCGTGCAGCTGCACCAGTCGCGCTGGTCCAGAGATGCTCTCATGGACCTTGAGATCACCCGCCGTGCCATGCTTCCTTGCTCCCTTCCCTCACGCCCCACACCCTCTCTTCCTGCTCTGTCTGCTGTTCCTCCTATCCCACACCAGCCCGGAACCAACTGGGTGGGCGTGCAGCTGCACCAGTCGCGCTGGTCCAGAGATGCTCTCATGGACCTTGAGATCACCCGCCGTGCCATGCTTCCTTGCTCCCTTCCCTCACGCCCCACACCCTCTCTTCCTGCTCTGTCTGCTGTTCCTCCTATCCCACACCAGCCCGGAACCAACTGGGTGGGAGTGCAGCTGCACCAGTCGCGCTGGTCCAGCGACGCTCTCTTTGACATCGAGCTCACCCGCCACGCCATGCGCCCCTGCTCTGCTCTCGACGGCTCTCCCTCTGCTTGCGTGCGCACGCCCCCGGCGGACACTCTGCTGCTCGCGGTGAGATACACACAGGCCTAGGATAAACTGGTTTGCGCCATGTGCCATGCGCCATGTGCCATGCGCCATGTGCCATGCGCCATGTGCCATGCGCCATGTGCCATGCGCCATGTGACATGTGACATGTGCCATGCGCCATGTGACATGTGACATGTGCCATGCGCCATGTGCCATGCGCCATGTGACATGCGCCATGTGACATGTGACATGTGCCATGCGCCATGTGACATGTGACATGTCCCATGCACCATGTGCCATGTGACACGCACGACATGCCATGTGCCATGGTGCCATCCGCTCTGGTCAATGTTCCGTGCCTTTTTCACCATGCCTCCATCTGCTTCCTTTTGCCAGAACTCTGTCACACCTGCTCCTACCTCTCCCACCTCCGCTCTCCAAACCCTTTCTCTTTCTTCGTCTTCTGCTTTTCTCCGTGCTCCCCTTTATCCGCCCTATGTCCTCCCTTCCCTGTGCCTCTCCTTCCCCTCCCTCCCTCCCTGCAGCAAGGGTCAACTTGGGCTACAACGATGCTTCCCTGCCACCGCCCCCCACTAACACCTGGTTCCTGCCCTCCTCGTCTCTTCTCCTCGTCCCTTCTGCCCCACTCCCCCGCCCTCCCTCCCTGCAGCAAGGGTCAACGTGGGCCTACAACGATGCCTCCCAGCCACCGCCCAACCCTGACACCTGGTTCCTGCCCTCCTTCGACGACTCTGCATGGCCCAGAGGTGAGGTTCGATGAGCAGCAACTTGCACCGTTCATGCTGCGTGCCGCCACCTCCCTCACTCCCTGCATGTGCTCCTCACACCTGGTTCCTGGCCTCCTTTGACGACTCTGCATGGCCCAAAGGTGCGTCGCGCTGGGCTGAGAGCACTGAGAGATGAGGGGCGGTTGCTGCTGTGGAGCTAAGGGTGTCTCCCTGCCAGCGCCCCCCCCTGACACCTGGTTCCTGCCCTCGTATGCACCCTACCATTCCTCAATTACACTTCCCGTCTCGTGTGTCTCACTGCTTCCGTCCTCCTCCCCCTTCTCCACGCAGGCCCAGCGCCCCTAGCAGTGGGCAACAGCAGGGCGGGTACCAACCTCACCCTCAACAGCACCACCAGCGCCACCAGCGCCACCAGCGCCACCAGCGCCACCAGCGCCACCCCCCGAGTGGCACACTGTTTCCGCCGCGCCTTCACTCTCACCGATGCTGCTTGCCACGTGGTTCTCACTTCTTCCCCGCTCCCTTCCCATTCCCCCCTCCCCTCCTTTTTCCCCCATACCTCCCCTCCCTTTTCACTGTCACCGATGCTGGATGTTACGTGGTCCTTACTTCTTTTCCCCATCCCCTCCCTCTTCTCCTCCCAGGCCCAGCGCGCCCCTAGCAGCGGGCAACAGCAGGGCGGGCACCAACCTCACCCTCAACAGCACCACCAGCGGCTCCCGAGTGGCACACTATTTCCGTTGCCACCTTCACTTACTCCAACCCCCCACCCAACCTTTCCCCACCACACAGGCCCTGCACCCCTAGCAGCGGGCAACAGCAGGGCGGGCACCAACCTCACCCTCAACAGCACCACCAGCGGCTCCCGAGTGGCACACTATTTCCGTTGCCACCTTCACTTACTCCAACCCCCCACCCAACCTTTCCCCACCACACAGGCCCTGCACCCCTAGCAGCGGGCAACAGCAGGGCGGGCACCAACCTCACCCTCAACAGCACCACCAGCGGCACTCGCGTGGCACACTACTTCCGCCGCACCTTCACTGTCACGGATGCTGCCTGCCACGTGGCCCTCACCGTCTCCTTCAACATCGCTGACGGCGCTGTGAGTGCTCCTCGCATCAGGTTGCATGGTGTGCGTCTATCTGGACTCTCCCCTCCCATTGACCTTCACTGTCACCGACGCCTCCTGCCACGTGGCCCTCACCATCTCTTTCAACATCGCTGATGGCGCTGTGAGTGTTTGCATTAGGGAGTATGCAGGTGTGCTTTCAAGAGTGCCATCTGCTTTCAACAGCTGAGTTCTGTGCCCACATCTGTGCCCTCCTACTGACCTTCACTGTCACCGATGCTGCCTGCCATGTGGCCCTCACGGTCTCCTTCAACATCGCTGATGGCGCTGTGAGTGCTCCTCACATCACCTGTGTGCTGGGGTGTGCTTAACTGTACCAACAGCTCGGCTCTAAATCCTCTCCTGTGGCATTCGCCTGTGTGCTTCCTGCCACATGCCTCTCACCGTTTCCCTCAGTTGATGCTTTACTCTCATTCACTTTGTTTCTTTCTCTCCATCCCTCCTCACCAGGTGGGGTATCTGAACAGGGTCGAGGCGTATCAGTTTCACATGCCGCTCGCCTCATGGGATGAAGGTCTATCGGTCTCACCACCACACTGCCCTCAGCCAGTCCCTTGTTCTCACTCACTCGTTTTCTCTATTTTCTTTCTCCATCCTCCCTCACCAGGTGGTGTACCTGAACGGCGTCGAGGCATACCGCTTCCAGATGCCACCCCCCTCATGGGGCCCGGTCACGCCGGCCACCACCGCCACGAACGGCTATGTGTGGCGGTGGGTGCCGTCTGTTCTGTCGGGCGGGTGGCTGCAGCAGGGGGCGAATGTGATAGCGGTGGAGGTGCATCAGCAGAAGAGCACCAACACTCTGCTCACGTTCGACGTGCAGGTTACCAGTAAGAGAGAAGCCGTTGCGTGCACCCCTGCCCCGCAGTAAGGTGGTATTGAGAATTCTCAGAACCGACCAAGAGAAAGGATGCAGGAAGTGGAGGGGAGGTGCATCAGCAGAAGAGCACCAACACTCTGCTCTCGTTTGACGTGCATGTTACCAGCAAGAGGGAGGCCATTGCCTGCATCCCTGCGCCCTCAGTAACTTCTGATGTTGATGCTTTGTTGCTTTGACGACATTGTAGGAATGCTACGATGTTGTACATTACATGTAAGATAATACCGTAGGATGTAGGTTTTTTTTTTTTTGTATCATTGGTAATAAAGGAGGTTGTGATTGAACTGTACAAGTTTTGGGATATTTTGTTTGTGACAAGTTTGATTGACACTGGAGAGCGGTATCTGATAATGCTGTGCTCCGGAAACACAAACGTGTGCCACAGTGACACATGAGAAAAATGTTTGCTCGCTCCGTTTGTCCAACGAGCATCAATAACATGTTACCATACCCTTCATAGCCTATTGCCATTTCCAAAGCTAGTCATGAGAGTTCCAAGGCTCGTGCTTTATTTGGCATGGCAAACATCTGTTTGTGAAAACGGTTCACCTCCTGTGTGGTGGCTCATGATTATTTGGAAGCAGTTGAAGACAGTCTTGAGAGCTCCTCTGCAATGGGTTTCGTGGATCGGATGTATACAAAGCGGGAAGAGCATTTGATCACTTACAAAGGGCGAAATGGATATAGGAAAGCACCATGAGGATAAAAATAAGGCCAAAAGAGGCATGGCAAAGAAGGCCAAAACAGGCAGGATTCGAACCTCCACCATACATACTTCCTACCTTGCTTCTTCTCCTTAAGCGTGTTGCTGTCGGTGAGGAAATATATTGCACCACGCTTCTGATAAACGGTCTGCAAAAGCATAGCACCATCTTTTGGATAAGCAGTCTGTAGTAGCTAGCAGGGGAGATTAAGCACGAATAGCGGCCTAATCAGTCAGTATGCAAACAAAAAGTCCGACCAATCGTATTGGTGATTACTATTTGCATAGACTATGCAAAGGTGCAGCATAACGGGTGAAGGGGTCTTACCCGGCCAGAAGGCAACGAGGAGAGCTCAGCACAAGCCACCTGCAATTCCTGCACCTGCAGAGGTATTGGTACGGAGGGTATTCATAAGAACGCTTTATTTTGTGTTAAGGTGACTTTTGGGTTGACTCAAAAGTCACCTGCAGCAGACGGCAATAATAAGAAAGCTTTCTTTTGTTCAACTCCAAACAGCTTTGGCGTTTGAGTTGAGCAGACCTAGAAAAGGCATGTTCAAAAAAACGCACGAAAACAGCAAAGACAGCAAAAGCAGGGAGTAGAGCAACGGATACTTATGGTGACAGGCGGTCCCATCCCATTACCTTCAGATTCTGCTCCTTCTCATGTTGTGTGCTGCTTGCCATGCTATGGAGCGGAAAACTGTTGGCAGACTCTCGCAAATCCTCGGAGGGAGGTCTGTGCCTACTTACTGATTACTTCTACTCTGCTTTTACCATCAAAAAGAGGGAAGAAAATGCAAGAGGGAGAGGGGGTGCTTGTAGGAAATCACTTGTAATTCGAGGGTAAGAGATCACCAACCACTGATACTATGTGAATGCTAAGAGCTAACGGCTAATGGCAAACGGTGCATGCTCGCCACGGACGGTCGTCTGTCAGAAATGGTAACCATCACTTTGCGCAATCCGTTCCTCACTGGGAAAAAAAGGAAATGAGAAAATTTCCTCCTCCATTTCACGTGCGAATTTTGAGACACTCGCTCTCCCCCAGTTGATCTGCATTCTCTAAGGCTTGCTGCTTAATAATGAAGCTAAGGGTTTTGTGTCTTGCCAAGAACAAACAATGGGCATCACTCTGAGGCTTGAAGCTTAGGCCTCGCCCATCATTCCCCCAACGCTCATCCCCAATTCTCCCTGACTTTGCCCATCATTCCCCCAACGCTCATCCCCAATTCTCCCTGCCTTTGCCCATCATTCCCCCAACGCTCATCCCCAATTCTCCCTGACTTTGCTCATCATTCCCCCAACGCTCACCCCTATTTCTCCCTGCGTTTGCCCATCATTCCCCCAACGCCCTCCCTTCATTCCACATTCCCACACATCATTCCCCCTGCGCACGCCCCTTCGTCCCATACTCTCGGCCCTTTTTTTTCTTGCGCTGAACCTTCATTCCCAGAGACATACCCTTTTTTACCAAGCGTTCGTCCAGTGACTTTTGAGGCGCCTCTAAACATGAGATGACTTTTGAGCCGCCTAAGAATGGCTCGCCCACTGACTTTTGAGCCGCCTAAAAATCGCTCGCCCAATCGGTGACCCCTTCTTCTACATACCCCTCATTCCAACTGCGATCACCCGTCATTCCTTCTGCCGTCACTCATCGACAACTACCCATCGTTCCCCCTAGCGTACATGTGCTGTCGGACCATAAGAGTCGTCGGAGAGTGTTGAGTCGAATCTTCTTTCGCTAGTCCGATGTCACGTCGGCGGCAGTAACATGTCGAAAACTGATGGTCATAAATGGGACGGGTGGAAGAGTAGCAACGTTTACATACTCGCCATCTGATGCAATGCAGGATAGATTGGGATTCGATGCATTCATGGTGATATTTGTGCTCAAGACTTTCATCATGGCTGCGGTAATTAAAGCGCGAGTCAATCTTCTATTTCATTGGCAATTATGAACAAACTTCGCATCTTGTTTGGTGGCACGACCTGCATGGGAAACAATGATTCGGAAAGGCCAGATTCGCGAAGCCCCCAAGGTCACCCCTCCCTGTATTTGCTTCTGGTGGTAACTTTTCGCCATTGTCTTTGCTGCTCGCATGCTCAGATTCGTCAGTCGTGCACCAATCACATCGGGCTGCAGTCGAGAAGAGGGGCAATAGGGCTTTAACAAATTCAACGCAGTGCTAGTTGAAACCCGACAAGGGTAGCAGCAAGCCCAGATTCTAGTTTCCAGTCCCACAAGCCAGTCGTCTAGCATCGTAGCTAAAGCCATGGCTCGATTCTCGTGGCTTCTCATCGCGCTCGTCGTCCTCCTATCAGCGACGTCCACATCAGCGCTGGTCTTCACGCTGCTGAAGCGCGAGTGCTTCCAGCATTTCGTGCCGAAAGGCGGCGAGACGGTCCACGTGTCATTTGTGGTGATCAAGTCGGATTACAACTGGGGGGGAGTCGAGCAGGCTAAAATCGATCTAACCGTAAGCCGCCACGAAATGCTGCCTCATCAGAGCGCGAAGCAAAGGGTTTCGCAGCTCCGTTCGCCACAGCCCGCAGATGTAACCTCACTTCTCGAAACAAGACCCGAACCCTTGCTTCTAGACGAGGATCCCGAAAATCCCTCGTCGCGCACTCAAGCGACAGGATAGGAGGCCTTTGATGTTTAATCCTGCCTCCTGGTCTTATGCTCACACTAACAGATCCCCAGGTGGAAGACCCAAGGGACTACGTGGTGCGGAGGGTGGATGCGCAGACAGCGTGCTCTCTGCCCTTTGTTCACCCATCCGCCCCTCTCCCCCCTTCCCGCCCCGCTGTGAACCCAACGAGCAGGTGGAGGATCCCAGGGGCCACGTGCTGCATAAGATAGAGGCGAGAACACATGTCAATTTCATGTTCACTGCTGCCGTGGACGGCTTCTTCGAGTTTTGTTTCTCCCCCCCTCTCCCTTGTGACTTGATCACCAGGTGGAGGAACCAAGAGGCCACGTGCTGCGGAAGATAGAGGCGAGAACAGACGACAACTTCATGTTCACCGCTGCTGTTGACGGACTCTTCAAGTTCTGCTTCAACAACCCACCCCAACCTCTCACTTTCCACTTCTCGCCCAACCTCTCACTTTCCACTTCTCGCATCCTCTGTGAACGTAATCAACGAGCAGGTGGAGGACCCCAGCGGCCACGTGCTGCGCAAGATAGAGGCGAGGACGGACGACGACTTTATGTTCACTGCTGCTTTTGAGATGTCTCAAAAACCGGGTTCGTCAAGTTCTGCTTCAACAATCCACCCCAACCTCCCCCCCACCTTTACCCCCCTTCTCTCCCCCTCCCTTCCCCACTACCCTGCGTCCTCCGTGAACGTAATCAACGAGCAGGTGGAGGACCCAAGAGGACACGTGCTGCGCAAGATAGAGGCGAGGACGGACGACAATTTCATGTTCACCGCTGCTGTGGATGGATTCTTCAAGTTCTGCTTTACAACGGACTCTGCCGTGCATGAATCCGTGGCGTTTGACGTGGAGAATGGCGTCCCACTCACCACTGAACACGTGGCAAAGAATGGTAAGCCACGAACGCCACGATGGTCCATCAGCTCTACTGATGCCGGCTCTTTGCTCTGTCTACAATGCGTGTTCATTCGCTTCTGCTGCTAATCTGACTCATGCGGTGGCCCTCCCCACTCTCCCGACCAGTCCATGACATCATCTCCACCCCTTTCTCTTCCTCTGCTCCCTGGTGTTGGCTTCCCTGCTTCATCGTATGTGATTCACAATGCATGGCTGTTTGCTTGCTCTGCATTCCACCCTGTTCCATTGCCACAACCGACATGCCAATCCCTGTTCACCATTCTTGTGGTTTACTGTAACTGGCTTTTCACTGTGAATGTGTGCTCATCTGCATGTGTGCTCATCTGCATGTGTGCTCATCTGCATGTGTGCTCATCTGCATGTGTGCTCATATGCATGTGTGCTCATATGCATGTGTGCTCATATGCATGCATGCCCGTGCCTCTGTCCATGCCTCTGCATCTGCATACGGCTAGACCAGATCAAACAGGCTGCACGGGAAGGTGATGTGCACCAAGCATGGAATTCCCTGCTGCCGCGCAGCTCTCACTCACACATGCCCCGCCTCTCTCCTCTCTGCATGCCCGTTCCCTTGTTCTATGCGCTCGCTCATGCCCCTGTGGATACCCGTGCCTCTGTGCTTGTGCATGCGAGCAGATCAAATCGAGCCACTGGTGAAGGAGTTGCATCGCCTGCACAGGGAGGTGATGCGCACCAAGCATGAGATCCCACCCTACTGCGCATCTCTCACTCACACATGCCCCACCTCTCTCCTCTGTTCCTGCCCACGCGTGTGTTCTTGCTCGTGCCTGTGCGTGTGCATGCGAGCAGATCAAATCGAGCCACTGGTGAAGGAGGTGCATCGCCTGCACAGAGAGGTGATGCGCACCAAGCATGAGATTCACTACTCCTTCTACCTCGCTGAGCAACATGCAGAGGGTGAGTGACAGTGAGAGCAGCACACAAAGAGTGAGAGCAGCACAGCAAGATGGGGTTCAATGTGGCACAGGTACCTTGAGAGTGGACGTGCACCAGTGCTGCATAGGGAGGTGATGCGCACCAAGCACGAGGTCCACTACTCCTACCTTGCTGAACAGCACGCTGAGGGTGAGTGGCAGTACTTTCAGTGATTCTCAGGGTGAGAGCAGCATCGCAGGATGGGGCTCATGATAACACCTGGAGGGACGGAGGTGATGCGCACCAAGCATGAGATCCACTACTCCTTTTACCTCGCCGAACAGCACGCTGAGGGTGAGTGGCAGTGCTTCTGGGGTTGTTCAACGAGGTGAGAGCAGCACGGCATGGCAAGATGGGGTTTATGATAGCACGGGTTGGCTTGAGGGTGGATGTGCATGATTGCAGCACCAGGAGGGAGGGAGGTGATGCAGCGGACCAAGCACAAGTTCCACTACTCTTTCTTTCTATGCCAAACAGCATGCGGAGGGTGAGTGGCCTTGCTTCTAGGGACGCAGGGGGGAGAGCAGCATTGCAAGATGCAGCTCATAGTTGACTGGGTTGCTTTGAGGGTGGTTCTGCATCAGTGCTTCACAGAGAGGCACCATGCATGAGAGCCAAGTCCCCAAAAGTGACATGGAAGATCGCACCAAGAATGAGATTCACTCTCCTTCTACCCGTCGAGCAGCATCCTGAGGGTGAGTGGCGGTGGTTTGAGGCACGCAAGCGGGGGACAGGAGCACGTAGAGGTCGATTGGCAGTGATTTAGGTGCTTTCGTTGAGGGGAGAACCATGCTCATACCTATGCGCCTTGATGCAGTGCTACATGCAGTGTTCATAACCTCTGCTCTGTGGGCCTCCTGCCCCTCACCCCTTTGTTTCTCCAGTGTTCAAGTGGATTACGCATAGGGTTCTCGCCAAGGCGGTTACCATAAACAGGCACAATGACTTGTGCTCTCTGTGTTCTTCCCCACCCTCCCTCCTCCCTCCCTTTCCCCTCCCCTCTCCAGTGGACAAGTGGACGGCACATAGAGTTTTCCTCACCAAGGCAGTGCGACGGGCGGCCTCTGATACTTGTGTTCCGTTTGCCTTTCCTGCAACCTCCCCCTCCCCCTCCCCCTCCCCCTCCCCCTCCCCCTCCCCCTCCCCCTCCCCCTCCCCTTCCCCTCCAGTGGACAAGTGGACGGCGCAGAGAGTTCTCGCCAAGGCGGTGCTGCAGGCGGGTGCACTCATAACGTGTGGCATCATACAAGTGTGCCTGCTGCAGCGGCTCTTTGAAAAGAGGCTCAAAATGAGCCGCGTGTAACCCAGTCCCCAGCCTCGCTGGACTAGTAGTGATGAGGAGGGGAGCGGGGAAGTGAATTTCAGTAAGCCACCTTTGCAGTGGTGTTGAGTGGAAAGGCAAGAGGAGTAGAAGGGGGAGGTGGGGAGGGAGAGACGTACGGTAGAAGCGAAGGGAGGATGGGGCGTTGGGGGGTATTAAGGCCTGGAGATGAGGCGGTGATGACAAGAATGAGAGGAGCAAAGGACCGACCCGCTTGCTGCTGCGGTTGTGGGAATTTTGGAGCTGCTGTAGTTGCTGTTGATGCTCCAACATAGCAATGAAGCTGCAGGGGAATGAAGATGCGGCAGCGTGCAGTAATCAGCAGAATCACAAGTCTTCAAAACGCCAGCATAATGCTTCTTCAATGTTTATGGATATGCTTACCGCATGTTCTAATCAGGTCATACACTAGCAAAATGCTATCAAATTGAGTCCTGATTTCCACCAAAGGGTTGTTTGGGATGTGCCCTGAGTTCTCTTTCACTGTATTAGGCTGCTGCCTGGTCCTATCAGTCACAAATACTGTAAGAACTCTCAAGAATAATACGGTACCACACACACAGCATTCACTTTCAAGCATTAGTATATTAAAGACATATATGAGCCTAACACAAGTTTAACAACTACAATGTCTGTGCCCAGGCCAGAGCCATCCCTTGGGGAGCGCTCCAGGCCAGAGCCATCCCTTGGGGAGCGCTCCAGGCCAGAGCCATCCCTTGGGGAGCGCTCCAGGCCAGAGCCATCCCTTGGGGAGCGCTCCAGGCCAGAGCCATCCCTTGGGGAGCGCTCCAGGCCAGAGCCATCCCTTGGGGAGCGCTCCAGGCCAGAGCCATCCCTTGGGGAGCGCTCCAGGCCCTTCAAGTGAATCCTGGGCTTGATGCCAAGCTGGAAATTTGGAGAACTGAAGCCAGAGCCACAGCTGAATGGCAGCAGATGATCACCCTTCCACCCCCACCAGTTTCCCAACCCACACTCCCGAACACCCTGACAAGCAGGGTGCAAAAATGTGGCCCACCATCATCCCACTTCCCCAACTCCCAACCACCATCCCACTGCTGCAATCTGCCCGAGGCTCTGCTTCAGTGCTCTCCATCTTCATCCCGCTGAAGTATGCCTTTGCTGCTTCTCAAGTGACTTTTTTTTTTTGTTTAAACTTTTTTTTTTCAAAATTTTTATGGTTTTTTTCTTCTTTTTTTTTTTTTAACCCATGAAGAATTGAGGTCCCCGTTCCCACTCTCATATTCCCCCTGAGCTTGCAGCGATCCAAAGCGGCGCTTACGGCCGCCACGGACGACGTGAGCTCGCAGCCAGCCCCACCTTGGACGATCCGCCACGAAGCTTCCGTGCAGCCGTGGGGATGACGGCAGTCGTTAGCTCATCCTGCTGCTTCGTGTCGTTGGAACACCGTCTGCTTCGCACCTGCCTCTCAGCTGCAGCGGCTCCCGCGGGTCGCGGAATCAACGTCGTTCCCTCAGCGCGGGTTTTCACAATCGATCTCTGACCGCTTGGTTTCGGGATGCGAGATGGCAGCAGGTGTGCCGTAGGTACTGAGCGTGTCGTTGCATTTCTCGAGCCAGCTGCCACGGCCTTCAGCGATGTTGCAGATTCCGAGATCACCGGCATGAACGTCAGTGGTTCCGACATAATCAGTTTCGAAGTTACCGGTTCCGGCGTCATCGGTTCGGACATCACTTGTTCCGACGTCACAGCTGGTACGGACGCCACTGGATCTGAGGATGACGAAGCGGACGCCGTCGGATCCCATGTCGGCGAATCGTGCGGCTCCTTATATACAATTAGCGATGCAGCAGCGTCGATAAGACAGGCGTCGCTGCGGCTGGCGTCGCCAACGCTCCCAGTGCTGGTGTCAGCGCAGGAGAGCATCGCGTCGGTGGCCTCGCTGCAGCAGGACGTCACGCTGAGGCTGCTAACCTGGCGGAGTTTGCTCGCGTTGCTGGAGGAGCTGCGAGGCTGCAGCGACGGTTGCATCGGTTTGTTGCTATCGAGGCACTTCCAGAAGCTAAGAGCGTTGTTGAAGTACGACGGGTAGTCAGAATCTGATGCCATAGTGCGGATTCTTCACGAGATGAGCAAACCTTGAAAGTTGATCTGTATGCTACTAGTAGAACTGATAGTATGCGCCAGCTAGCATGATTCCATGAATGCTGTGCGTGCAGATTTGTAGGCACTGTCGAATCGGGGAATGGAGGGGTTGGAGGAGAAAAGGGTCACCTGGATTGTTTGGGAGGGAAGAGGGCTGCTCAGGCTTGGGTCTGGGCTGGTCTGGCTCGGGAGCGAGAATAGCGCAAGGAACCTGGCCAGCCCAACTTTCTGCCCATTTGTCCACGCAAATATCGTGTGGCTGCCCGACTTCGAAATTTTTACCCGTGCTGCTACCCCAGCAAGAATCCTTGCTGGAAATCAAGCCACGAGAATTTCGGGTTACTGCCCAAAAGCATTTCAAAGGCTGCCCAGAACAGAGTTTGACCGCGCTACGTACGGCGGGAGTCAGCGAAATTTGAGCTCGCAATGAGCGACAACCTCGGGGCAAGACAGTCAACAGGCGTGTTTGACGGGGAATCTTTGCAAACCATACTCAGGACCGTTATACATCTAAATACCGCACTGAATCTTCTTTTTTTGGAATTGATATATGCATTGATGAGGATAATACATACACCAAAAGCAGTCGTAACTGAGCGTAAGGGCATGCGCCATGCATTGCCCAACAGTGCATCTAGGGCGGCAGAAAAACCCTACTCGGCTTGTTCCAGATAGCTTCAAAGTTTGACGTCCACTTCCATTTCTTGTCGCCAGGTTCTCTTATCCGCGCCAGCATTTTTTGCTCCGCTTCAAAAACACTCCTGACCCGCTTGCCCTTCCCCAACGGCCCTGACTGCAGGCTTTTTGCACCCATTGTTCTCCTGTACACCCTAGCATGAACCCTGAAAGCCGTCCCGATCCTCCTGAGAACCCGCCGGGCTCTGAACTTCTGCCCGCGAAAAGTTGCTTCACACCTCTCCACCCACAGTTGATGGCAGGTAATTGCTGTGAGGGTGGCCTCCGGAAAATCCGACGCCGTACCCGTTTCCTGGAACAAGAGGTCCCCCAGCGTGGCAGTTGTCCTCTCAGGATTGAGCATGCGCAAGGCACGACGGAGCCCCGAGATAACTGGCTGAATCCTCAGGCAGGAAAACAGGCAGTGTTCGTGCGTCTCCTCCTCTCCGCAATAAGGGCATTTTGGCTTGCAGCTGAGAAAGTCCACCCGCTCCCCAACCTGGAGGCTCAGGTTATGCACCCGTGTGAGAACGTCTCTCGGTCGGCTCGGGATGGCCAGCGAGTTACGCGTGCGAATGATTCGCTGCCAGTCGATCTTGCCACTCCAGCGACCAGACAACTTTGCCTGCTTCGTAAGGATTGCATCTGGTTTGGACCAGACCTCCCTCATCCGCTTCAGGGAAGCCGCTCTTCCCCCGTCAAAAATTGCTGACCGGAAGATTGAGGCCGAGGCACTGCAGCTCCTCCCCCTGGCTGCCGCTGTGCCACCTTCTATCTCCCCTTCCCCTCCAGCAATGCCGTTGGGAATCAGCAGGGACTTCCACTCCTCAGGAGCTGCTGCGAAAGCTTTGAGAGCCAGCCGAGCCGAGTCCTTGCTCCTCAGCTCCTTCTCTAGGGCGTCCATGTCCTTGATCACAGCTTCGCCTGTAGGCGTCTTGGTTACCAAGTCCCCCATGCATGTATCCCATAGCCCCTTCGCCTCCTTCTGCCCCTCCACTGGGTTTGTACCGTTCAGCAACACGTTCCTGTTAAAAATAATTCTCTCCTGCGCCACCTCCTCTTTGCTACAAACTTTCCCTGTATCCGCAAGAGGCGATTTCAGGAAGACTTCGCACGTCTGCTTCCAGCGTTCTCCATCACCCGGCCAGTGCTTTAACACCTTTTCGTGCGCCATGAAAGTATCCTCACCCATCGGGAGCCCCGCCGCTTTGAGCATGATTTCTTTTTTCTTGCCGTTACCCTCCGTCAGAAGCCCAGCTATCCTCCTAGCCGCGAGGCAGGCCATGAGGACCTCCGGATCCAGTACACCAAGCCCCCCATCTGCTCGCGGTGTGGAGAGGAGATCCCAGCTCCACAGCACAAAGCCTCCGTCCGCCGACGCATTATTTCCAGACAGGAAGTTATGAAACAACTTCATCAGCTTCTTCCAAATTCCTTCCGGTGGTGGGTAAACATGCGCCTGGTAAGCGACCTTGGGCGTGATGTAGCAGTTAATAATCACCACCCTTGCTGCGATTGTAAGGAAGAGCGCTTTCCACTTGATCAGCTCCACCGTTATTTTTTCGAAAGCTTTCACCCAGGTTGGTTCACTACTGCCGAAAGGGGGTGATCCAGACCCCCAGAAGGCGTTCCGCTTCATCCGCCTTTGCCCACTTGAAACCCCCAAGTGTCCCAGGTCTCCTCCCGAGGTTGTGTCCCAGCGGCATGACAACCGACTTTTCTCTGTTGGTGGCCAACCCCGACATCTCAGCGAACTGTTCCAGAAGTTTCTCCGCCCTGGCAATTTGCCGCTTCCCTTCCAAAAACAACGTCGTGTCATCCGCATAGCCCAGGTAGACTAACCGTTGCTCAGCTTTGTTGCAGAGGCCCAGTTTCCGCCTACACGCCTCCTGTGCTAGTGGCTCCACCGCACAAAGAAAAAGGTAGGGGGCAAGCGGGCAACCCTGCCTCACTCCTGACCTTACAGCCACCGCCTCCCCCAGCCAGCCGTTGACTAACAGCCTTGTCGTTGTGTCTTTGTGCAGGCCCTCCACCCAGCCTACGAACCTTTCCGGGAAACCCATATCTCTCAGGACCGAGAAAAGGTAGCGCCGAGACACCGAATCGAACGCTTTGCGGAAATCCACCAGGAGCATGTACCAATCTTCGTCGCCTTTTTTTGCTACTTCGACAGCGTCCGCCACTATCCCAATCGCATCAGACATTCTCCTCCCGGGTATAAACCCGTACTGCTCCTCCGATATCACTAGGTGGAGCCACTGCTTCATCCTATCCGCAACCACTCTCGCCAGGATCTTGTAAGTGAAGTTGAGCAGGGTGATTGGGCGGTAATTGTCCAGATTGTCCTTGTCTCCCTTTTTATGAAGCAAAATGGTGACCGCTTCTTTGATGCTGGCAGGGAGCAAGGCCGTATCCGAGAAGCTTCGAGCCAACTTCATGAAATCTCTCCCCAAGACATCCCAGTTCTGCTCAAAAAGCTCCTTCGGAAGACCGTCTCTCCCTGGCGATTTATTATTAGCCAAAGCTTTGAAAGCTTGCTTCACCTCCTGCTCCGACCAGTCAGCCTCCAGTGCCGCCACCGCGTCAGAGCTCAGCTTCTTCCCCGGCAGCAGCACCTGGTCGTCGTCGTGCAGCTGTCCGCGCCAAACAGGTCAGTGAAATACTTTGAGGCTGCCGCCAGAATATCCTTGGAGTCAGTCACCGACACCCCATCTACTGATAATTCTGCAATCTGTGTGCGCTGCTTCCTGGCTTTAACCCGCGCCGACAGAAAGGGGGACGGTACTTCGCCAGCCAGTTCAGTATTCGTGCCCGCCATCAGGTGAAGTCTGTCCCGCTTAGACGCATGATATTCCCTCAGCTGCGTTTCCCTGACCAGCAGTAGATCCCGTGTGCGCTGGCAGCCAGGGTTCCGCATCTGTTCTTGCCGTAACTCTGCCACCACGTCCGCTAGCTGCGCCGTGGTCTTACTAATCCGCTTCCTCTCCTCTTTCATGTATGACCGCAGGCCCGCATTAAGTCTGCCCAGCAATAACTCGAAATCATCCCCGCCGCTCGCCTCTGCCTTGGCCAGAGCGGCCTCTACCGTTTTCCGAACCCCTGGCCTACCGATGGTTGCTGCGTGCAACCTCCAGATTCCTGGGCCCTGGTGAGCTGTGGCCTTTATTTTGAAAGCGACTTTTATAGCAAAGCCGTGATCTGAGATATACTCCTCCGGCATGATGTGCCGGAGGAGTGACATCATCAGCTTACCCCGCCCGATCTCCTGTCAGCCATTCTTTCTTACCAAGCCCAGCAGCTTCCCTCCCCCATCTGCCCCGCTTTACTTTCTCTTTGAGCCGCTACACCTTCCTGTGTGTGAACCCCACGACCAGAGCAGTGATATCATCAACATACCCCGCCCCATCTCTCTTGAGCCACCGTTCCTTGGCCAAGGCCAGCAGCGCCTTCACTCCCGCCTCTATGCTCCCCGCCCCCACCACCACCCCTATCGCCTCGTCATCCCCCACATACTCCCACAGGCCGTCTGACCCCAGCACCGGGAAGGCGTCTGATTGGTCGAGACGACGCACCACCACCTGTGAGGGAAGAGAGGGGAGGGGAAGGGAGGGAGATATTAAAGAGTTAAGGATGGCGTGTCGAGACGTAGCATTTGGCTTGTTGTGAGAATGGGTTGGAGGATAGGGTAGGGTGTATTGAGAGGGTAAAGTAGGAATGATGGAAAAGAGGGGAGGGGGGAGAGGAGGGGACAAAGGGAGGGTGGAGGGGGTAGGGACAACATGGCGAGATGCTTGGTGGGCAGCATGTGACAACCCAGATGGACCAGCATACCTCAGGGGTGGCGGAGACACCAACGGTGTGTGCGAGTTTATCCCCCAGGCTGCGACTCATTGCCAGGCCTAGCATGGGACCCGTCTTCATCCACACTCGGAACGGCCCCACATCGTCGCCATTCTCGTCCACGTCCCTGCCAGCCACCCACCCATGTGCCATAAAGTAACTTGGATAAGAACGCATGTATTGTGTTATTCACATTGCATTGTGCAAATGCAGTGCCAGGCACAGCATGGGGTACTGGATTCATCCACATTTTCATGCAACAGACTACGTCGTGCCATGTGTCATGTATGCAAACACATCTACCAGATTTTTCTCCAAGCACCTGTGGCACCAGGCTTGGCATGATCCGGACTTCCTCCCCCGGCCAGTGCAGTTGCTCGGCAATTAACAGTAAGAGCATGCTCAGCACACCACACAGCCCACTCACTGCTGCACGCTGCCTTCACTGGCCTCTATCCTCGCCCTCTCCTCCTCGTTGTTGGGCTTGTGGTCTGCTGACAGGCGCACTGCCGCCAGGTCATCCCGCTCTGTGGCAGGGGAGGGGGGAACGGCGAAGAGGGAAACGGAAGGGGAAGGGAAGGAATGGGAACTTGGAGAATAGAGAGCTTGTGGTCTGCTGATAGCCGCACTGCCGTCAGGTCATCTCGAAATGTGGCAGGGTAAGGGGAAACGGCGAGGGGGAAACGGAAGGGGAAGGGAAGGAATGGGAACTTGGAGAATAGAGAGCTTGTGGTCTGCTGATAGCCGCATTGCCGTCAGGTCATCTCGATCTGTGGCACGGGAGGGGGAACAGAGAGGGGGAAACGGAAACGGAAGGAAACGGAAAGGGAAGGAATGGGAACTTGGAGAATAGAGAGCTTGTGGTCTGCTGACAGGCGCACTGCAGTCAGGTCATCTCGATCTGTGGGTGGGAGGTCCAACGGTAAGTGGAAAGGGAGGGAAACTTTGTGGCTAGTTAATAGCCGCACCACACCGCCATCAGGACATCCCGAACCCGAACGGTAGCATGGACGGAAGCAACGGGTGGGCGGGGCAGGGGAGAGAGAACCGAGTCAGAGGAGCTGACGCTGCTTGAGCACCAGCCTTTTGAAAACGAGTCCTTGAGCCCATGCCCCCTGCTAAAGGATTTGTGCACGTGGAACAAGCCATAAGTTTAAGTGTTTGGAGTTCAAAATGATACTCGTTCTCTCACCTCCGCCCTCTCGTCTCTGTGCCAGCACAGCCCTCGAGTCCCCCACCCACGCCCAGCCAGCCGCTGCTGAGGAGCCCCCCACCCACCCACACTCGTTCTCCACCTTTTCATCCATCCATCCCTCTCCTCCTCTCAGCATCCCCTTTTTCGCTCACCTTCGCCCTCTACTAAAATTACCTCCTCCCTCTCGTCTCCGTGCCAGCACAGCCCTCGAGTCTCCCACCCACGCCACAGCCAGCCGCTGCTTGTACAGGTGAGCCACCACCGCTGTCGTACCACTTATGTTGCAGTTGAACGAGGCTGTAAGGGGTATAAAACAGAGAGGCATGTAAACGGAAAAAAACTGTCCAAATACAATACAGCTACAGTGATGCCGCTTATGCTGCAGTCAAGCGAGGCTATAAGGGGGACCAGCCAGTAAAATATCAGGTGAATGGCTACCACTGCTGCGGTGCTGCAGTGAATTGCCTTTTTACGCACTTTCTGTGATCCGTTCGTTTCCTTCCCCCCCTCTTTCTGTAGTGAATCGTTCACCTCTTCCCCTCACTCCCTGTGGCCCTTCACTTCCTCGTCTCATCCACACACTTCCCTTCAGGCCTGCAGCGTTGCATTCCACACCACTCTCAGCTCTCAATCACGTGCTCAACAACACTTCTCCCATCCCACCCTCACTCACTATCTTCTCCTCCACCCTTCTCTCCCACATCCCCCCCCACTCCCTCTCCTCTTCCCACACTTTCCCACTTCTCCCCCCACTCACTCTCCTCAAGTGCTGACTGGAGGAGAACGAGGCCGCTCACCCAAGTCAGTCAGCAGGTAGGTGAGCCAGCGTAGCTCCTGTGCAGCCATGGCGGTGGCGTAGATCTCAGCCTCACAACTGGAGCTGAGAACAGAAGACGAGCGTGTAGACCGCCAAGAAACAGAGCCAGAGCCAAGGCTGAAGGTGTAACCCTGTGACGACCGCTGTGTAGCCTGGTCGTCAACCCAAGACGCGTCTGAGTGCCCAGTGAGGACCACCTCACTCCGTCCTCCAAGCACGAGCCCCATGCCCGATGTACTGCACAAGTAGCGTAGTACCCTCTTAGCAGCAGCCATGTGCTCTGGTCGGTGCCTACCAGGAGCCACGTAGCGAGCGAGAAGGCCAAGAGGGTACGCAAGGTCAGGACGAGTGCAGGTCATCAGGTACATGAGGCAGCCCACTAGCTCTGGGTAAGGACCACTCGGCTCTACGGACTCGTCCGAAGGTGGAGCTGAGAGCGAGTGACCTGTAGCCAGAGGAGTGTGCTGTGGCGAGGACCAGGTGAAGCCGAAGCGCTGAAGGACCTGCTGCACCATGTGTGACTGAGTCAGTGTGATGGTGCGGCGTGCTCTGTCCCGAGTGATCTGCAAGCCAAGGTAACTGCGCAGCTCACCCAGGTCTGTGCACGTGTGTCTCTTCTGCAGCTCCGACTTCACCAAGGCGAGAGCCTCAGTGTCAGCAGTGGCAAAGACTAAGTCGTCTACGTACACGAGGATGTAGAACGGTGGCAGCAAAGTGTCGGTGCGCAGGAACAGCGACGGGTCAGCTGTCGAAGGAGCGAACCCAAGAGCCGCCAGTGTCGTCCTCAGTGTGTCGTGCCACTCACGTGGCGCCTGGCGGAGACCGTAGACTGGCCGCCGGAGGCTCCACTGGGTACCAGGAGGGAACGACCCAGTGAAGCCAGGTGGGCGGCGCAGCCAGATCTCCTCGTGCAGGCTGCCCTGTAAGAAAGCTGTGCTGAAGTCAAGAGAGTGAAGCCAGTAGTCACGGTGAGCGGCAACGTGCAGCAGCACCCGAAGAGTAGTCATCTTCGGGGTAGGGGAGAAGGTCTGGAAGAAGTCAACTCCCTCTCGCTGACTGAAGCCTCGAGCAACGTAACGAGCCTTGAAGACAGGCGGAGAACCCGGCGGCCGCTTCACCCTGAAAATCCACATGCCATCGACGATGTTCGCCCCAGGAGGGGGAACCTCATCGACGTAAGTGCCTGTGGACTTCCAGGATGCAGAGAGCTTGTCCGCGGTGAGATCGCGGACAAAGGCACGAGCACCCCAGACCCGGAAACGCGACGCATCGCCAACCTCCCCCGTCCACAGCAGCGTGGGCGAGGTCTCCGGCAAGGAGACACGGGGCCAGAGGTTGAGCTGATGCGCGGCGTACCGGACCGCGAACGGCCACAGAAAATGGGGAGCCGCCGCATGGATCATGGAGGTACGAGCGACCTCCATGACTAAGCCAATGCGGTGCTCAGCAACCCCATTCTGCTGCGGAGAGGCCGGAAGCGTGAACGACTGGGTGATGCCGTGCTCCGCACAGAAGGCTGCCAAGAGGTCAGAGGAGAACTCACCACCTCTGTCAGAGTGCAGACGCAGGACAGGGAAGTCCCGCTCGAATCGCTCGCGGAGCTGGAGACGAACAGCGCGGATCCAGGGGATCAAAACAGCAGGGACGTCCCCCTTGCTGCGCAAGGGGAAGACCGTGGTGTAACGCGTGTAGTCGTCGACAACCAGCAAAAAGTACCGCTCACGGCCCTGTCCCTGGACGCGGGCTGGGCCCCACACGTCCAGGTGGAGCGTCTGCAGGGGAGCCTCTGTGGGAAGAAACGAGGAGGAGTGAGGAGCGGCGCGCTGCCGCCCCTCGACGCAGGGAATGCAGGGCGGCGCAGGCGAGGGAGGGAGGGCAGGCAGAGACCTGGGAAGCCCAGAGACCAGGGAGCGAGAGTGCATGCCACGAAGGCGAGGAAGGGAGGGGTGACCAAGGCGGTGGTGCCACAGAAGCGTGTCGTGCGACAGGCGGCGGCACTCACACTGGGTAGCTACCTGAGCAGACGCGTACAGCTGAGGAGACAAAGGAGTGTAGCGTGAAACAGTGGTGAGGGTGTACAGACTAGACCCCGGCTCACGAGTGAACGTGGCCAGGTGGCGGCCAGTCTTGGAGCACGTGCAGATCGCCACACGCTGCCCTCCAGGAGTCCAGGTGTCAACCCAGTGATCCTGGAGGACGGCGTTGCTCACCAGGTTCGTAGAGAACGAGGGAACGTGGAGACCTGACAGCTCACCAGACGGGACCGCCGGGCACGGGAGCACAGTCGTGGCTCGTGCAAGCACTGGGCCCCCAGAGGGGTCAGCCAGTGAGATAGGGACAGGTGCAGGGAGGGGAGTGACGGTGGTGCTATCGCGAAAGAAACAGCGGGAAGCACCAGAGTCAAGTGTAAACGTGTGCAAGGCCTGAGTCGACTCAGTACCAAGGGGAGCAGACTCACTAGCACCTAGGGCTGCAGCCCTTATACCGGGGTCAATACCAGGATCAGGCGGCACACACAAGTAACAGTCACCCTCAGCACTAACAGTCAATGCATACATGGCAGCAAGAATAACATCATAGTCCAGATCAAAGATAGGCACATCACGCCTAAGCAGCTCGGCCCAGTTGGGGAACTCAGTAGCATCAGGATACTTGGCACGCCAGGCGTCACTAAGCCTAGCAAAACAACGATACTCAGTGTGAAAACCGTTGCAGGGGCGACCCTTGCGGGGGCCAGTACGAATGACATAGGGGCAGCGGTCAGAACCCCGAGACGCCCCACGCCCAGCATACCAGTCATTGAGCTGCTGGGAGGTGAGGGGAGGAAGCTGCTGCTGCTGCTGTGGCTGCTGCTGCTGCTGCTGCTGGCCACCAGTGGGGCCACCCTTCTGGCCAGATCCACCCCCACTCCCACCTCCACCGCCACTGCCGCTGCCTCCTCCCCCACCACCGCCGCCGCCGCCTCCACCGCCCCCGGTCCTGCCGCCACCCCACCCACCGCCTCCACCCCCACGGCCACCCCCACCACCTCCACCACCCCCGCCGCCTCCACCACCGCTCCCTCCACCGCCACCTCCGCCACCCCTGCCACCCTTGCCGCCCCTGCCACCACCACGCTTCCCACCAGGAGCGGAAGCCGCTGCGACCTTCTCCGCACCGAGGAAGTCGACAGCAGTAGCAGCAGAGGCGTAGGAGGGGTCAAGAGGGGAGGGGGAGCACCCCTCAAAGAGGGGAGTGCGGGGAGTGCCACGAGCAGCACCGACAGCGAGGATGTTCTTCTCTGCTGCGACCAGCTGCTGCTCGAAGTCGTCCAGAGTGATAGTTGGAGGATCCTTGGCAAGGAAGTGATCCCTGACAGAACGAAGAGTGTCAGGGAGGCGGGTGACGAGGATGTAGAGGGTGAAGTACAGCGGGGGGGTGTTCGTGGCGAGGAACTCGTCGGTAAGAGCGGCTCGAAAGCGGGCGTCACTAGCGCGGAGGTGAGTGATAAGGTCGGCAGCAGTGTGAAACGAGGCTAAGTCTGGGAACAGGTAAGGCAGGATGAGACTACCAACGGTGGCTGTGGCCGGGGCGGAATAGCGGGCAACGACAGCATCATACAGCGTCTTAGCAGTCTTAAGCTGGTTGAAATGCGCGCGCTCAGAGATCGGTAGGTGATTGCGAATAACAAGGCGCGCGACTGCGTCGCGGAGCTCCCACTGTGCTCGTTCAGGGGCAGGAGCAGTCTCAGCGGGAGTAGGGACAGTGCCAGTGACATAGGCTAGTAGTGATACTCCGTCTGCGACGTCAGTCATAAGGTAAAGCCGCAGATCACTAAGCCAGGTGTCAAACTCGATGGGGCGGCCGTCAGGCTCAAAGGCGAGAACAGTAAGGGTCGCCATGGTTGCAGCGCAGGCAAAAGTAGCAGGCTCAGGCAGCAGGCTCAGGCAGCAGGCTCAGGCAGCAGGCAAAGGCTGCAGGTTCAGGCAGCAGGCAACTGTAGCAGGCAGGTGCGCAAGGCAGACGGTAGAGGCGCAAGGCAGGCAAGAAAAAGACAGGGTAAACCCTAAACCCTGGCGGCAGGTACAGGCGGACGCAATGCACGGGGCAGCAATGCGCTGTACGAGCGGCGAACGCGACGTGCAGGGCCTAGGCGGGCTGCGCGCGGACGGTAGGTGCAGCGCGCAGCTCTGGAGTGGGCCGCGCAGGCAGCAAACGCGACGCGCGGGGCGGAAAGGGGCTGCGCGCGAGCAACAGATGCGACGCGCGGGCTGCAGACGGGCTGCGCGGGGCCTTAGCGGGCTGCGCGAGGCAGGGACGGGCCGCGCGCGAGCTGTGCGGGCTCAGGGCGGGCTGCGCGGGCGACGGACGGGGCGCGACGCGGCTGGCAGCAGCCGTGCGCGCTAAAAAAAAAGGCGTGCGCGCGCAGCCGAGGCGCGCGCGGGCAGCAGGCTAGGCAGACAAACAGGCAAGGCAGGTAGGCAGGCCGTTGGTGAGGTAACTTAGTAACTGGTGGGCCCTTAAACTTAGGTCCTAAGAACCTGCTCTAGATGCCATGTCGAGATAGCTAGGCAAGGTTGAGTTGCATTGACGAGAGAGATTGCTACAAGAGACACAACCCCAAAGTGTTATCCCCTATAACATCTACCCCACTACAGCCTACCAATATATATCACACATATATATCATTTGACAGATTTCACGAACGCTATGGGTGCAGATTTGTAGGCACTGTCGAGTCGAGTAGGGGAAATGGGGGGATGGAGGTGAAAAGGGTCACCTCCAGTCTGGGGGGGAGGAGGGCTGCTCAGGCTCGGATCTGGGCTGGTCAGGCTCGGGAGCGAGAATGGCGCAAGGTGTTCTCGAGAACCTGATCTGCCCAAGTTTGTGCTCATTTGCCCACCAAAATATTGTGTGGCTGCCCGAGATCAACAATTTTACCCGTGTTGCTGCCACAGCAAGAATCCATGCTGGGAATCAAGCCCACGAGAATTTCGGGTTACTGCTCACAAGCATTTCAAAGGCTGCCCAGAACAGAGTATGACCGCGCTACGTACTGCGGGAGTCAGCGAAATTTGAGCTCGCAATGAGCGACAACCTCGGGGAAAGACAGCCAACAGGAGTGTTTGACTGGGGATCTTTGTGCACCATACTCACAACCGTTTTACATCTAAATACCGTACTGGATCTCCCTAAAAATTGCTACCCCGAAAGCTTCGCATTTGAAGGTTGGACCTGAACTTTGGTACCGAACCTCCTCGCCTTGCCTACCGCGCGAAAGCCAATGTTTAGAGGTTCTGGATAAGCGTTGCTACACTTTTCCTGTTATTTTGTCTCATCTTAACTCCCTTAACAGATGCTATCTTGCACCCACTATTGCATATTACAATTTCTAGGTTGGGTTCAACTAGGATGGAAAACATTCATATATATCTACGTATATCGAACACTCTATCCTATTCCATATACGGTAGGGTAGCATACAGCAACCAGAGTTAAAAGACCTCAACAAGTAGGATGCAGTGACAAAACATGTTCGGCTAAATAGTTCCAATAAATATTGCACTGCAGCTAGGAGCACCTGTTACCCCAACCACAAGCTTCTGGCTGGGACTATCTCCAAGGAGAAGCACCATTTAAGCAAGCCAAATGGCAAGCAGGTATGTGAGGTGTGGGGAAACCGTTTACACTCGCTCCGATTCTGGCCGTGTGTTGGAAGCTCTTGCAGCCATTACAACCGCTCCAATTCTCTCGTTGTCCACCCACTCCGCCTCTCGTTTCCTCTTTAACACCTTCCCTTCGACCCTTCACCCCCTTTCATTCCTTGACACACCTACCGTGCTCTGCCTCAGCTCAACCACTCTACACCTTCTGGTGCTCTGTCACTTGTCATCCACCAATCCTTCACCATGCCCAGTAGCTCCTCTTCCTCCTCCCTCCTCCCTCTACACCTTGCGGTGTGTGAACCCCACGACCAGAGCAGTGACATCATCAGCATACCCCGCCCGATCTCCTGTCAGCCATACTTTCTTACCAAGCCCAGCAGCTTCCCTCCCCCATCTGCCCCGCTTTACTTTCTCTTTGAGCCGCTACACCTTCCTGTGTGTGAACCCCACGACCAGAGCAGTGATATCATCAACATACCCCGCCCCATCTCTCTTGAGCCACCGTTCCTTGGCCAAGGCCAGCAGCGCCTTCACTCCCGCCTCTATGCTCCCCGCCCCCACCACCACCCCTATCACCTCGTCATCCCCCACATACTCCCACAGGCCGTCTGACCCCAGCACCAGGAAGGCGTCTGATTGGTCGAGACGCCGCACGACCACCTGTGAGGGAAGAGAGCGGAGGGGAAGGGAGGGAGATATTCAAGGGTTAAGGATGGCGTGTTGAGACGTAGCATTTGGCTTGTTGTGAGAATGGGTTGGAGGATAGGGTAGGGTGTATTGAGGGGGTAAAGTAGGGATGATGGAAAAGAGGGGAGGGGGTAGTGTGAGAGGAGGGGACAAAGGGAGGGTGGAGGGGGTAGGGACAACATGGCGAGATGCTTGGCGAGCAGCATGTGACAACCCAGATGGACCAGCATACCTCAGGGGTGGCGGATACACCAACGGTGTGCGCGAGTTTATCCCCCAGGCTGCGACTCATGGCCAGGCCCAGCATGGGCCGATATAGTGCATCCAGGTACACACCCCGTGTAGGTTGGCAAACACTTGCAGTGGGTGGGTGCATACCTCAGGGGTGGCGGAGACCCCAACGGTGTGCGCTAGTTTATCCCCCAGGCTGCGACTCATGGCCAGGCCCAGCATAGGACCCGTCTTCATCCACACTCGGAACGGGCCCACATCGTCCCCATTCTCGTCCACATCCCTGCCAGCCACCCACCCATGTGCCATAAAGTAACTTGGATAAGAACGCATGCATATCATTGCATTGTGCAAATGCAGTGCCAGGCACAGCATGGGGTACTGGATTCATCCACATTTCCATGCAACAGACCACGTCGTGCCATGTGTCATGTATGCAAACACATCTACCAGATTTTTCTCCAAGCACCCGTGGCACCAGGCTCAGCATGAGCTGGACTTCCTCCCCCGGCCAGTGCAGTTGCTCGGCAAAACAATCAGAGCATGCTCAGCACACCACACAGCCCACTCACTGCTGCACGCTGCCTTCACTGGCCTCTATCCTCGCCCTCTCCTCCTCGTTGTTTGGCTTGTGGTCCGCTGACAGCCGCACTGCCGCCAGGTCATCCCGCTCTGCGGCAGGGGAGGGGGAACAGAGAGGGGGAAACGGAAGTGGAAGGGAAGGAATGGGAACTTGAAGAATAGAGAGCCTGTGGTCTGCTGATAGCCGCACTGCCGCCAGGTCATCGCGATCTGTGGGTGGGAGGTTGAACGGTATGGGGAAAGGGAGGGAAACCTTGTGGCCAGTTAATAGCCGCACCGCACCACACTGCCATCAGGTCATCCCGAACCCGAACGGTAGCATGGACGGAAGCAACGAGTGGGCGGGGCAGGGGAGAGGGAACCGAGTCAGAGGAGCTGGCGCTGCTTCAGCACCAGCCTTTTGAAAACGAGTCCCTGAGCCTGTGCCCCCTGCTAAAGGATTTGTGCACGTGGAACAAGCCACAAGTTCAAGTGTTTAGAGTTTCAAGAGGATGCTCGTTCTCTCACCTCCGCCCTCTCGTCTGTGTGCCAGCACAGCCCTCGAGTCCCCCACCCACGCCCAGCCAGCCGCTGCTGAGGAGCCCCCCACCCACCCACTCTCGTTCTCCACCTTTTCATCCATCCATCCCTCTCCGCCTCTCAGCATCCCCTTTTTTGCGCACCTTCGCCCTCTACTAAACTCACCTCCGCCCTCTCGTCTCCGTGCCAGCACAGCCCTCGAGTCCCCCACCCATGCCACAGCCAGCCGCTGCTTGTACAGGTGAGCCACCACCGCTGTCGTACCACTTATGTTGCAGTTGAACGAGGCTGTAAGGGGTATAAAACAGAGAGGCATGTAAACGGAAAAAAACTGTCCAAATACAATACAGCTACAGTGATGCCGCTTATGCTGCAGTCAAGCGAGGCTATAAGGGGGACCAGCCAGTAAAATATCAGGTGAATGGCTACCACTGCTGCGGTGCTGCAGTGAATTGCCTTTTTACGCACTTTCTGTGATCCGTTCGTTTCCTTCCCCCCCTCTTTCTGTAGTGAATCGTTCACCTCTTCCCCTCACTCCCTGTGACCCTTCACTTCCTCGTCTCATCCACACACTTCCCTTCAGGCCTGCAGCGTTGCATTCCACACCACTCTCAGCTCTCAACCACGTGCTCAACAACACTTCTCCCATCCCACCCTCACTCACTATCTTCTCCTCCACCCTTCTCTCCCACATCCCCCCCCACTCCCTCTCCTCTTCCCACACTTTCCCACTTCTCCCCCCACTCACTCTCCTCAAGTGCTGCATCGTGAACCGCCAAAAAGCCATCCGTTAGGGCCTTCTCTGGGTCCACGAGAAGATCTGAGCCGTCCATTAGAATCTCTGGAAGCCGTTCCTGGTGTCACGAGGAAGTGGAAGCAAGAAGGACATGAGAAACGGTACTGGGTATGGGTGATGGGTAGGGATGTGCTGTGTGGGAGGTGACACAGCATGGTGGCATGACAAGGCACGCTGAAAGGGGAAGGGATTGGAGGTTGGCAAGGATTGGGAGGTCAAACTAATAAAGAACTATGTAACATGAGATACACATTTTACGTAAGCCATGTATAGAGAGCAAATTTACATAAATAGGCTCTTGCACAGGCAGACTGATGTTAAGGTTTGTGGGAGGAGTCATCAGCAAGGAGGGGAGAGAGAATTTTACCTTGATAAACTTGGAAACGTCATGTCCTTGTGGCCCATGGCCATCAAACACACCAAAAATGAGCGATCTGCGCAACCCATTACATTCACATAAGAGGTGCAGTGGGGGTGGTGTTGTTATTTAGCTGTCTCAACAAAATTGCTGTTACTCGTATGGTGGATTTTTCTTGTGGTTCCATACATAATTGTGTATTGATTTTCGGAAGAAGCAAATCAGGAGTACACTCACTTTTTGTCTTTCGTGCGCATGAAACAGTACGCGTCCTGGTTCGTCTTGTGAAACCCGTCCTGCTGCCCCGCCGACGACATGCACGCCACGCGACACACCACGGGCTCGTCGGGAGCGGGCGACGACGACCGCGACGACGGACGCGACGACGGTCGCGAGCCGGGTCGCGAGCCAGGCCGCGACGAGCTCCGCGAGGAGACGGCCGCGCGGGAACTGCTCGACGCGGGTGAAGCGGAGGCGGCGGAAGCGGAGGAGCCGCCAGCAGTGGGAGGTTTGCCGTCGGACGAGGTTGCGTTACTATCGGCGGAAATGACGGGGACTGTTGCGGCAGGTGCGGCGTCGTTGGTTGTTGTGGCGGGTGCTGCTGCTGCGAGCGACGCGGCAATCGCAGCCGCAGCAGCGGCAGCGGCCGCATCAGAGGCGACGGCATCGGATTCTACTACTCGGTCCGCGGATTGCGCCTCGCTTTCCCGCCCGCTTGCGCCTGTCATTCCGCTCACCGCGTCCCCCGCTTCTGCGCTCCCCGCACCCCCATCAGCCTCCTTACTCCCTGCACTCTGCGCAACACCTTCCGCCCCCCCACCCGCTGCGGTGACCTTTTCCGCCGTCGCTGCAGTCCCTAATTCGCGGGCTGCGGAGTCCGTGCTACAGTGCGCCTCGGAGTCGCCGATCGTCACTGTTTCCGCTGTCGCGGAGCATGGCTCGCCGTTTGTAAGTGCGGAGGGCGGCGATTCTTTGAGCTGGCCTGATTGGCTGCCGAAATGATCGGAATCGGCTGCGGTTACCGCGTCTGGCACATTCTGTGCGTTCGTACTTTGGTTGTCTCCGTGGCATTGTGCCTGGTCATGATCTCCTGCCTGCTTTCGCGGTTCCAGGCAGCAGGGGACGAGTATGTCAGAGCAAGCGAGAAGGGAGAGGACAATCAAGACGTTAATTGACGAACGAAACGGGACGAGGGGAATGTGACTGGGGACGACGGAATATAACCATTAACAGTAGTTCAGGCAGAATGATGTGCAAAAGTAGGGGTTGGAAGGCCACAATCATGAAGTAACGGTCGTTAAGCAGTGGATACTGTACCTTGCTGCAGGAGCACGGACTATCGAGCCGAGCTGGCTCGTCCGAGACGGCCGACGCGGATGCACTCATGCTGCAACCGGAAGTAGCAGCGACCAAGAGCAATTTGTGTCAATCGGTACCACGCGGAGTAACTAACGGAAATAGTGGAAGGCTACCGCACAATGCGGCCCGAAAATCATGGATCTGCTCGCTCGCAAAACTACAGTGTCGTCACGGCTCGGGAGACGGTTGTTTGAGGCCCAACCGAAGCTGTGGTTCGCTTTGTGTGAAGAGCAGTGGGGAAACGTGGGGGGAAAGGATGGGCCTGGCTGGCTTGGTTTGTGTTGCTTTGCCTTGATGATGGGTTTGGTTGATGAGCTGTGGGGGGGAGTGGTTGAGCAGTCCGCAGGACTTCAATAACGGATGTTGCAAGGTTTCTTTGCGGTTGAGAGAGCTTTTGAGCTTCGCACAGCGTTGCATTTCTTTCTAGAGCGGTTGGTGTGCTTCAAAGCGAAATCAGGCTGCAAGGGGAGCGGGTCGTGTCGTGCATTCCAGTCAATGCTGTGATTGCAGGGGGGGCGTTTGCTGATGTGGCACCGACATCTCTGTTTCCCTTCAGTATCTGCTGATGTGTGTTAGTGCCCCACGTCATTATCGTGCTGGAATTATCCTTTCCCCGAAATGATGATTCACGCGGGTTCACGGCCAGGTTATGTGATGTGAATTTTGTACGAAAGTCGGAAAAGTCCAGACTGTTACCGCTCTAAAACGTACTATAACTTACTGAAACATAATATCAACCGTTCAGGAGATCCGGACTATTTCCAGGATGTTCCACGCACTAAGGCTGCATTTCAGGCTGGTGCAAGGGTAGATCAAAGCTCCACCCTATGCGTCCTCACAGCGTTGTATTGTCACGTATTCCCTCACCCTTATTCCAATAGTAGTAACTATTTGTGACAATGCAGTCTAAGGTCTTCGTTGGTGGACTACCATGGCAAACCACATCTGACGATCTGGTCGAGTACTTCCAACAGTACGGAAGCGTCATCGAAGCAGGCTAGTGTCATCCCAACGGCATGCCATCTTTCCTCCTGTTCCACGAATTACAACCCGTGACATGTAATGCAGTTGTCGTGAAAGATCAAGCGACAGGCAGGTCGAGAGGTTTCGGGTTTGTCACCTTTCTTGAGCCGTCTTCCGTAGCCAAGGTGGTGACAGCTCCTCCTCACTCCATCTTTGGACGGTAACAACCGTTTCGGGGTTGTTCTGTACATTTCCAAGCAGTAGCTCCACTCACTACCGCTTTCAGGCTAGTGGAAGTCAAGGAGCCAGAACCGCGCGGAAAACAAGTCGTGTTGAGACCAGTAAGGACGGAACCACTGAAAGATTAAATGTTCATCTGAAGCCTTCAAAACTCTCCTGAGGCAGGATTAAAAAAGCCAGTTGATTATGTGAACAGGAAAACGGCCCAAGAACGCGGAAGCTTTTTGTTGGAGGACTTCCACCTTCCATGACTGACGAAGACTTCACGTCCTATTTCGCTCGATTTGGAACCGTATGTTGTAGCACCTACATATCTGGTCGTAAGTTTATACGTTGCCATGCATCTCATGCATGATGCCAGATCACAGAGATTCAAGTCCTTCGCGACGAAGATGAGAAGGCCCGATGCAGGGGATTTGGGTTTGTTACTTTCCAGGCAGAGCAGGCAGCCGAGGATGTGCTGCTTATTGGAAGGTGAGTGTATGTCACGCATGGTTATTCGTTGTCTGGGCTGTGGTCATGGACTCTCATTTTCTTGCAGAATGCACGAGATCTGTGGGAAGATGGTGGAAGTGAAGAAGGCACAACCACGGAAGGACATGGCAAAACTAAATGGCAGATGGCTGTGAAAAACAATGTGCAACCATTAGTGAACAATGATCAACATCGATACAGCGCCACGGGTGGTATTTGTCAAGAGCCAAAGCAAGAATGCCAACAAATTCTGCTGATATACAAGCTCTGCTGTTGCTCCCCCAACATGCCCGCTCCTCTTAGGGCGTGTTCCTACGACTTCATATCAGGAAACCTCGTATCAAGAATGTACTTTTTGCCTGGTAAAACTAGCAAGAGGTTTTGGGTTAGGGAATTTTCAGTGTGAGCCTGGTACGAGGTTCTCTTGATACGAGGTGTAGGAACAAGCTCTTACTTTCACAACCAAGTAATACCACATATATTATTTGCGACTGCATACATTAACGTGGCCCGGCTACAGACAAGAGTCCCGTCAAAGCCTTTTCACCTTCTAAGGCTATTGAACTGCATTCATTTACTTTCCCTCAAAACCTGTACGGCGAGCAAGTTCATCAAGGTCTTGTTCTCCTGGCAAAACCTGCAGAATTGCCCAGGAGGATGCAAGGCAAGATGGAACACAATTTCAGAGACATGGAGAGAAAAGAGGAAGCTGGGAGAACAAACAGACGGATGCCATTATGCAAAGCACCTTAACCACAAGCACGTAACGCTGCTCCATCAAGCCCGAGCCAAACATTTGCACAATGAAGTCAATGTTTGTGAATATAGGGAGCTCACCTGGCCATCAATGATCCATGTTGGGAAGCCTTCAATATTGGCATCCTGGCATGTTTTAGCAAGCTTCACTCCTGCCCTGAAGCCCTCTGGATAGCACTCCACATACGGAAGGTACTTGGAAGCTTCTGCTCCAAATGCCTGGAACTCAAAGGGCACCAAAACAATAATAAACATCTCTGCAGCTCGTTTACACAACTATACATTAATATTTACGAGTACAAGTCAAATGCAATCACCCACCTGCTTCTGCTCGTAGCAGTGCGAGCACCAAAAGGCACCATACAGCTTCGCCCCAACAGCCGACAGATGCTTGGCCAATTGCACGCGCACAGGTGTCGAAACAGTGGTGACCTCGGGCTCAATAGCAGCCAGGTCAATCTCGGTGTCCCTGAGCATGTGATAGGTCAATTCGCAACAAGGTGGCGAGAAGGAAACATGGGAAACACCTTGTTTGGAAGGAAGAAAGGATGAAAGAAGGAAAGAGGAGGTCAGGATTATTGGCCAATCATAAAACAGGTAATCCGTCAAGGTGGTGGTGGGCTCTGCTGCATTGCTCACATGCATTGAAGACATACAAGTTGCAACCCAAAAAATGAGAGGAAAAATGGAGCAGGCTGAAAAGAGACCCATGGAGGCCTGGCCACACTCAAAAGACCCACCGAGCATAGGCGGACCTGACATCAGCAACGGAGAGGGAGAGAGCCACAGCGGTTGCCGTCACCAGGGCTAGCTGGGGCAGCAGCGCCTGCTGTAGCTCACGCCATGAGAAGGACTGGGGGGGGGAAGGGTGGGGTTTGCACCGAGGGGGAGAGGTGGTACAGGAGGGAGGGGAGGCACAGAAAGACCAGCAAAGATGCAGCATGTTAGCAAAGGCAAGGGAGGAAGTCATTAGCAGTTCAAGGATATGAAAAGACTATCAACCGAATCGCATTCGTGCAATCTACCGTATGTGACATACACACTATGACAAATCATGTGACCAATTAAGAGTGAGCGGTAATGGTTCTGAAGAGTAAAAGGCCTACTTGAACATCCCTATTCACGTTTTCAGTAATAGACCCACCTTCACTGTGAGGGCAAACAGCAACGTGGACAGAGTAGCTGAGGTGACGCAATAAAGACAAAACGCGCCGTCCAGCTCGGTAGCGAGGATGAACATGAGATAGCCGCTGGTGGTGGCCATGGCGGCCGTGAGGGAGAGCAGCAGCCAGCGTGCAGTGGAGGAGAGAGTGGAGGCCTCGAGAAGGGTTTGAGGAGAGGAGGGCCGGGAGAGGTGGGTGAGGAGGGCAACGGTGGAGTAGGCAGCAAAGCCAAAGACTGGGAGGGGGATGCCTGTGGGGACGGGAGGGGGTTGGAAGAAATGGATTGGAAACGAAAGCGATGCGGCGAATGGATGAGGAGGTGGGAGAGGGCTGTAAAAATCTAAAGATAGAGAGGAAGAAAGGTGCCTGCAGTTTTGGGACGTCTCAGAACAGTGCGATGTATATGGTTGGATGGAGTGGGGGAAGGGAGGAGGAGGTGGGGAAATGGGGGGGGGAGGTGTAAACGGAGAGGGCGTGGTGGTGCGTGTGAGCTGCATAATAGAGAGCACTGGGAGTTGGTGTATACAGGACCATTAGGGTGACGAAAAACTGCATGGAGAACGGGGAGAGGGGAAAAAACAGGATGGGGGCAAGCAGGAGGGGGGAAAATGGAGGAGCGGGAGAGAGGCAGGAGGGTGGATGACAGAAGAGTGAGAGGGGTTGTTGAGGTCGCTATAAACTGTGCAGCAAGAGGATACACACATAGGCCCCAACTGACGTACCAAAGAGGGAGGCGTATGGGCTGTTGAGCACGTCAGTGCATGATTCGTTAATGGGACACGCCACCTGCCCCCCCGCCAGCTTCTCAAAAGAGAGGTACAGTGTTTCTGCTGCTCCCACTAAGGACAGACCCAGTAACGGCACATAAGGCACACTACAGGTGCTGCTGCTGCTGCTGATTGGTGCTGACGTGGACAAAGAGGTGGACGAGGGAATGCTGACGCCATTGTCGCCTGACGCTGACTCCCTGTCGCTGGGGGCAGGCGGAGGCGATTCGCCGGTGGCTCGCACAGCGATCCGCGGATCGCGGCAATGGGAGCGCGCGATGCGCGTTGACGAGGCTTGTGAGAGGCAAGGCTGCATCGGAAAAGGAGGAACGGGGTACAGGGGGAAAGGGGGGGTGAAGGAGAGGAGAGTGTGGGGGAGAAAGGGGGAGGGGGAAGGAAAACGCCGGGAGAGGGGGAAAAGAGAAAAAATTTCGAGGAGGCGTGAAGGGCAGGTGTAAGAGGGAAAGTCCGAGGATGGGGAAATGCATAGACGTGTTTGGGGATGACACGGCCGGGAAAACGAAAACACATGAAACTTAGGGTCTGCGAAAATGCTAGTAATGCAGGATGATGGAGTGGCGAGGAAGCACTGTGGATTTTAGGAGCCAATGTGGAGCACATGCGTGTGGAGCACATGCGTGTGGATGCTCAGGACGAAATATAAGGACTATAGACCACAAGGAACTAGACGAGTTAAGAGAAAGAGGGAAGAAGAAGAAGAAACGGTCCGAGAAAAGCTGCGCGGCGTGCAGCAAACGCCAAGCTAGCTTTCTCATGCAACCAATGAGCTTTGATCGGATTAACGCTAATACGAATCGGCAGACTTGCGGCACCTAAGGCAATCTCCATTCATGCAGAGCCAATGTGGCATTGATTCCCCCCACTTCTTGTGACACCGATACTATCCTACTGTACTGAGCCATCTAGCGGAATGCCATGGCTCGGTGTTGCTTCTGGCCTGAAAACTCCTTCGCTCACCAGCAGCGCTCGTAGACCCAGGTCCCGCTTAGCGGCCACGTCTGATCGGCGCGCAATAAACGGGCGACCGGCCGCGAAGCGAACGGCGTCGATCGAAACGGCGGCCATCGCCATTGCGTGGAGTGGAACGAGGAAATTAGAAATGACTACTGACAGACGAGGAACATGAATGGAGTTATCCAGAAAACGAGGCGAGGGGGGCTTGGGGGGGGGGGGGGGGGAGGGGAGGTTGGGAACGGAAGGGGGAGTGGGGGAAACTGAACATTCTGAAAATAATTGCCGGGGATAAGCTGGACGTGCCTCGAGGATCGACCCGAATTTTGATTGCTGGTTCACTACGGTGATTCGCATCGAACTGGATGGCATTAGAGTGACGTCAGGTTGTACAGCTTCCCTGTACTCAACTTCGTTTCGTCACGGTGCAAAACGGTCAACCTTGAGAACCGCTTTCCACCGTGCGGAAACGTTTCAAACCACTATACAAGAATTGAACATGTGCGAGTTATGTACAACCTGACGAGGCCCTTAGACCACCGCGCGTTTCATTAAAATTCATAGCCTTGGTCGGGTGTTTCGATTTTGTTTCAGAGAATAAAGCAATACTGGCCAAAGGTTTGGCCGGGATTACATTCCGTTACATAGTCGGAACAATACACCCAAAAATGAGTTTTTCGCACCCTACTGGTGGGCTGCCCTGGTTCGGGCTGGGCCTGGGCTCCGAACGTGTCAATCACTAGGTGTGTGACGTCAGACAGGGACCACCTGACCTGGCCTTGGAAGTTCCGTTGAGCGATGATCAATGATCAACAAAACCAATCCTTCGCCTGGCTCTCGTGACAGCATTCTACCATAGAAGAAATCCTCCTGGTCCAGACCTGTCCTCGCGCGAGTGAATCATTTTCACTAATTCGGCGCTTTCCCGTGGTCGTATCAATTTTCCAGGATATCGCCATGGCTTCTGGCGACAAGCTTTCAGCCATCTCAAAGTTGAAGTCTGCAGAGCTGTTGGAGCTTATGAATGCTTACTTGCAGACCCCGGCAGGCGATGACTTGAAGGATAAGATTGGACTTGTCTACCAGTTTAACATCTCCCCCAAGGTCGAAACGAAGCATTGTAGAACTCGCGTGTAATCGCTTTTTAAAGATTCTAACGTTCTCTGTCTCCCGCTGCAGAAGATTGGGATCAACGAGGAAAAGTTCACGGTGGATTTGAAGTCCAAGAAGGTCACGGCAGGTGAGACATTAGCCTTATGCTCCTCAAAGCTCCTACCATTCCCCTCCATGAAGTCCTTGGTGTCGTTAATGCAGGAGCGTCTGAAGGGAAGCCCGACGCAATGTTCTCTTTTACTGATGATGACTTCGTTTCTGTCGCCACTGGCAAGTTAAATCCGCAAATGGCGTTCATCAGGTAAGCTCCAGCGTCTTCATTCTTCGTCATTTTCTTCTCGTAAGATGCCTACGCGAAAGTTTGACGTATTTTCGCTCTTTGCTTGGTGGTTGATGTCAGAGGGAAGATGCGGATAAAGGGAAGCATGAAAGCTGCTCAGAAGTTTACCCCTGACATTTTTCCTAAGCCTGCGAAGCTGTAGCTTTGTAGCTTCTTTCTCAAAGCATCAAGCGCCAGGAGGTCCCCCACCCAGCACCTTTCTCTGTAGTTATATTTTCTTGAGTAATAAAAGCTGCTGTTTGAGCAATAGGGTGTCTCGGTGCATTTCTGTTGTGCAGCTAAAAAGCATGGCTTTCTGACATCCATGTACCAGTGTAGAAGTCTGCCACACCTAAAACAAGCTGTTGATATTTTACTGTGAATTGCCATTATTTCTTTCTGATGGCACCGTACTGTGAAACACATCATGGTACCTACCGTAATATTCCATTTTGTCCTAAGAAAAAGAATGTTCATCCACGATGGTGTAGCCCACTAAGCTTGGTTCTTTTCAGCAAGGTAATGATCCAACATGTCCTCCTCGTCAATGTCTGCACAGATCCACACACGCACGCACATTGCACACACATGCAAGGACAATTTTAGGCACATGGATGTGAGCTGAGCTGGTACAAATATGTGCACATGAACATGCACCCATCGACACACACACGACACCCCCAACCATGAATGTACACGATGCACAATGTACCACATGCCATACCCTGTACGAGGTACCAAGCACATGGTATGCAATACATACCATGTCCACATCACCATCCATGCACAAATACATGTCCAGAAGCAAATATGCATTCAAGATGGACAGAAACAGCGCAAATGTCCCATCTGCCTCTCTCCTCTCAACCTCCTCGCTCCTTCAATAACCATTTCTCTGCCATTCCACTCTGCCTTCCACCTGTCCCACACCTAACACATACCTCCTTAACCCCTTCCCCTTTTCCCTTCCCCCAAAGCCCTTCTCCCTCAATTTCCCCAATATCTCCCCCACCCCCTTCCTCAATCCTTCTACCCCTCATGGACAAAGCTATCGTTAGTCTAAATCAATGCTCTTCTGCTCCCATTAACACCACAAATCTTCTACTTTCTATTCTAACCCCCCCACCTCACCACCCCTCCTCGAATTCTTCTCACCTTCGTCGAAATCATCATCATCAAAGTCAATCTCCTCTTCCTCCTCCTCGTCTGCCATTGCATAAACCCCTGAACCCTCTAAAGCCCCCACTCCTTCAGTTCCCCCATCCCCGCCCCTCTCACCTTCGTCGAAATCATCATCATCGAAATCGATCTCCTCTTCCTCCTCCTCTGCCGCCTCCTCCTCATCCAGCACAATTCCCTTGCTTGCTTTCTGCACGCACAAACAAGCAACCAACGGATGGTGGGAAGAAATAAGGTTCAGGCGGAGTCTTTTTTGCCTACACAGTGACAAACACCACTCTGGCCTGAACAGTAGCAAACACCACTCTCAACAGATCAGTAACAAATCATGCTCACCTGCACGAATCACAAACCACACTCATCTGCACGAATCACAAATTACGCTCACGTGCACAAACCACTGCCTGTAAGCGTGCTTGAATTTACTCAAAACGCTCACCTGCACGAACCACTGTCTGCCTGTAAGCGTGCTTGAGTTGAATCAAAACGCTCACCTGCACGAACCACTGTCTGCCTGTAAGTGTGCTTGAGTTGACTCAAAACGCTCACCTGCACGAACCACTGTCTGCCTGTAAGCCGCTTCTCCCTGGATGCTGCAAGTGCTGCATCTGACAGCAACCTATCAGGAGGCGGCGGGAGTAAATGGGGAGAGTGTGAGAGGAGGGCAGCAGTCAGATAAGAGGTGCAAGGAGAGGCAGCAACCAAAGTAAAGAACAATTTTTCAAAATGAACCACGTGCTCTTGACTGCTACTAACTGCAATTGACTGAAATCGACTGCTATGGACTGCAATCGACTGCTAGTGACTCTAACACGAGGTCTCACTTGGCCTTCTCCAGAGTAATCTCTGCCTCAAACCGATCTCGCCACTGCATGAATGTCTCCACAGTAATTGTGATTTATTGCAATTGTCTGCAGTTGACTGCTGTTAACTACTATTGACTGCAATTGACTGCAATTGACTCTAACATGCAGTCTCACTTGGCCTTCTCCAGCGCAATCTCTGCCTCAAACCGATCTCGCCACTCCGTGAATGTCTCCACTGTCACAGGCAGCCCGTGCGGCTCTATCACCTGACCACAACGAGTTGAGACGGGAAGGTGGGGAGGGGAAGGAGAAAGCATATGACGGGTCACAGCGCCACGCATGCATCAAGCCAGCTCAAAGGGCTCGAAGTGTGCCTCCATTATCACGACTCACCAGTAGCCTGTTATAGCGAGAATCCCCATGTTCTTCTCTTTCTTAACATCCTATCCTCTACTCTTAAAGCTTGTAATTAGACTCGCCTCCGTTCTCCTTGAAACTCTCTGGTTCCTCTCCATCACACCACTATACTTCTCTCCCCCCCACTCCCTCTCCCTATTGCTTGCCTCGCAATCATCCTCTTTCAAATTATTCCTATAATCCACCCTCCGCACTGTAAGCTTACATCTGCTAACCCTGATTGTTTCTTTATTTTCCCCTACCAGAGTATATATATTCTCTTTACTCTCCCCACAAGCCTTTTACCACACTGACTTGTATTGTAACAGGACTCACCTCCTCCTCCTCTTCCTCCTCTTCCTCCTCCTCCACTCCGCCGTACTTCTCTCTAAGCCACTCCTTGGCTGACGTGGCAAGAGTGTACATCATGGCCATCCCAAGGTTCGCCTCAGCCTGAAGGGAGGGTGGGGATGGATGGAGGCATGGAGGCATATAGCACTTAGACATCAGGACCATCCCAAGGTTCACCTCTCTAAGCCACTCCTTGGCTGACGTGGCAAGAGTGTACATCATGGCCATGCCCAGGTTCGCCTCAGCCTGAAGGAAGGGTGGAGTGATGGGGGCATGGAAGCATGCATGGGACATGGGGGCATGGAGGCATGAATGGAAGCACTTCGAGAAATCTCGAAGCAAGGCACGGGTCATTTCAACATCATTGCCATGCCTGGGCTTGCCTTGACCTAAAAGAGGGAGCAGAGAAAAAAAAAGATGGAGCAAGAGACATCGATGTATGATGGCGCCATTGTCTCAGATTGAAAGCAGAACAAGCGTTGACAAAAAGAGAAACAGGAGGAAGAGTGGATCCACAGCAAGGTCACTGTACAACGAATGACAAGACATGCCTTATAATGAGGACCCACTCACTATGATATAGATTAATAGTGTAGAATGTAGTAATGAGGGAACAAGTAAGCAAGGGCGTCAGATGCACTTCTGATTCCATCACACTCCCAGCACATGCCCCTTAGTGCAACCGCACACACACCGGTGATGAGACGCACAAAGGAGGCAGTGTGCTTAAATCGAAGGGTTGCTTCGATGAGTGGGCTGCGGGAGATGCGGTCTCGGCCGATGCAAATGGATGCAGTGTGGTGGTGAGTGGTGAGAAGCAGAACGAGAGTGGTGGTGATGGTATGATGTTGATGGTGATGGTGATGATGCTACATGCAAATGGGTTGGCTCGAGCCCATCCCTTATTCTTTTATCCATCATTTGCCCTTCCAGTACTTCGATAATAGCAAACATGGCTCAAAATGCATGTGGCATACATAAGGCTGATACTGAGAACTCAGTATGAAAAGGCCCATAGAGAAACCAGCCCGACATGACAAAAAGTTGACAAATACAAGTGACGCGGAACAAGGCGTTCACAGATACCAGTTTGTACGAAAGGTACCCGGTATAACAACATATGGATTGACACACGGTCGCTTTGTACGATCCATACCTCAACACCGAAAGCTTTTACAGAGGGAAACATGGCTTCTGAGTTAAAAGGACTGGAGGGCCATCGTAACCTGACCTCTTCAAACGTATCGTTAGGTCATTGCAATGTCACCGTAAAAGGAATGGCACGACACGACTTAACAGGAACCCACACTGCAAAGTTATTTAGTGTATAGATTGTAGTAGTGAGGGAAAAAGCAAGAGGCAGGGCGTCAGATGCACTTCTGATTCCATCACACTCCCGGCACACGCCCCTCGTTGCACGCACGCGACCACACACCGGTGATGCGGCGCACAAAGGAGGCAGTGTGCTTAAATCGAAGGGTTGCTTCGATGAGTGGGCTCTGGGAGATGGGTCTCGGCCGATGCAAATGGATGCAGTGCGGTGGTGAGTGGTGAGTAGCAGAACGAGGGTGGTGGTGATGGTATGATGGTGATAATGATGCTACATGCAAATGGTTTGGCTTGAGCCCATCCCTTTTGTTTTATCCATCATTCACCCTTTCAGTACTTGAGAAATAGCAAACATGAGTCAGAACACAGGTGGCAACGGAGAAACTCAGCATAAGAAAATCCAATAGTCGCAAGCCTGGTGCATTAACGCAAGGCCGACTAAAACAAGTGATGAGAAACATAAGAGTTATACAAAAAACAGTCTGTATGAAACATAACCATCCATATAAAAGCACGGAGTAAAGAGAAGGCTTATGATCCATACCTCAACATGGAAAGCTTAGAACATAAAGAGAGAATATTTATAGATACATATTCAGAGAAATTCGATTGCTTAGGGAACATTGTAGAAATAGTAATAGAAACAGGAGGACTGGAGGAGGGCTGTCATAATCTCACCTCTTCCTTGAGCTTGTTGCGAATCTCCTCCAGATCAACGGCTCTCACTCCTTGTAGGCTGCACCACGTCCCAGAATACGCGACCCCACACCGTTCCATGCCATGCCATGCCATTCCACACACACAATATGATCCACGGGCATGCTTGCAGAATCAGTACATGCCTATCAGCAACACTTGGGGGTTCCGTCGAAACAATCTATTTCAATTGCACCATCAGCACTTGAATGAAACACCAGCAAAAGGACCACCTGGAATGAGTGACCAGCAATGGAACCAGCTGACAAGAATAATGCTTGATTGAATCACCTTCGCACAGTGAGCAGCGGTGGCTCATCGGGGTAGGTGGGCGTGTGGGCGAAGTACAGTGCCAGCCGCACTGCCAGACGAGACAGAGGGGACGAGGAGAAAACAAATAATTATGCGCCTAGAAAAATTGGGCCATCGGGGTAGGTGGGTGGGCGTGTGGGCGAAGTAGAGTGCCAGCCGCACTGCCAGAAAGGGGAGGAAAGGAGGGGGAAGGGGGGGAGTAAAAGGGGTGAAAGACGGGATGAGGAGGAAAGCAGGGAAAGAGGAGGTGATATCTAAACACAGGAAACGGCTAGAGAGCAGAGATAGATGAGTGGGGAAGTCAGCCGGCCCAGCCCTTGTTATTGCATTGACTCACATTCTTACATTCACAGAGTGCTAGGCATTCTTACATGACATACGGCACACAGCACATGGCACATGGCACACGGCACATCGCACATAGAATAGGGAACGAAATATGTACCTGGAAAAGGTGTTGTCTCTTCCTCGTCGTCCCCCTGTTCAAATCGTCACACACAAACACAATCCCACCAACACGCACAAACACAGTCCCACCGTGTCAGAGCAGAGAACTGCCACATCAATGCTTGAGAGTCGACCCAGAAGGCAGCACGCATAATCATGACCCCATCCCACAATGTCAGAATTTCCCATGTTGAGAACATCATAAGCTGTGGCATTAATGAGATGAATAGCATACCACAGACAAGGAAACCTGGTGCCAAATTTGTCAACCATTATGAATGGCATATATGGTCACGCCAACGCAAGCATGTTGCCGTATTCGTGGGAGAGATATCACGACACGGTGATCCGATATCGTGCCATGGCACAGCATGGCATGGCATGTCACCAAGCATTCACACTACTTTGGGCAATATTGCGATGTGGGAGCATGGAGTGGAATAGATAGGTAGGAATGTCGTCGCCAGTAATTGCCAGTACCTTGGCTAATAAGACCAACGTGGCACCACCAGTCAGTCACCATTACCTTGGGCGATATGGGGATGTGGGAGCATGGAGAGGCATAGCATGGCATGGCTTGACATGTTTCCATGCATCACGATACCCTGGGCGATATTGTGATCTGGTAGCATGGCATGGCACAGCATGGCCCAATGAACGAGCACCACCAGTCACCATTACCTTGGGCGATATGGGGATGTGGGAGCATGGAGTGGCATAGCATGGCATGGCATGGCTTGACATGTCTCCACGCATCATGTTACCTTGGAAGGTATTGCGATCTGGTAGCATGGCACGGCATGGCCGAATGAACGAGCACCACCAGTCACCATTACCTTGGGCGATATTGGAAGTAGGTAGCATGGCATGGCACGGCATGGTATGGCATGCCGAGCATAGCACCACCAGTCACCATTACCTGGGGCGATATTGTAATTAGGTAGCATGGCTTATCCGCTGGCATGCCCAGGCCTGATGTGTCCTCCACCCCTGCAGAGCACCGATGGGATGACCACCCGGGGATGGGGGGGAGGGGAGGAGGAGGGGCGGGAGCTACATATTGTAATGCGGTAGCATGGCTTATCCGCTGGCATGCCCAGGCCTGATGTGTCCTCCACCCCTGCAGAGCACCGATGGGTGTCATTACCCGTTTATGACCATTCGGGGATGGGGGGATTTGGGAAGAAGTTACGAAGCTGGTCGAGCAACTTTGCACACAGTGTGAGGGAGCAGCAGGGAGAGGGGAGACGAGCAGCAAGGAGAGGGGAAGGGAGCAGCAGGGAGGGGGGAAGGGTCAGGGAAGGGGGAATGGAACATGGGAAAGGACCATGTCACCATGGCATTCAGGCGAAGTGACTCAAAGTTACTCACTCTCGAACTCCTCCATGAGAATCGCCTCTAAAGCCTCCACCTCCATTTGCTGCTCGCCCTCGTAGTCTGTGCAGGGGAGGCAAAGTGAGGAGAGGGGCGGCGAGAGGAGGAAAGGACGGTGTATTATCGCCTCTGCCTGTCCAACACCTCCACCTCCATCCGCTGCTAGCCCTTGTAAGTTGTAGTCTGTCGGGTGGGGTCAAGGAGGGCGGGGCAGCACGGCAGAGGAAGGAAGGGCGAGGGGAGGGGGAAAGAGAGGTGTGGTGGTATCGTCTCTGGTGCCTCTGCTGCCCCGCTACTGCCACCACATCAATCTCCTGATCGCTCATATCATGGTCTGCCAGGTGGGGTCAGGGAGGGCGGGGCAGCACAGCAGAGGAAAGACGTGTGAGGGGAGGGGGAAAGGGAGGTGTGGTGTTATCGCCTCTGGTGCCTCTCTACCGCCTCCACATCGACCTCCTGCTCGCCCATATCATGTCGGGCGGGGGCAAGGAGGGCGGGACAGCACAGTGGGGATGGGAAGTCAAGTCACAGCTGACCAGAAAGACTCCCTGGACTGATCACAATTTTGAAACTAATTTGATCTCCACAGTAAATTGTTTTTTTTTTTTTTTTTTCAAAGCGAATGTCATTATCACCATCACCATCACCAACTATCACGAACCATCATCATCATTACCTGTCATTGTGGCGAGACCACGCTATCTGATCCCAGTGGGTTGAAAGCAACGGGAAAAAGTGATGGTGCCGCTGCTGTTGCTACAATCCACAGGGCCTGCCTGCTCGCCTTTTTTTAGGCTCCTCCTCAAAACTCGCTTATTTCAGGAATCTAAAAAAAGGCAAGCTGCTGCGATGCGATCCACCACAGAACCTGGCTGCTTGCAATGCAGTATGAAGGAGGAGAGGAAGGAGACATGGAGAAGTCGACTCGTTAGGGATGTGCAAAGCGTTTTGAGCATCCAGGACACCAGGAGAGTGCGGCAAACGCATCTGCTGTTGATTCGGCTCAAAATGGGGCGGTCAACATTGGCGTTGTCTCTCCTCAACTCAATTAAGCTCACTTCTGAAGTTTCCCAAATCTCTTCTCAACCCCCAAACTCTGAAGCCCCAAAGTGGGCGAAAAGACAGAAGCAGCGAAAAGTGGGTGAGAAGTATGGGAGAAGGAAGAGGAGGGTGAGGAAAGGAGGGAGAGGATGGATAGGAAGGGGATGAAGTGGAGGGAGAGAAGGGTGGAAGGAAGGGGATGAAGTGGAGGGAGAGAAAGGCGAGGAGGGTGAGGAAAGGAGGGAGAGGAGGAGAGGAAGGAGAGGGGGGAGAGGGGGGAGAGGGTATGGGAGGGAAGCGAGGAGAGGAGGGACGGGAGAGGGGGAGGGACGAGAGGAGGGGAGAGCCGGGAAGAGGGGAGAGACTGGAGAAGGGGAGAGACGGGAGACGGAGGGACGGAAAAGAGGGACGGAAAGGGGAGGGACGGGAGGGGGGAGGGACGGGAAATGGGAGGGACGGGAGAGGGAAGGGACGTGAGGAGGGGAGGGACGGAAGGAAGAGAGGGACGGGAGGAAGAGAGGGAAGGGAGGAAGAGAGGGACGGGAGGAGGGGGGGGGAGGGACAGGAGGGCGCGCAGGAATGTCAGTCCCACTTTGAAGTCCTAGGAGAGTACAGAGGGATGAAAACAATGATCCAGAGAAATAGATTGCGCAGAGAGAACGCGGGAAGCGGGAATAGATGGCAGGAAGAAAAAAAAAGGAAACAGGGCGACGAGAGAGAACAGGGAGGGGAGGCCGACGGTGAAACAGAGAGAGGGAACGGTGGACGGGGATGATCGGAAGGGAAAGGGCGAAAGAGATCATAGTGTCGCATCTTCGCGATCGGGAGACCGCTACTGACCTGATCTCCCGTCACAAACGGCCTCGATACCACGCTACGGTCCAATGCGTTGTGTTTCGAGGAGTCTAAAACCCGGAGTCGCGGTCGGGCGATCGGTGCCGACCTAATGTTTGCGCGCTTCGACCTTGTTAACCGCCGCGATCCGAACGTTATCCTAACTTGTAACCGCTGTCGCTTCGGCACAGGACCCCAGGTGACTCCCACTGGTGCCTAGATTCACGACGGGAGCGGCTGGCTGCTATCTGTGGTTGGGGTTGGCAGAGCTGGTGGTGTTTTTCTCGCTGTGGAGCGGGTTGCCTTTCTTTTTGTGACGGAGTGCACAGCATCTTGCGAATGTGCTGCGATGGGTTGAACGAAAAGTCCGATAACTTTGGCGAACACGCAACACTCGCCCAACAATTTCGACACCCCACCCACAGGCTCGTTGTGAGCCAATTTCGAAACCAACCTTCGTAGCCTTCAAACCTGCTCCACATCATTGTGAGAACAAAACGCAGCTAGATTCACACACGCTCACCTGTTATCGCAGCTTTCCCCAACTTCGTTCTACCAGTTAGTCTTCTCCATAGGTCACCTGTACCAGACACGCGTCTTAGCAGCTGTTCCTTCTTTTCGCGGTTAAATATGGAACATCCGACGTTGGAACGAATCCGAGACAAAGCCAAACGGAAGTTAAAGTGAGGGTCGTTCGATGTATTTGTAATCTCCCTGTGCTGATAGCTTTGCACATCTGAGCACCCTCCTCCCGCAGGTTGCTTCATAATCTCAAACCTTCTACATCTCTGCCGCCAGAGGTTCGTTTTTTACGTGTTACACGTGTTTAGATTACACGTGTGACACGCACTTATGCTCTCTGCTTACAGGAGAATGTCAGCTTGTCAACGCCTTCTCCATCTTGTGGGCCGATGTCAAAAAAGAAAAAGTTTTCAAGTCCATTACCCGCGAATCTGGCACCCGTGCCGCCTGCAGTCTGCAAGTAATCTGCTCGCTGTTCTGTATTTTGCAGCACCGCTTACTCCTTCTAACCTCTTCCTGGATCCCCAGAGAAGTCACGGAAGTGAGAACGTGCATGGCTGAAAAGACAAAATGGTTAATTGCGTCTCAGGCAGCGACTCGCCATTCCAGTGATCTTTCAAAATCCAATACGCTTGACATTCAGGTTGGATTCTCTCATGCTTTTCTTGTTGTGCTTTCAAAAGTATGTCTCACTTGCTCGTGTACCAGAGGATGAAGGTTCCCGTTGGTCTTGTGGAAATGGAGCCTCCTACAAGCTTGATTGGTCAAAAGACGTCGGTGCTTATTGGTAAGAGTTTCCTAGGTTATAACATTGCTAACGGACCTGTGAGAGACATATTGACTTCGACCTTTTGACAGATCGTGCTCCTTTCAAGCCAACGCCAACGACAGACGAACTTGCTTCACTTGTCCTTCCCGGATCAACTAAACTTCTCAGGGCGCTGTTTCTTCCTGCTGTTTACAATGTGGAGTCTGGGTGTCAGAGAGCCGGACTAGCCATCCTGTTGGATGAGCCATTAACCACAAATGACGGGTGAGTTGAGTTGAGTTGGGTGTTGTCATTCCAAACTCAAATCAAACAGCGCTGTGTGGAATGCAGAAACTGGTTCGCTGGTATAAATGAGATGCTACATTTTCCTGGCACAAGCAAAAGTGAACACACAGTTGAAGTTTTGCCTGATATTAGGAGTCAAGCTGTTTATTTCGATAGACATGCTCTACATATGGAAGATTTGACCGATGACCAAGGTCACGCCGAAGTGATTGAGACTGGAGCTTGGAAAGCTTATAAAAGGCAAGTTTCTGAGTTTCGTTTAGCTTGCTCCAGCAAAGAGCACATGAAAGCAGAAGTAGCACTCTGGCTGCGTGCAGATGGTGGATTACTGGAACTAATCTAGGAATAGCTGTAAAGGCTTCAGCTGTCAGTTGTTTGACGAAGTGTGTGCAAGAATTTCTCCAAAGCACCATCATCAAGCTTCACCCCTAAACCCTTGAACATCCCGTAAAACTCTGCCACTTCGCTAAAACTCAGAGGAGGGAAAGGAGGGTAAGGAATGTAAGGAGGGCGAAGAGGGAGTGGAGGGTGAGAGAGAGGAGGGTGAGTAGGGGAGGGTAGGGAGGGAGAGGGGGTGAGGGAGAGGAGGGAGAAGAGAGTGAGGGAGAGGAGGGAGAGGAAGGGGAGGGAGCGGAGGGTGAGGAATGGGAGGAAGAGGAGGGTAGGGTAGGCACAGAGAGGGAATAGGTGGAAGCGAGGAGGGGAGGGACAGGCGGAAGGAATTGATGAAAGGAGGGGGGAGACGGGAGATTGGAGGGATGAAAGGAGAAGAGGGATGGGGGAGGGAAGGGACGGGACGTGGGGAGACAGCAAGCTCGTGGTGTTAAAATCCCAGATGTCAAATACGATATCATGCTTCTGTTGCACTTCTGCCCCAGACCTTTTGAGGATGAATGCTGATTCATAAGTCCATATGGCAGCAGCGGAGAATGAGGATGCAAAAACAAGTACGGTAAAACTTACTGAATCCCCCAAAACAGGAATGTGCCAGCCGGGAAACGAACCCGGGTCTGCACCGAGCTGACGGCAGGGTGCTATTCTACCACTTTATTAACAGTATAGTAAATGTACAATGGATACATGGCAATTCCAGAGAACCACTGTGAAGAAAGAAATGCTAGACTGTCCTACAGTGAGGCCTACAAACAGGCCTCCGTGATGTCTCAGTGGTCACCTCCCAAGTAAGCAAAATCAGCCGCTGAAAGAGAAGTCACCTCGGATGGAACGTGGTTGACGCCCTCGGTAAAACGGATTTGCGCACGCCGACAAACAGTGCGAGCCTGCTCACGCTGGTGGATAAGAGAAATCCGCTTGTAGAAGTTGGTCTCAAACAGCTGGGGAAGAGAATCTGTGGCACCACTCAAGTCACGAACTTGTGAAGCCCCCCTACGGCTGCATTGACGAAGGAAGTTGTTGAAGGAAGCGCCGAAGCAACCGAAGGCTTCGATGACAAGAGGAAACAGTTTGACGTCTCGGCGGTCCCGAAGTGCTGCAGCATAGTGGGTAGTCTTCTCACTTTCACGAGTGGCTGCTGCTGAACCGATTACCGTAGCTGCGTTGGAGTGCGGAAACCCCTTTTGAGGATCAGCTACAGAAACATCCAAGGCCCAGGTGGTACCAGAGCTGATGTCGCGACACGTGATGTCTGTTCGGCGGCCTGGCAGCAGGTGTTGGTCTTCCATTTGCGCAGAGAACCCAAGCTCCAAGGCAATGCGATGAACTTCGCGCTTGATTTCGTCATGCACCTTCGTAGGTTCGTTGTTACTAGGGCAGCGAAGGATGTGAGAATGGATGGAAGGATCGGTGTATGGGGAGTTGCAGGTGCAGGTGTGGGAAAAGTGTAGTGAGCATGTACATTTGTGTGGCGCTCATCATTGCATATTTCACACGAAGGAAATTGGTTTATTATCCCCCCAAAAACAGAGGAATCCCACAATAGCCCAAGCCAACCACCCTGCCTCCCCTCCCCTACCTCTCCCCCTCCCCGGAAGGTGTACAATGCACACATGTATCCTCTTGTGTTCACAAGGGGCAAACATTGAATGTTGCCTTCAGGCCGCACAACACGAGCTGTGCCGCACCCAGCCATGGCCACATTATTCCCACCCCACACCCATGCATGCAGCTATGCTCACTACACCCATGCACACATCCTCCTGCTCCGCATGCTCTCTACTTGACAATGAGGAGCCGCACAATCTCATTGCCCTCGTGCTCCAGGATGTGGCAGTGCTACATACAGCCCTGGCCACGTTATTCCCACACCCATGCACGCCGCTGCTGTGCTCTATACACCCATACCATCCACACGCGGTGCTCCCCATGCTCTCTACGTGACAATGAGCGGGCGCATCATGTCGTTGTCCTCGTGCTCCAGGATGTGGCAGTGCCACACGTACCCCGGGCCACGCGTGGGGTTGAAGGGGAACGGCGACCCGTCCTGCAACCACCACACCCACACACACACACGAGCATAACACAGACATCAGTACACTCCAGGCCTTGGAGCATCCCATTCCATTCCCTGCTTCAGTAAAGAAAGCATCGAAAGTACCGCCTTCTAGGAAGACAGGAAGACAGGAAGACAGGACATAGGAAGACAGAACTGAGACCAGAATCTCACCTGGGCGAACCATCCGGTCCAGAGGGTGAGCACCTCATCCCGCATCAGCACAGTGGTGTCCTTCCACCCACGCTCATACGCAGCCACGCTGCCCGCCCTCCCACTCACACTCACGCTGCTCCCCTCCCCCGTGAAGCAGCTGGGCAGGGAGGCGTTGGCGTGGGGGAAGGTGCAGTGGCCGGTGCGATAGGCGGTGCGGTTGAAGGGGCGGCGGGCGAGGGGGCGGTGCATGATGAGGTGCAGGTGGATGGGGTGGGCGTCTGGCGTGTCGTTTATTATGTGCCATAGCTCCTCCGAGTTCTGCTTGCATGGCACAGCACATGGCACATGGCACATGACGCATGGAAAAAAGGGCATCAATGGGGGGATGTATCAGTAGGCGTGATGTGCCATAGCTCCTGCGAGTTCTGCTCACAACACATATGGACAGGTGGCACAGGGCATGTGGGATATGGCACATGACACGCAGAGTGGAAAGACGGCAGGCACGGGGGTATGGGGTGAAAGCGAAACAAGTGGATGGGATGGGTGTCACTGTGTAAGGCGTGGTGTGCCAATGTGCCTTGCGTACACAATCATCTGCATGCGTGTCTCTCCACCTCTACACTCTACCATCTCGGGTGCCTTGCCTTGCTACACTCAACCGCGACTGACTTTTGAGTTGACTCAAGAGTCACCTCGCTACACTCACCCGCTTGGGAGTCTCAGTGGCGGGATCACTGAAACCAAGGCCATCGAAGGTGATGCGCGATTTCACCTGCACGGCTGTCATCCACCTCTCCTTGCTCACACGGGAGAGGCGCAGCTTGGGAAGGGACTGCCACGGACGGAGGGGGGTGTGAGGAGAGAGTGCGAGTGAGGCGCACAGGCCGGCTCGTTAGAAACAAACTACTCCACTTTTTGGGACGGCCGGCTCTTCAAGAACCGAAGACACCAGCACGGCTGTCATCCACCTCTCCTTGCTCAGACGGGAGAGGCGCAGCTTGGGAAGGGACTGGTAGGGTGGGAAGGGGATGTGTGGAGGAGGAGAGAGTGTGAGCGAAGAGGGGAGAGTGTGAGTGAAGAGGAGAGAGTGTGAGTGAAGAGGAGAGAGTGTGAGTGAAGAGGACAGGCAGGCCTGTTGGCGGAAGTTAACTGCACGGCTGTCATCCACCTCTTTTCGGTTACACGGGAGAGTCGGAGCGTGGGAAGGGACTGGCACCGGGGGGAATGGCACGGGACCACGACGCCCGTGCCGTTGCTGCCCGCCCAACCCATGCTGCCGTTCCCACAGCGCACACACATACTCACCACAAGCTTCTTGGGGAGGGGTGGCGACGGCACAACACCCCCCGCGCTATCCACAAGGAACCGCATGACCACGCCCGTGGCGTTGCTGCCCGGCGCGGCGCCCGAGGGGAAGGGCGCGGGGGCGTCGTTGGTGAGAATGACGTCAGCGCAGGAAGAGGGGAGCGAGGCAAAGTCGACGAGAATGTCGTGGCGCTCCCCCGGGGCGAGTAGAAGGGAGGAGCGGGTCACTGGGTCGGGCAGGTAACCGCCATCCGTGCCGATCTGGTGGGTGGGGAAGAGGAGCAGCAGTTGACTCAGAAGTCGACGAGAATGTCGTGGCGCTCCCCCCGAGGCGAGTAGCAGGGAGGAGCGGGTCACGGGGCGGGACAGGTAGCCTCCGTCCCGCCCCGTGACGGAGGGAGGAGTGAGCAGCAGGGAGGAGTGCATAAGGAGCAGCCATGTTGTGACACTCCATTGGAACGAGCAGCAGGGAGGAGCGGATTATTGGACGGGGCACGTAGGTAGGTACCGGGACGGGCGGGTTACCGTCGGTGCCAATCTGGTGGGCAGGGGAGGGGAATGGGGAGGGGGGACGGAAGGGGGAGAAGAGGGAGAAGGGAGCGAGAAGGGGAGGGTTGGAAGGTAGCTGCTGTCGGTGGCAACGTGGAGAGAAGGAGAACCCGAGTGGGATGGGGGAGGAGGGGAAGGGAAGGGAAGGGGCGAGAGGGACTGGTTGTGCACGCTAATGACTGTTAGAACTGAATGGGAAGGGAGACGGAAGCGGAGTGGAAATAGCATGGTGAGGGACAAGGGAGGGTGCAGAGGGATGAGAATATGTGGAGAGGAGACGCACATGAGCTTTGAGTCAGAGTCAGAACACACGCGGTTTTGTTTTAAATCGAGTCGAAACTAGCCCACGAACATGCAACAGCTGATGCTGCAGTGTGAGCGCTGTTGCTGTCATACATGCAGCACACAACACACAGCACAGCATAACACACCTGGGTGATGGGCAGCACACAGCATAACACACCTGGGTGATGGGCAGCACACAGCATAACACACCTGGGTGATGGGCAGCGTATCCCCTGTGATGGGCGGGGTGAAGTCGGGGTAGTTGTCAGGAGCAGCGCACACGAAGCGAAGGCGGAAGAAGCGACTGCTGGCCGCCCCCAACACTCGGAAGCGGTACCGCGTGCGCCTCACCGATAGGAACGGCCAGACCTGAGACAGATGAAGGGGAAGGGAATGAGTGATTGACAGAGGGAGAAAGTAAAAGAAGTGGAATGATGAAACGAAGGGGGAAGAAGCGACTGCTGGCCGCCCCCAGCACGCGGAAGCGCTACCGCGTGCGCCTCACCTCTAGGTACGGCCAAACCTGTGGGGAGCGGTGAGATGAGGTGAGATGAGGTGAGGTGAGAAGAGGTGAGGTGGCGAGGTGTGGTGAGGTGAGGCGAGGTGAGTGAGATGCAATGAGGTTAGATGAGATGATTTGACGAGATATGTCGCTTGCATTACCTGAGACAGAGGAAGAGGTGGGATGTCGAAGATCAACGGAAGATCGAAGCAGAGGCAGGGGAGGAGGAAGAGAAAGAAGCAGGAAGCAGCGGCACCGCCAGCACGGCTCACCAGGCCACTAACGAGGATGATATCCCCGAGGTACTCGGGCACCCAACCATCAGCGGTAGTTACTGCGGGGTAGTTGATCGACCCATTGGCAAAGAACGTCCGGTCTGAGATCGCCAGCGGGACTCACAAGGCTGGTAATCCCGAGGTACTCACCAGGCCACTAACAAGGATGGAATCCCCGAGGTACTCCGGCACCCAGCCATCAGCGGGGTAGTTTATCGACCCGTTGGCAAAGAACGTCCGGTCTGAGATCGCCAGCGGCACCGTAAACTCAGGGCCGGGAAGCTGCGCACGAAGCTTCCTCTCGACGCCTTTCGGGTCGGTGAGAAGGTACAGCCCCGCCATGCCAGCAGCGACGTTGAGGCGGGTGATGCCGAGGGCGTGGTCGTGGTACCACAGGGTGGCCGCCTGCTGCTCGTTGGGGTAGGTGTAGCGGCGCGACCGGTAGGTGGGGCCGGTTTCCCCGAACTGCGTGAACCACGCCTGTGGGTGGCCGTCGGAGTTGGAGGGGGTCTCTCCGCCGTGCCTGTGGACCACTGCAGGAGTGCAGTGTGGGCCAGCGAGAGGGCGAGGGAGAAGGGCAAGGGGGTTCTGAGGGTAGCGAAGGGCGGCGTAGTGAAAGAGAGAGCAGAGGGGAAAGGGATGACAAGGGAAAGGGGAGGACCGGAGAGCAGAGGGGACAAGAGGAAGGGACGGGATGGGGCGGAGGGGGAAGGGGAAATGGTGGGGGAAGAAGCAGTAGTTACCAATTGGGATGCCGCCACGCTTGGGGTGAGCAACGTCCATGAGGGTGTAGTCCACTGTGAACATGTGACTCCTGTCCCTCAGGTGGTTCTCCCACCGAACCTGGTGGATTCCCATGCCATGCACGCACATGCGCACAGAGGCAGACAGAGAAGGCAAGGTTTGCACAGTGCACACACACCTGCTGGGATCGCATCGCTGGGAACTAAGAGACTACTCACTTCTCCCAGCGGTCCTGGTGCAATGGAATGCACACAGAGAAGGAACATTGCACAAGGCAATCGCAACCATGCCCCCTGTACCACCACCCGCCACTCTCCAACCCTCCATGCCATTCCACCACCCTCCACCCCTCCATACCACTCCCCACCCCTCCGTACCACCCTCCCACCCCTCCGTCCCGTGGCACCACTCTCCACCCCTCCGTACCACCCTCCCACCCCTCCGTTCCGTACCACCACTCCCCACCCGTCCGCACCTTGGTGGCGATCCCCCGTCGGGCGACGAGAGTGGGGCCAGGGTAGTGAGCAGTGCGCGCGTTGAGCCCATAGGCGTACAGCTTGGTGGCCGGCAGGTCGCGGTGCAGCTTCTGAGGAAGGGAGGGGGGTGGGGGAGAGGGAGAGGTGCGGGCGGAATGAGAGAGCGGGAATGTGAGCAGTGCGCTCGTTGAGCCCGTAGGCATAGAGCTTTGTGGCGGGCAGGTCGCGGTGCAGCTTCTGTTGATGAGGAGATGAGGGGGGGAAGGGTGTGGGAGGAATGAGAGAGGCAGCATGTGGACGAGGGAGGGAGAGCGTCGAGCATATTGGAGCCAACGCCCACACATACCTGGTCGACATATGACCCGCCAACCCAACAGGCTATCCATGTACGCGCTTAAAACTGCCTCAAAACCGTCACAAAACACACTTCTCAAGTTCGACTCACTTGGTAGATCTGATACGCGCCGATGTGGATCGTCTTCCCCGTGGACGCGTCCACCTCCACGCGCGACGCGGCCGCCAGGTCATCCACGAACCTGCACAGCGGCTTCCTGGGGAACTCGTTCACGCACGCCGGCCCCGCTAACGGCGCCCCCTGTACAGTCACACCGGCGGCGGCGGCGGCGAGGAGAGCAACGGCAGCGGCGACGACGACGGCGGCTGCGAAGGCGAGAGGTGCTGGCGGGTCGCGGAGAAGCAAATGGCAGCGAGCGCGAGCGCGGGTGGGAACGCGGGTGTGAGCCATCGTGATGCCGGAAGAGAGTGCTGTGAGCAGAATGTGACAGGCGTGTTGATCGCAGGTAATTATGGTTACTTATGAGTCAGGCCTAAGGATTATCGGCGAGAATGGGCGGTGAAGGTGTGGTTGAGGGATTGTCGATTACACGGAGGGCTTTATCGTGAGACGATCGCGTCGAGTCGGCCTGGAGACGACCTCGTCGAGTCGGCATGAGTGGAAGCCGCGTGGTGCTACTCTGATGCGCGTCGCGTGCCCTCCCCCATCTGGCTGTCGTATGGGGTGTCGCATGACTGTCGCATGGGTGTCGTACGGATGTCGCAGGAATGTAGAATGGGTGTCGTATGGGTGATTCCTGGACACATGGCGAGTCGCTGCCATCGCTGTCGTTTCGCGCCGTCCCCTGTGATGGCTCAACCGTGCTGACTTGGATTGACTTGCGTTCGTTCGAACGCGACAATCGTGGCATCGCGTAACCCAAAATCAACGGTCACACGACGCTGACGCGAGACAGGAGACGCGCTGTCGATTCCGTCTGTTTCTGATCCAGACGCTATAAGCCCCGCATCGTGCCCTCTCGCCTTCGCCGTCTGGCAGAACATGGCGGTTCGGCTTCTGTGCCTTGCCAGCGCGACAGCACTCCACCCGCTCTGGACCATACATCAACGGTGCCAGATGCGCCATCTGCGCCAGGTGCGCCAGATGCGGTCACATTGGTTTCGTCTCGACGTGCCGGCAAAGCTACAGCACCAGGGTGTTGCGACCTTCTGGCCATAGCAAGGGTGACTGACGGCAGACCTTACGGCCTGGCAGAAGTAAGATGCTGTCATTCGCGTTTTCGTCCGTCGCCTGTCACCTGTGAGCCATCGCCCGTCGTTGTTCATCGTCCGATGCTTTTTATGCTATTGCGCACTTTTGAATGCTTTGATGCATTCATTACAAGCAGCTTCCATACACAATATGGAAACAACGATACATATGTAGTCTCAATATGCCTTGGAAAAGAAAAGGAAACATGCATCTCAACTGCGTAAGGGTTGCGCATGAGCTACCTGTTTTTTGTTTTAATAAGGAATACACATCGACATGACCGTTATGATTTATCACAAACGTAGTAACTAGGAAAAGAGTCTGCCTATGCATATGCTTGCAAAAAGCCTCGAGCTATTCCAGAAGGCAGATGCTGCCTTTTTCTCAATGCATCTTCTGGCGGGAGCACGATGTTGTATAAACCGTGAACCGGTGAACGAAAGGTCGAGTTCCATGAACAGTGTTTTACACAGTGAAGTCAGGAGCAACGTCATGAATTGGATAACTAAGTACATTATATAACATATAACAGTATTTTTTGTTACACTATTGTAAACTTCATGAGTCGTGTTCCAAACTGGATCATTTGCCATTGGCTTGCAATAAACCATCTCCGCGATTAGCGGAAACTGCCTAAACAGGAACAACCACCTCGCGGAGGGACGAGATGACTGTATGTAACAAGCACTGAGCAGAGTAGCTAACCCAACCATTTCAGTCTTTACCGCACTGAAACGCCTGGTATTCAGAAAAACACCTTTGGTGGAAGGAACCAAGCTCAACCAATTGAAAGCACATCACTTGGCGGGCGATGCGGTTGTCGCCTGTCGTTGACCAAATTCGACCAATCGAAAGCAGCCTCTGCAACGCTGTTCCGTGTTTTTTGTGCTTCGCTGGCTGAGGGACAAATTCGGTTGGGTTGGTTGACACGTTCAGCGAGAGGAACTGCAGGAAGGCGAGATGCGGGGGTGTGCCACTGAACTTTTTGATCACTCCACATTCTCAGCATACAGTCGAAACGAAACAAATACACTAGTCCACACCACCCTTTCAACCCATTCCCACCTGAGCAACTGGCATATGTACACCCCATGTATAAAAGGCGACTGTTCTTTATGGATCTTTCGATCTCCCTCGAAGCGTTGTCGGGTCGTTCCTCCACACATTTGGGAAGTCGCATCACCACAACAAAAGATGCCTGCGCACGCGCATTCACTGCCCTATTCACGTTCTCGTGTCCCCTTGGGCGGTGTTCGGCTGCCACAGGGGATCGACCGATGGATGGGTGGAGAGATCAGTTTCGCAGCTAGGGTTTCTAGTTCGGGGTGGTCAGCTCGGAGTCAACCGTCTTTGACTCCAAGTCGGGGGTCCAGGCGGAAGCGGGAAGTTTGGGAGAAAAGGCGCGGACGAGCGACTCGGGAAATAGCGGCCCACGAAACTGCAGCCGCTCGAGACGAAACTTCGCGAGCTGAACAGTTTTCAAGAAATTACTGTTGGAATTTGTCTGGGTAGCTTACTCGCTTTACAATTTGTACACCCTAAATAAACTTAAGGGTGTAAATGACGGTTCGACTTTACTTAATTTTGAAGATTTCATTCTGAATCTGTGCGTTTAGCAATTTAATTTCAATGTCCGGGTTATTGTTTTTTTAGAGTGTTGGGTAAATTCATAATCGAAAATTATGGAAGGGGGCATGGATTCTTCATTCCCCATGGGCCGAGACCATCATGAAGTGTCCCAGTCAATTGAATATTGAATGGGCACTTCCGAAGGATGAGGTTCCGGGTTCAAACCCCAGTGCCGGCGTGTTCCGCCAGCCCCTCAGAAGGGGGTTTCGCACTGCTCACCAGGGAGTGGATATGCCTTACCTCGATACCCAGCGAGGCGTGTAAACAAGTGGGTAGGCGGATTACGATCGACAGCCGGGGGTAACCCAAAGGGGGCCATTCCCCCCCCCCCCCCCCCTTTACCTTTACAGGGCCTAGACCACCCACGGGAATGCATTTTTCATGCCCTGAACACTAGGGCGGAGTTTTTCCGCATGGGGGGGAATTGGGGGGAGGACGCGACGCGGGTTCAAGCCTAGCGCGGGGTTCGCGTCGCGTTTTAGGCTCACGTCCGACACTTTTTTCACAATTTTCGCGGCTGACCGAAGTGTTTTGCCTGGTTCGAACAGGTCGAAGCAGGAGCCTCGGCGTTTTGATGCTCCTTTCCATCCCCTCCCCCCCAACCCCTGTGGCAGCCGAACATCGCCTTGCAGAAAGAAGGTCGACAACACAACCAGCAAGAACCACATCACACTGTCACCACGAGGAACAAAGCCCTCGACTCGAATCCAGTTGAACGTGTCTCCTTGTTCTCGTTCTGCTCTGCATTTCTCTCCACTGGATTCAGCGCAACCTAGTCGATACTCTGTTTTCTCTCAAAACTCTAATTCTGTGCGTTACCTCCGTAGTCACCTCAAAAGAACTGGCGACCATGACGACCGAGCAGCGTCTTCTTCATACTGAAATGGCTGAAGAACACTTGTCAATACGGGTGGACTCACGGGACTTTCGTGACGATAACGAATCAAACGATGCGGCTAGACAAACAACAGCTGTTGATCTTGAGACGATAGAAAGCGACGAAGCAGGCAGGTCGCACGCAGAAAGCGACGTCGCCGAGGGCGCCGGCGACGCATTACCCCTAATCAGCAAGCGAACGATCAACACGCACGGGCGGAGTCCGCGGCAAGATACCAGCGAAGCGTCAGATTTCACGTCAGTAGACGGCCAAGCGAACGGTTCAACGGAACCGACTCTCCAATGTCGATGTCTTGGTGGCCGGAGCAACAAAGTCGCAGACGAATGCAGCGACGACGACTCCGACGACGCCTCCGGCGATGGCGACAGCAGTTCGCGAAAGCAGTTCGCGAAATCCCTCTCCGTAGGAAGCGCGGCGAGCGGCGGTGCGGGAAGCGGAGAGGTTATTGACGCGAAACCGAACGACATCAAAGCTCCAATCCGCGTGCGACGCGTGGACTTCGACATTAACAGCGAGAACCACTACGTGATCGTGATTCACGGCACGTTCGACGCGCCGCCCGCCGACGGCGCGCCGATGTGGTACCAACCGCCGCCTGCCGGCGAGCAGAACTTCTGCCGGAAACTCAGCCGGCTGTTAGCGGCCGGCCCGATCGGGCATGACGCGGTATGGCGCGACCTTCCATGCTCCGCGCTCCCGGGAATTCCGTATCCGTTTCACTGGGACGGCTCGAACACGCATGCGGGGCGCGTAACGGCGGCGATGAAGGTGAGCGGTGGATGCGGATAACTGCTGCGCGCAGTGAATCCGCTGCGCTGCCCAAGGGTTGAGCCTCTGCGGAGGCGGAAGCGTCTGCTGGTTCCACATTTTACCCGGTTTCGAGCGACACAAACAGCGTTTCGTTTTAGCTGTTACATTAATAGGTCGTTTCCATCTCTGTATCACCATGGCGTATCTCCTCTCCTGCTGCCCTCTTTCGTGCCAGCTGCACAACCTGCTCGACCAAATCGCGCAGAACGACCCGGCGGCGCGGATTCACCTCGTGGCGCACTCGCACGGCGGGAACGTGCTGCTCAAGACGATCGAGCTGGTGAGTACGAGCGGCTATACTAGACGTCTCAGATTTCCAACTCGTATTTTGAGGCGCATCGAAACTAGACCTCTCGGATTCCACCTGGTGGCGCACTCTCACGGCGGCAACGTGCTGCTCAAAACCATCGAGCTGGTGAGTGACACGAAGGCCCAGGTAAACGATAACATATGCGCATATAGAGCGAGCGAGTTTCAGTGGTATTGCCAGCTGTGGACCTGTTATTCGTTGAGAAAGGTCGGGAGGTAACGCTGGTTACCCTAGATGCCAATTCGCAAAGCTTCAACCCCTTCTCTCCCCCGTTCCCTCCACTCTTTCCCCTTCCCCTTCCGCCCATCCGCACAGTACATGGCGAAGCTGGCGCGGCGCCCCAAGGCGGAGTGGCACCCGGCGGTGGCGCAGCGGTTCTGGGCGGCGCACAGGCGCGGCTACGAGCTGATCAAGAAATGGCGGCGCCTCGACTTGTCCGACTCGTGGTGGCGCTTCTTCCCCTTCCTCGTTGTGTACCGAGGGTGAGCGAGTGAGAGAGGGGGATATAGAGAGTGAGGGAGCAGGAGTGCGTAGGGAGAAAGAGAGTGAGAAAGGAAGAACAAGGCGCAAGGGAAGGAAGTTGCTTAGCGGTGGTCATATGGGCAGGTGGTCTGGACGGTGCACAGGTGCGGCTACAAGCTGATCAGCAAGTGGTGGCGGCTGGTCTTGTCCGACTCGTGGTGGCGCTTCTTCCCCTTCCTTGTGGTGTATAGAGGGTGAGTGGGTGATGGAGGGAGTGAGTGCGGGACTGCATAGGGAGCAAGTGAGTGAGAAAGGAAGAGCAAGGCGCAAGGGAAGGAAGTAGCTTAGCGGTGGTCATTTGGGCAGGTGGTCTGGACGGCGCACAGGCGGGGCTACGGGCTGATCAAGAAGTGGCGGCGGCGGCTCGACTTGTCCGACTCGTGGTGGCGCTTCTTCCCCTTCCTCGTCGTTTACCGAGGGTGAACGAGTGAGTGTGAAGAATGTAGGGAGTGAGGGGGCGAGTAAGGGAATGAGAAGAGTGATGGGCGAGTGAGTGATCCAGGGAGCGAGGGAGTGAGTAAGTGAGAAAAGAAGGGCAAGGCGCAAGGAAGGCAGTGGCCTAGCGGTAGCGGCAGGTGGTTTGCATGGCGCACAGGCGCGGCTACGAGCTGATCAAGAAGTGGCGGCGGCTGGATTTGTACCGCTCGTCGTGGCGCTTCTTCCCCTTCCTCGTTGTGTAACGAGGGTGAGTGAGTGAAGGGAGAGAGTGAAGGGAGTGCAGGAAGGGTGTGAGGCAGAGAGGCGCGAGTGCGATACAAGTAACAAGCACAAGGGTGGGAAGCTGGGTGGGAGAGGTAATAACGGCAGCACCAACTGTTCTCTAACCCTCTGCACCAATCTCCTTACGAGCAGGTTCAACGGGCAGAGGGTGAGCGGCGTGAAAGAGACCTACCCGTGGGCTCTCCACCAATGGCTGCACACCATGCTGAGCATGCCAGCCGTGCGTTCGCTTCCTCTACCCCTCTGCACCGAACTCCAATCCCTCTTCCCCCTTGCGCCCTCCCACCCCACCTCCCGTCACCCAGGTTCAACGGGCAGAGGGTGAGCGGAGTGAAAGAGACTTACCCCTAGGCGCTCCACCAGTGGCTCGACTCCCTCCTGGACCTCCCAGCCGTTTCCTCTACCCCTCTGCACCGCATTCCACACCCTCTTCCCCCCCTTTACTCCCAGGTTCAACGGGCAGAGGGTGAGCGGCGTGAAAGAGACCTACCCCTGGGCGCTCCACCAATGGCTCGATACCCTCCTCGACCTGCCATCTGTCCGCCAGCGCCGCTTCTCGTACTCATCTGCACCGAACTCCACTCCCTCTTCCCCTCCTCTGCTCCCAGGTTCAACGGGCAGAGGGTGAGCGGCGTGAAAGAGACCTACCCCTGGGCGCTCCACCAGTGGCTGGACACCCTTCTGGACCTCCCATCAGTCCGCCAGCGCCGCTTCCTGTCGTTCCGCCAGGCCACGTCGCCCGTCACCAACGCGCTGGGCTCTCTGGTGTTCCTGGGAACGCCCTTCTACATCAAGAAGTGGCAGCGCCACGGGTTTGTGCGCATGCTGCTGTCAGTGGGGGTGGGCGTGCTGCTGACGTTCCTCTTCATTCTCGCCTACACGGCGCTCTGGGAGGTGCTGGTGCTGCTCATGGCAGGCAGGCCGCAAGAGTGAGTGGCTTCTAGTGAACGGTGGTGTCAGTAGTGGTGTGTGATTGTGTGGGGTTGCGCGTGCTGCTGTCCGTGGGGGTGGGTACACGGCGCTGTAGGAGGTTCTCGTGCTGCTCATGGCAGGCCGCCCGCAGGAGTGAGTGGCTCGGGTTGATTGTAAAACAATTCTGTTCGGGGGGGCTGTGATTGTGTGGGGCTGTAATTGTGTGGGGCGGTGATTGTGTGGAGCTGTGATTGTGTGGGGCGGTGACTGTGTGGGGCTGTTGATGCTGGGCCGTCACACTACGCGGAGTTCGGTCCTCACCTCGTCATTCTCCTCAAATTTCACAGTGAATTTGAGAATTCTCAAAAGCAGCTCCCCCGTTCCTTTTCCCCCCCACACGGAGTCGGCCCCGCACCTCATCCTCCTTCTCAACTTCCTCATCGCCATTGGCATCATAAAAGCACCTCAACTTGTGCCTTGTTGCTCCCCCCAACCCCCCCAGGTTCTACGCGGAGTCGGCCCCGCACCTCGTCCTGCTGCTCAACTTCCTCATCGCCACTGGCATCATGCTGCTCGTGCTGGTCAAGCAGATCATGGACGTGAGTGTAACGAGGTGTCATTGTAATGAGGCGTGGTGCGATGATGTGTGGGTATTCTGAGTGGGAGCACAACCACACACGCATGTCACCACGGGCATCATGCTGCTCGTGCTGGTCAAGCAGATCATGGACGTGAGTGTAACGAGGTGTGAGGTTAACGCGACGTGAGGTTAACGAGACATGAGCGTAACGAGATGTGTTGGGGGCAGCACTGCAGTGGATGTGAGTGCGAGGGCAACAGCACGGGCATCATGCTGCTCGTGCTCGTCAGGCAGATCACGGAAGTGAGTGTCACGAGGTGTGGGTAAAAACATATGATGCGGGCAATACCACAATGGATGAGTGTAACCAGGTGTGAGTGTAACCAGGTGTGAGTGTAACCAGGTGTGAGTGTAGGGAGAGTGAGTGGTGGATGTAGCTGTATTGGGGCGTTGGTGGTACGTAGTTTCACCATGGATGTGAGTGGGAGGGCAGCCACACAGCCATGCCTTCAATCCCTTCTGCTTCTCTCCACCCTCCCACCCTGCTCCACCATCCCCCTGCCATCTCATAATCCCCACTTCGCTCCTTAACCCCTTCTTTTAGATTCTAAAAATTTTCTCCCCCACCTTTTCACGCCATGGGCTGTTGTGAGGTGCTGTGGCAATCTCAACCACAGCCCGCCGTTGCTCTCCTTTGCTTCTCAACCACCTCTTGCAATCCCTGCCTCTCATCTTCCCCCACTCTTCCCCCTCCCCCACTGTAGGCCCAGAACCCTTTGATCTCCTTCCCCTCTCATCCCATCTTTTTGCCACCCTCGCCTCTCTTTTCCCTCCTCCCCCTCCCACCCTCTAGTCCCCCAGGCCACGGGCAACACAGTGCTGTACAGCGGCAACCTCTACCACAACCCGGCCTTCGACTGGTCGCCCACACGATGCCGACCCCTTTGCGCTCCCTCTCCTCTCATCCTGCCTATCACCCCCTTCCTCCCCCCTCCTCCACGTCAGGCCACGGGCAACACAGTGCTATACAGCGGCAACCTCTACCAAAACCCTGCTCTCTCCTGTCATCCTCATCCCACCTTTTCACTCTCCTCGCGCCTCTCCCTCCCACTCCTCCAGGCCACGGGCAACACGGTACTGTACAGCGGCAACCTCAACTACAACCATTCGCCTCTCACCCCGCATTCTTGCTATCCCCACGCCTCTCTCTTCCCCTTTCCCCTCTCCCACCAGGCCACGGGCAACACAGTGCTGTACAGCGGCAACCTCTACCACAACCCGGCCTTCGACTGGTCGCCTGCCATGTCCGCGCTGGTCATTCACGCGGGCAAGCTGGACGAGGTCAGTCAACAACCCATCCCCACCCTTACCCCCACTACCCCCACTACCCCCACTACCCCCACTACCCCCACTACCCCCACTACCCCCACTACCCCCACTACCCCCACTACCCCCACTATTCCCCTCTCACTGGTCTCCACCCTCGCTCACTGACGATGCGAGTGCCCTTGGACTGGTCGCCTGCCATGTCTGCCCTCGTCATTCACGCTGTCAAACTTGATCAGATGAGTGTGCCACGAACTGCCACACCCTGCCAACCTTATTCGTCCCCAAACTCGCTCACTGCTGAGGCAAGTGCCTTCCACTGGTCGCCTGCCATGTCCGCCCTCGTCATTCACGTCGGCAAGCTGGACGAGGTGAGTGCGCCACGAACTGCCACCCCCTGCCACCCCCTGCCAACCCCCTGCCAACCCCTGCCAACCCCATTCGCCCCCACTCTCGTTCACTCACCAAGCGAGTGCCCGTCGGCTGGTCGAATGGCATATCGCATTTCCCACCTTCCTTTGAGACGTCTCAGTATGTGTCGGCTGGTCGAATAGCATATCACGTTTCAAACCTTCCTTCACTCTTCCCCCTCTCTTCACCTTACTCATCTCTTCGTTGCTTTTGCCATCTCTCGAATGAAACACCCAGATTTTCCCCATCTCCCCTTACGCCTCCCATTCCCTGCCTCCCATTCCTCTCCCAACACTCCTCTCCCCCACTCCTCCCCTTCTCCCCCTTTCAGGCGAGCCTCGCTCTATCCATGGAGCCAATCACGCGCGCCTACGTCTTCCCCCACCTGACAAAACTCCTGAAGCAAACCCCCTGGGCCCCGCTCCCAAAAGCCCCCACGCGCTACGCCCCCCAGCGAGTGTGGTGCTCCTTCCTGTTCCACTGCTCCGTGGTGCTCGTGTGGGACGTGCTCTTCTTCCTCCCCGCTGCCATCCTGTCCCTCGTCTCGCACCTCATCGCCCCGCTGGTGACCGGGTGGATTCAGCAGGCCGTGGTGGCCGTCAGCTTTGGGCTGTCTCCAGGGGATTTGAGCTACGCGTATGTGTATGTGGACGAGCATCTGGATATGGAGCTGGCTACGCAGCAAGTTGATCACTGGAACGTGCAGGTATGGAACGTGGAAGGGTGGGGAAGTGAAATCTGGCTTAGTTGGTACCCTGTTACTGCCACACAGACGGATTTGAGCTACGCGTATGTGTATGTGGACGAACATTTGGATATGGAGCTGGCTACACAACAAGTGGATCACTGGAACGTGCAGGTAACATAACAAGAGGAGTGGGAGCATGTGGGCTGGTCTGGTTGGTATCCTGTCACTGCCACCCAGACACACCTGAGCTACGCGTATGTGTATGTGGACGAGCATTTGGATATGGAGCTGGCCACGCAACAGGTCGACCACTGGAACGTGCACGTATGGAACTTAGAATGTAAGGGTGGGAGCGTGCAGGCTGGTTTGGTTGAAATCCTGTTACTGCAACCCAAAATCGCATTGCCTGCTTGAGCTACGCGTATGTGTATGTGGACGAGCAGGTGGATATGGAGCTGGCTACACAGCAGGTCAATGACTGGAACGTGCAGGTAAGTGCTGCTGCTAGCCTCGTTGCTATTCCCTGTGCGATTGCTACCCGCTCTGCATTTCCTCTCTCCTCCCCTCCCCCCTCCCCTCCCACTGTCTCTCCATAGCCTTCTCCTGTCCCCCTCTCTCCTCCTCTCTCAGAAACTGCTGGCAGAGGCGAAGACCAAGTCGCTAAAGGGAGAGCTCATGCCCGGCTATGAGGACGACACTGTCGAGCAGCCTGAGTGGCTTTACTTCAATTCCCACTTCCCCTCTCTCCTTTTCCCCATATCTGACTACAGAAACTGCTGGCAGAGGCGAAGACCAAGTCCCTCAAGGGAGAGCTCATGCCTGGGTATGAAGACGACACCGTGGAGCAACCCGATTGGCTGGAGCCGTCCCCTGCGGCCCATCGCCGTGACCGCACGCCCCGTTGTGACGGCAGCACCAGCACTGCCACTACGCAGCAGCAGCTGCTGGAGGGGCTCAAGCTCCCCCCGGCTGCTGCTGTGCAACCCCGCTCAGGCGAGGGGGGTAGTGGAAGTGGGGAGGGTGACGGAAACGAGGGGGGTAGTGGAAGTGGGGAGGATAGCGGAAACGAGGCGGGGTGCGGGGCACCTCACAAAGCACTGGCTGCTGTGCTGAGGAGGAACACACACAGCGTGTTCCGGAAGAGAGGGGGTGCACGAGGGTTGCTGCTGAGGCGCACAGGCGGTGCGAGGAGCAAGGAGGGCGGCAAGGCAGGCCGGCATGGGCCTCTGGCAGGTGGGACAGAAGCGGGTGTGGGAGAGGGGGATGGGGAAGGGGAGAGTGACAGTGCAGATAAGATACTTCCATCTGGTCCCGGTCCTGTTTCATCCAGTGCTCCATCTGGTGCCGCCCCCACTCCTGCTGGCCCCAGTACAAGCAGTGCCAGGGAACCCCGTGAGAAACTCGCCTTTGAATTCCTCTGGGATGACCGCGAACTCGCCCACCTAGCAGAGCAGTCGCAGACGTTCCAGCGCCTCAAGTCCCAGCTCCCCACCATGGGTCGCAACCCACGGCTCAGTGACCGGGAGTTTGAGCGGCAGTTGCAGCAGCTGTGCGTGATGATTGAGGAGCGCGTGGGGGAGCTGACTGGGCGGTGTGACTTGAACCACGGGGCGTATTTCCGGGACCCGAGGATTTTGAGAGTGGTGGCGCATTTTATTGAGAAGCGGGAGCTTCCGGAGTGGTGTAAGGGTGTGGATGGCGATATATGGCGGTGGAATGAGCATTTGAATGAGGTGCACTCGCTGCAGCTGCTGCAGCTGTCGCGGAGCGGCCGGGGAGCGGGGGGAGTGGGAGGTGATGGAGGGGCGGAAGGCAGTGGGGAGTCTATTTGTGCAGAGTGTAAGGGCGGTGCTTCTATGCTGAAATCGCTGTTTCGGAGTATGCGGGGAGGGAGTCAGAGGGAAGGGGGCCAGAGGGAGAGCGGAGGGCACCATGGGTTTTTGAGTGGGCATGCAATGCATCTCCCACACATGCCTGAATGGGCCAGTGGTGCCCGCAGCTTGCATCTCCCACATATGCCTGATTTCGCTAGTGGCGCCCGCAGTTTGCATCTCCCTCATTTGCCTGATCTGGCGAGTGGTGCCCGCGGTTTGCACCTTCCACACATGCCTGATTTTGCTAGTGGGGCAAAGGGCTTGGCTGAAGGGCTGTTAGGCCCGGGCAGCTTTGGGGGGCATCACAAGGGCAAGGCAGTGGGCTTTGGCGCTGCTGCTGCTGCTGCTGCTGGCACTGCTGCTGCTGCTGCTGCTGCTGTTGCTGCCGCTGCTGCTGCTGCTGCCGCCGCCGCTGCTGCTGCTGCTGGTGCTGCTGGTGGTGGTGGTGTTTCACAAACTCCTGACAGCCACACGGAGAGGGTGGGCAGCAGCGGGCAGCAGGCACGTCGGCTGATGATGCAGCGGTCTCGGTCGGCCTCCCATGGGTGATGTGAAAGACATGCCGATGCAGTGATGGTGAGGGGGTTTTTCTTAGGCGTCTAAAACATCCTCCCATCGATGATGTGAAAGAGTTGCTGATGCTGTGATGGTGAGAGTGGCGCGGGCATCAGCAGGGTGTGGACGCATGAGAGCCACACGGAGAGGGTGCATTGCAGTGGGCAGCAGGCACGGCGGCTGATGATGCAGCGGACTCGGTCGGCCTCCCATGCATGAGTCGTTGGTGCAATAAGAGTGGGTGGGAGGATTCATGATGGCTTCGGTGCATGACGTGCGAGCGAGACACACTGGTGCTTATATTCAGCTTATTAGGATGAGACAGTATTTGTTGTAAGGCAAACATTCGTGTTGATACCTATAATGCCTATGTGCACACAGGCTACATATTTAATTTATGTTGACAATATTCTATATACTGTGCATAAGGGCTGGATGCGGTACACTCGAGCCTTTGTATTGCACGACAGTTTGATGAATTGTACACTTTATGTCATGTTTCACAGTTATCACCAACACATGCTCTTCATACCAGTCCACAAGAGTCCCACGAACACATGCTTACTGATCCCGTTTCTAATTACCGTAAACGCCCGGATATAAGACAGTGTTGAATAGTAGACAGGGGTTGTCTACTATACGGGTGTCTCTTATAAACAGGCTAGCCTCATTATAAGACACCTATTTGTGTGTACGAGATAAGACATATATGTCTTATAATCGAAACTTCAATATATTATAGCGAAAGTTGAAATAACGCGTACATTTTTACCCTTGCGAAGCGCGAATTTCTCCACGCGCTGACCCAGGACCTACCAAATTTGCCTCTGCAGGTGTTCTCCATGACGTGGCGTCCCAGGCAGTGGTTGCCGAAGTGGCACCTTCGCAACATCCACACTCATTATGAGGAACTCTTTTTCAAGAAGTACGGAAAATATTTCTAAGTAGTTTAAAAAGTTTCCATTTATAAGATTTATAAGACACCCTAAAGCATCCCGTTTACAAGATAACTCAAGCATTTTTGCCCGTGTACGAGATAAGACATATATGTCTTATATCCGGGCGATGACGGTATATCCAGGACTTACCAGTACCCTGTTTTTGCTTGTCAATAAATAATATTTACAAACCACCATTAGAGTTAATAAGGAGAGCAACACCTGACATCAATCATCATATAGGTCCTCTGACTCATCCGAATCGTATCTCTCATCACCCCGTGCCTCGTGCAGTGGCCTCCGTGCCTCCTCCCTCCCATCATCCCTCCCTCGCTCCCAGCTGCCAGTGCTGCGGCCCGGAGCCATTCCTGCCTCCCGTCCACTCCCTACCCTCTTTCCACTCCCCACCCCCCTCCCACTCCCTGGTCCCGAGTCATACTCATACTCATGCCGCCCTGACATCCCTTGCTGACGTGGCCCCCTCACAGGAGTGTACTCCTCCACGTCATCCAGGTCAGAATCCTCGTCATCATAGTCACGTGTGGGTGCCGGGATGTGGCGGGGGGGTTGGCGAATAGCAGCAGTGCTGCCGCTCCTGCCATGGCTGTACGATGCATACGCACCACCATGCCCCCCAGGTGAGTCCATGTCAATGTCATCATATTCGTACTCTACACCCCCACCCATATCCTCCTCCTCCTCCTCCTCCTCCTCCTCCTCCTCCTCCTCCTCCTCCTCATCCTCATCCCGTCTCCCACCATAGTGCTCCCCCTCGCCTCGCCCATCATCACTCACGAAACGCACGGTGCTTCTCGGGCCGGCCCTGGTCAGCCCATCCGCTCTCCCTGCCGCGCCTCCTGCACCGAAACCGCCCACCCCAGTACCACCTGCTGGCAGCATTCGCTGGCTGTCCCCTCCCGTGTGCATGGCTGCTTCAGCAGACACCGCCCTGGGCACGCCCTGTCCTCCCGCAAGCCCTCTCCCTGTTGCTGCTGCCTCCACAGAAACTGACCGCGCCACTCCCCCCTGCGCTGACATCGTCCGCGGCACTCCCCTTCCTCTCCCTCCCCCTCTGCCCCCCCTTCCCCCTCGCCCTCTCCCCATCCCTCCGCCGCCCCTCCCTCTGCCTGCGGACCCAGCAGCTGCTACTCGCCGCACACCGTTGGAGAAACCACCACCATTGCCACGCGCCCCAGCAGGCTCCCTGGCAGAACCACCACCAGAGGCGGAGGAGGCAGCTGACACAGCCCGCGGCACTCCCCCTGCTGCGCCTGCCTGCGAGCTCCTTGTGCGCGGAACAGGCGGCTTTGCTTCCCGCCCTCTCCCACACTCCGCGTCCTCCTCGTTGTCCGACCGCACCCAGTCGCTATCCTCCCCATCCTCCTCCTCCTCCTCCCCTCTCCCGCTGCCCTTAAGCGAGAATTTCATCCCCGGCTGCTGCAGCTCCCACGGCCTCGGTTCCGCGATTTTCGCCTTTCTTTTCGCCTCTTCTTCCTCCGCCAGTTCTTCCAGCCGCTGCGGGCAGCAGCACGCGAAGACCTTCCTCTTCACGCTCTGCCCGTTGCGGTAGAAGATGCAGAGCGGCACGCCTATAGTGAGTCCGATTATAGTGAAGATGATCATGGCGGTCATGACGGCCCAGGGGCTCGCAGGCTTGTTGCGGCAGTCGGTGCTAAGGACATCTTTAAAGAGGCACGAGAAGTCGTAGCCGTGCTTGATGCTGTCTGCTGACATGTTGAACGGCGCGCTGCCGCTGCTGCTGGCGCTGCTGCTGCTGCTATTGGTGGCGCTGCTGCTTGGGTCAGCGCCTGGTGCGGGTGCGGATCCGGGGGCGGAAGGGGGAGGGGAGGCGGGTGCAGGAGCATTGGCTGGGTCTCCTGCTGGGACAGCGGGAAGGGGAGAGGGGAAAGGGGGAAGAAGGAACGGAAAGAGGTAAGGTACATGAAAACGAGGAAGGGGAAGGGGAAAATGCAGGCACGGACGCTGCGATGGGATGGGCTGAGGGGTGGGTTGAGGGATGGGTTGAGGGATCCAGAGTGCTGCGCGCAAATCAGGGATTTCTTGCTCGCGCCGATCAGGGATCCAGTGCCGAGGCAAGCAGACGAGCCGCTGCAGAATGGCAGCATGTTAGCATTTACAGGGATTGCTTTCTCTGAAGGTTAGAGATGGTCCTAGAACGTGCAGGGGCGTGAGAGGCGTGGAAGAAGGGTGTCTGGGGGATGGGAGAGGAGGGAGGGGCAGCAACGGGCAGCTGTGGCGGCGCACCTTGGAGTGTGTCCAGCGGCCGTGCTGCGTGTGCGACGGGAGGTTGTCGCACAGGGCTGGCGACGATGGCGAAAGCCAGCAGCAACACCAGCGGCGACCGACAGGCGACAGAAGCAAACGACAGCTTCACGGCCGTTGACCCACGAGCCGTTGACCCACGAGCCGTTGACCCACGAGCTGTTGACTCATGCGGCAGTTGTCTCACTTTCAGGCGCCTCGAAGCTTCCCGCGCCGGGAACTGCGGCGCGTCTGGCGGTAGCCTTCGTTGCTGCAATGCCGACTCCATGAGAGCTGCGACGCTAATATCGTCGGAGCGAGGAAGGGAGGACGATTGCGCGACGGCGCAGCAGCACGGAGGGAGGGGAAAAAGCGCGTGGAAAGGTGGAACGGTGGAAGTGGGAACGACGCACAGGCGCAGGCCGTCACGAATCGTGAATCTGTTTGGCGGATATAACGCTAAATCGGTGGTGTCGTGCGGCTCAAAATGGCACTCCCGGCCTACAGACGAAATAGTTACTACTCCTACTATGACGGTCCAGTAGCGAGCTAGTTCCGGCTACGGAACGGAAAGGACGAAGCTTGGTGAATGCGGATTTCACGCGGTAATCGCCGCCGAAAGCACGACCTGTCGCCAACTTTTGTTCGGAAATCATGCAGCGAAGTAGTCGCATCTGCTGTGCTCATTTCAGGAGAAAACTCAGGCTGGTTCATCCCGACGCCTGTCACGGTCACCCACCAGGAGTAGACGCAACGCAGCCTTCGTACGTCACTTCCCTTCTCTCAGAAACAGGCCGTCCCTTCCCTCCCTCACACGACTCGAGAAATCGGAGACTGGAAATCTGTCCTTTCTCCAGAGGTCCACAGACCAGAAGAGCCATGATTTCTCGCCGTGAAAACCCCCCCGCCCTCGAATCGCGTCGTCGATTCTCCCACCTGAAACAATCCCCTCCCTCTGGCCGCCCCATCGCGACGCGGCACGGCACCAGCAGCCTGACGCCGCGCATTGCTTATCTACGTGTCCTCGTGTCACTGACTCACTGCTGTTCGTCGTATTCGTGAGGTTGGTGGGAGAACGAAGAGCGGAGGATGTACATAGCGAGGTGTTTCAAGGAGTTCTCGCAGGGACTGTTCATGGGGCAAAATGAGGGAAGGCTGGCACCTGAGGTGCAGCACAGCTGGCGGGGTAGTGAAGTGATTTTGCTGCGGCTGGAAAAGGGTAGTCAATATTTTCAATACTGTATTGTTGGGATACTTTTCTTCACTTCATCATGAGCATTATGCTACAGGAAAAATGTTACAGTGCATATCTCATACTTTATAATACAATAAATATATATGCTCCAAAAAAACAAATGCTCACTAACCAGGCTGTTCTATCGAGTCAACTCTGAATCGGTAATACTATTGTGTCAGGCAAATAGCCACGAGACTTCAACTGCAAGCCCTGCTCTGCACCCTTCTAAACCCTCCCCACACTCACTCTAGTTTCACCAACCCCTCTTACGTTCCGCATGGGAGGCCGTCAGCAACTGCAAATCTGAAAAAACCTCCTCTACCCCCCATCCTCATTCCACCACGACCTCTCGCATCTCACGTATGGGAGGGACAGTGATAACGCGTGATGTGCTCTCGCAGGGTGCGATCATGCATCCGCGCCCTGCTCATGCCCACCCTATTGTCACTAGCATTGCTACCCCCAATCTCTCACATCTCACGCGTGGAAGGCCGACAGCGACCGCTGCACCATTTTCCTCGCCTTCTCCCATCGCTCCGTGCTCTCACAGTGTGGCTATCATGCGTCCTCATCCTGCTCATGCCCCACCCCACTGTTACCTTCACTGTTACCTCCCATCACAACAGCCCCTCTCTCACATCACCCATGGGAGGCCGACCGAGTCCGCTGCATCATCAGCCGCCGTGCCTGCCGCCCATTGCAATGCACCCTCTCCGTGTGGCTCTCATGCGTCCACACCCTGCTGATGCTTAAGCCACTCTCATCATCACTGCATCAGCATCTCGTTCACATCACCCTTGGGAGGCCGACCGCGACCGCTGCATCATCAGCCGCCGTCAGGAGTTTGTGACCGCGACCGCGACCACAAACACCCTCTCTGTGTGGGTATCAGGAGTTTGTGAACACCAGCAGCAGCAGGGCCACCACCATCACACACATCACCCATGGGAGGCCGACCGAGACCGCTGCATCATCAGCCGTCGTGCCTGCTGCCCATTGCAATGCACCCTCTCCCTGTGGCTCTCATGCGTTCGCACCCGGCTGATGCTCGCGCCACTCTAACCGTCACTGCATCAGCATCTCTTTTAGGCGCCTAAGAAAAAACCTCTCACCATCACTGCATCAGCATCTCTTCACATCACCCATGGGAGGCCGACCGAGTCCGCTGCATCATCAGCTGCCGTGTCTGCTGCCAATTGCTGCCCACCCTCTCCATGTGGCTGTCAGGAGTTTGTGAACCACCACCAGCAACGGCGGCAGCGGCAGCAGCAGCATCGGCGGCAGCAGCAGCATCAGCAGCAGCAACAGCAGCAGCAGCGGCAGCAGCAGTGCCAGCAGCAGCAGCAGGAGGAGCGCCACAGCCCACTGCCTTGACCTTGTGGCGCCCCCCAGAGCTGCCCGGGCGTAACAGCCCTTCAGCCAAGCCCTTTGCCCCACTCGCAAAATCAGGCATGTGTGGAAGGTGCAAGCTGCGTGCTCCGCTGACAAAGTCAGGCATAGGTGGGAGATGCACTGCATGCCCACTCAGAAACCTGTGGTGCCCTCCGCTCTCCCTCTGGCTGCCTTCCCTCTGACTCCCTCCCCGCATACTCCTAAACATCGATTTCAGCCTAGAAGCACCACCTTTACACTCTGCACAAATAGACTCCCCACTGCCTTCCATCCCTCCATCACCTCCCAGTCCTCCCGCTACCCGGCGGCTTCGCGACAACTGCAGCACCTGCAGCGAGTGCACCTCGTTCAAATGCTCATTCCACCGCCATATATCCCCGTCCACATTCTTCGACCACTCCGGAAGCTCCCGCTTCTCAATAAAATGCGCCACCACCCTCAGAATCCTCGGGTCCCGGAAATACGCCCCGTGGTTCAAGTCACACCGGCCAGTCAGCTCCCCCATGCGCTCCTCAATCAACACACACAGCTGCTGCAGCTGCCGCTCGAACTCGCGGTCGGTGAGTCGCGGGTTTCGCCCCATGGTGGGCAGCTGGGACTTGAGGCGCTGGAACGTCTGCGACTGCTCTGCCAGGTGGGCGAGTTCTCGATCATCCCAGAGGAACTCAAAGGCCAGCTTCTCACGCGGCTCACTGGTGCTGCTTGTACTGGGGCCAGCAGGACTGGGCGCAGCGCCGGATGGAGCAGCGGATGGAGCAGCGGATGGAGCAGCGGATGGAGCAGCGGATGCAACAGGACCAGATGAAACCACCCCATCCGCACTGTCACTCTCCCCTTCCCCGTCTCCCTCTCCCCCGACCGTTTCTGTCCCACCTGCCAGAGACCCAAGCCCTCCCCCCTTGCCGCCCTCCTTGCTCCTCGCACTGCCTGAGCGCTTCAGCAGCAGTCCTCGTGCGCCCCCCCGCTTCCGGAACACGCTGTGGGTGTTCTTCCTCAGCGCGGCAGCCAGTGCTGTGTGAGGCGCCTCGCGCTCGCCCTTGTTTCCATCACCTTCCCCACTTCCACTACCCCCCTCCTTTCCATCACCCTCCCCACTTCCACTACCCCCCTCCTTTCCATCACCCTCCCCACTTCCACTACCCCCTTCGCCCAAGCGGGGTTGCACAGAAGCAGCGGGGTTTAGCATGAGCCACTCCTGCTGCTGCTGCTGCGCGGTGCCAGTGCCAGTGGCAGTGCTGCTGCTGCTGCTGCTGCTGCTGCTGCTGCTGCTGCTGCGCGCGGTGCCAGTGCCAGTGGCAGTGCTGCTGCTGCTGCTGCTGCTGCTGCTGCTGCTGCTGCGCGGTGCCAGTGCCAGTGGCAGTGCTGCTGCTGCTGCTGCTGCTGCTGCGCGGTGCCAGTGCCAGTGGCAGTGCTGCTGCTGCCGCCGTCACCACGAGGCGTGCGGCCACGGCGATGGGCGACAGGGGACGGCTCCAGCCAATCGGGTTGCTCCACGGTGTCGTCCTCATACCCTGGCATGAGCTCTCCCTTGAGCGACTTGGTCTTTGCCTCTGCCAGGAGTTTCTAAGAAGTGGAGGAGAGAGGGGGGCGGGAGAAGGATAGGGAGAGACAGAGGGAAAAGCAACCGCACAGGGAAAAGCAACAAGGCTGGCAGCAGCGCTTACCTGCACATTCCAGTGGTCGACCAAACCAGCCTGCGTGCTCCCGCCCTTACATTCTACGTTCGATACCTGCACATTCCAATGATCCACTTGCTGTGTGGTCAGCTCCATGTCCACCTGCTCGTCCTCAAACACATACATGTAGGCATAGCTCAAATTCCCAGAGACAGCTCAAAGCTGACCACCCTGCACGTACTGAACCTTGTGTCTTACATACCTGCACATTCCAGTGATCAACTTGCTGCGTGGCCAGCTCCATGTCCAGGTGCTCGTCCGCATACACGTGCGCGTAACTCAGGTCTGTCTGGGTGGCAGTAACAGGGTACCAAGCAGACCAGCCCACATGCTCCGACTCGTCTGAATTATGTTACCTGCACGTTCCAATGGTCGACCTGCTGCGTGGCCAGCTCCATGTCCAGGTGCTCGTCCACATACACGTATGCATAACTCAAATCCCCCGGAGACAGCCCAAAGCTGACAGCCACCACGGCCTGCTGAATCCACCCGGTCACCAGCGGGGCGATGAGGTGCGAGAGGAGGGACAGGATGGCAGCGGGGAGGAAGAAGAGCACGTCCCACACGAGCACCACGGAGCAGTGGAACAGGAAGGAGCACCACACTCGCTGGGGGGCGTAGCGCGTGGGGGCTTTTGGGAGTGGCGCCCAGGGGGTCTGCTTCAGGAGTTTTGTCAGGTGGGGGAAGACATAGGCTCGCGTGATTGGCTCCATGGATAGAGCGAGGCTCGCCTGGGGGAGAAGGAAGGAGAAGAGGGAACGGTGAAGGGGAGGAGAGGAAAGGGAGGCAGGGAATGGGAGGAGGAGGGGGAGTGGAGGGGAAGGTGGGTGTTTCATTGGAGAGATGGCAAAAGCAATGAAGAGACGAGTAAGGTGAGGAGAGGGGGAAGAGTGAAGGAAGGTGGGAAAACGTGACATGGTATTCGACCAGCCGACGGGCACTCGCCTGGTGAGTGAACGAGGGTGGGGACGAATGGGGTTGGCAAGGGGTGGCAGGGTGTGGCAGGGTGTGGCAGGGTGTGGCAGGGTGTGGCAGGGTGTGGCAGGGGGTGGTAGCGGGTGGCACACTGACCTCGTCCAGCTTCCCAGCGTGAATGACGAGGGCGGACATGGCAGGCGAGCAGCTGAAGGGCACTCGCCCTGTGAGAGAACCAAGGGTGGGGTCGAATGGGGTTGGCAGGGGGTAGCAGGGGATGGGTCGACTCACCTCATCAAGTTTGCCGGCGTGAATGACGAGCCGGGTTGTGGTAGAGGTTGCCGCTGTACAGCACTGTGTTGCCCGTGGCCTGGAGTGGGGGAGGGGGAGGAAGGGGGGGTGGGGAGAGGCAGGGATTGCAAGAAGGTGGTTGAGAAGCGAAGGAGAGCAAAGGCGGGCTGTGGTTGAGATTGCCTCAGCACCTCTGTGTGTTGCCCATGGCCTGAAAGGAGGGGGAGGACTCATTTAGAATCTAAAAACAGGGTTGGCGGCGGCTGATCTGGCACTGCCGAATGCGTTCTTTGAGAATTCTCAAACAGGGTTGGTGGCTGATGTGACACTGCCTGTGTGACGCACAGTGGTGCGCAGAGGGTGAGGGGTTACGGAGCGGAGTGGGGAATATGATGGGGGGAGGGTGGAGTGGGGTGGGAGAATGGAGAGAGGCAGAAGAGACTACCTACCACCAACGCCCCGATACAACTACATCCAGCACTCCCACTCACATCCACTGCAGTGCTGCCCCCCAACACACCTCGATACCCCACACCACACCTTGTGAGGCACTTAGGGCGTATTCCTAGCTTTGGGTCATCCGTTGTTTGTAACATCCGAGAATTAAGGTAGCCAATCGGAAAACACGCGGTTCGAAATTTGAATTTTTCGATTGGATACCGCAAATTTCGGATGACATGAAGCCGGGATGACACAAGGCCAGGAATACGCCCTTAACATGGCTGTGTGGTTGCCCTCCCACTGATCGATATTCAGCACTCCCACTCACATCCATGGTGAAACTACGTACCACCAACGCCCCAATGCAACTACATTCAGCAGTCACTCACCCTACACCCACATCTCGGTACACTCACACCTGGGCACACTCACACCTCGGTACACTCACACCTCGGTACACTCACACCTGGGCACACTCACACCTGGACACACTCAGACCTGGGCACACTCACACGTCCGTACACCCATGCTTTGTGACACTCACGTCCATGATCTGCTTGACGAGCACGAGCAGCATGATGATGCCAGCGTCGTTGCCCTCCAACTCACATCCACTGCAGAGCTGTCCCCAACACATCTCGTTACACCCACACCTCGTTACACCCACACCTCGTTACACCCACACCTCGTTACACCCACACCTCGTTACACCCACACCTCGTTACACCCACACCTCGTTACACCCACACCTCGTTACACCCACACCTCGTTACACCCACATCTCGTTACACCCACACCTCGTTACACCCACACCTCGTTACACCCACACCTCGTTACACCCACACCTCGTTACACCCACACCTCGTTACACCCACACCTCGTTACACCCACATCTCGTTACACCCACATCTCGTTACACCCACACCTCGTTACACCCACACCTCGTTACACCCACACCTCGTTACACCCACACCTCGTTACACCCACACCTCGTTACACCCACATCTCGTTACACCCACACCTCGTTACACCCACACCTTGTTACACCCACACCTCGTTACACCCACATCTCGTTACACCCACACCTCGTTACACCCACACCTCGTGACACTCACGTCCATGATCTGCTTGACCAAGACAAGAAGCATGATGCCAGTGGCGATGAAGACGTTGAGCAGCAGGACGAGGTGAGGGCCCGACTCCGCGTAGAACCTGCGAGAAGAAGTAAGGAGAAAACACAAGGCAGTATTTGAGTTATTTGAGTTTCTTTCAGACTTGTTGAAAACGACGAGGAAGTCGAGAAGCACGATCAGGTGAGGGCGCGACTCCTAGTAAGTGAAAGCTGTGGGAGGGGGGAGGAGGGGGGGTGAGAAAGCAAACACTGGTTGCATTTGGGAACTCTCAAACGCAATGAAGAAGTTCAGGTGAGGGCGTGACTCAGGTGAGGGCGTGACTCAGGTGAGGGCGTGACTCAGGTGAGGGCGTGACTCAGGTGAGGGCGTGACTCAGGTGAGGGCGTGACTCAGGTGAGGGCGTGACTCAGGTGAGGGCGTGACTCAGGTGAGGGCGTGACTCAGGTGAAGGCGTGACTCCGCATAGAACCTTGTGGGGTTTGAGAAGCAAGGGGGAAGGTTGGGAGGGGAGGAAGGAGAGGACGGAGTTCCGATGCGCCTCTCATTTCGCGGTTTTGGCAGCGCCTCACATGGAAGTCGAGGAGCAGGAGGTGAGGAGCAGGAGCAGGACCAGCTTCCGTGTGGGCGAGAATGAAGAGGAACGTGAGCAGCACGCCCACCCCCACAGACAGCAGCACGCCAGCCCAGCTCCACACAATCACGGGTACGACTGACAGCACTGTTCCACTCAACTCAAGCCAAGCCACTCACTCTTGCGGTTTGCCTGCCATGAGCAGCACGAGCACCTCCCAGAGCGCCGTGTACGCGAGAATGAAGAGGAACGTGAGCAGCACGCCCACACCCACGGACAGCAGCATGCGCGCGAAGCCGTGGCGCTGCCACTTCTTGATGTAGAAGGGCGTGCCCAGGAACACCAGCGCGCCCAGCGCGTTGGAGACGGGCGACGTGGCCTGGCGGAACGACAGGAAGCGGCGCTGCTGCACGGCTGGCAGGCCGAGAAGGGTGTCCAGCCATTGGTGGAGAGCCCACGGGTAGGTCTCTTTCACTCCGATCACCTTTTGCCCGTTGAACCTGCCAGTAGGGGGGTGGAGGGAGTCAAGGGGGTGGAGGGAGTCAAGGGGGGAAGGGGAAGGAGCCCAGCGCGTTGATGACGGGCGACGTGGCCTGGCGGAAGGACAGGAAGCGGCGCTGCCGCACTGCTGGGAGGTCGAGAACGAGTCCAGCCATTGGTGGAGCGCCCAGGGGTAGGTCTCTTTCACTCCGCTCACCCTCTGCCCATTGAACCTGGGTGAAGGGAGGTTGGTGGGGAGGGGGGCGCAAGGAGAGCAGGGCAGTGGAGTTCGGTGCAGAGTGGTAGAGGAAGCGGCGCTTCCGTACGGCTGCCATGCTCAGCATGGTGTCCAGCCATTGGTGGAGAGCCCATGGGCAGGTCTCTTAGGTCTCTTTCACGCCGCTCACCCTCTGTCCGTTGAACCTGCTCGTAAGGAGATTGGTGCAGAGGGTTAGAGAACAGTTGGTGCTGCCGTTAATACCTCTCCCACCCAGCTTCCCACCCTTGTGCTTGTTACTTGTATCTCACTTGCGCCTCACTGCCTCACACCCTTCCTACGCTCCCTTCACTCCCTCCCTCCCTCCCTCACTCACTCACCCTCGGTAAACAACGAGGAAGGGGAAGAAGCGCCACCACGAGTCAGACAAGTCGAGGCGGCGCCACTTCTTGATTAAATCGTAGCCACGCCTGTGCGCCGTCCAGAACCGCTGCGCCAGACTCTACCGGCCACTCCCCTCCCTTGTGCTCTCTTCTTCTTTTCTCACTCACTCACCCACTCACTCCCTTCACTCACCCTCTGTAAACAACGAGGAGGGGGAAGAGGCGCCACCACGAGTCGGACAAGTCGAGGCGCTGCCACTTCTTAATCAAATCGTATCCCCGCCTGTGCGCCGTCCAGAACCGCTGCGCCACCGCCGGGTGCCACTCCGCCTTGGGGCGCCGCGCTAACTTTGCCATGTACTGCGCGCGCCAAGGGGGAGAGGGGTATCAGAATCCGACGCTCACCTTCATCGCGGCCGTTACGCGCCCCGCATGCGTGTTCGAGCCGTCCCAGTGGAACGGGTACGGAATTCCCGGGAGCGCGGAGCACGGCAAGTCGCGCCAGACCGCGTCCTGCCCGATCGGGCCGGGCGCTAACAGCCGGCTGAGTTTCCGGCAGAAGTTCTGCTCGCCGGCAGGCGGCGGTTGGTACCACATCGGCGCGCCGTCGGCGGGCGGCGCGTCGAACGTGCCGTGAACCACGATCACGTAGTGGTTCTCGCTGTTAATGTCGAAGTCCACGCGTCGCACGCGGATTGGTGCCTCGATGTTGTTCGGTTTCGCGTCAATAGCCTCTCCGCTTCCCGCACCGCCGCTCGCCGCGCTTCCTACGAAGAGGGAGAGGGATTTCGCGAACTGCTTTCGCGAACTGCTGTCGCCATCGCCGGAGGCGTCGTCGGAGTCGTCGTCGCTGCATTCGTTTGCGACTTTGTCGCTCGTTCCACCAATACATCGACATTGGAGTGTCGGTTCCGTTGAACCGTTCGCTTGGCCGGAATCTGACGCTTCGCTGCTATCTTGCCGTGGACTCCGCCCGTGCGTGTTGATAACATCCCCAAAATGTTGCTGACCCAAACTTGACCTTGGGTCGAATCTGGCCCTAAACTAAGGGTGCGTTCCTGGCTGGTGTCAAGCTTCGGGCCTTCCCGGGAAGACCCGAAGCTTTGGGTTAAAGTTCCTGTCAAACCTTGTGTTTTCCGGAAACAGGGGCAATTTTTGGCCGGAAGACCCGAAGTTGGTCTCGGATGACCCAAAGTGGGTCTAACTTCCGGTCATCCGCGGATGACCGGAAGCTTGACACGCGCCAGGAACGCACCCTAACCCAAAAGTGACCCCAAAGTAACTTTTGGGTCAGATTTTCAAATCAGGTCAGGTTCAGGTCAGTGAGTTTTTCGACCCAAAAGTAACCTGACCCGCACAGCCCTTGGGGATCTGGGGACGCGGGTTCGATACTTGTCGCTGGCAGCTCTCCTCCAATTTTCACAAAAATGTGCGGAAAACAACAAGCAACACGTACCAAAATTTTTCAAGGACTATGGCTGGAATTGATATCCTTACCTTGAGACTCCACAATTGTCATTCTAAACAATTGGGCTAATCAAGCTGCAGAACTCAGGAACTTAGATTTTATTACAGCCGAAACACCAACCACTGCGCTGAAAACATATCATTAGTAAGAATCGATGCCTTGCGAGATTCGATCCCCTTACCTTCGGATCAGCGCTCGAGCAATGAACCACTATCCCAAATTCTCACAACGTTTGGCAGTTTGTAAATTCTCCAATAACAATTTTTACGACGAAATCAATTCTGGCTAGGGTTTCAAATTTCATTGTCCTTCTGGTGGTGTCCACCAACTTCACTTCCCAACATTTCGCATTTAGATCTACCTGCTCCAATCTTGAATCTTAGAGATTTCACTAGCCCTTCCCTCTACCAGCTACCTTGAGCGCTTTCTTAAAATTACCCCCTACCCCGCCCTCTTTCCATTTCTATCTGTCCTAATTGCAGGCTTCGATTACTGTCACCAACAGCTACTTTCTAGGGCGCGACGGGAGCTGCTACGTCGCGAGCAGCTAAGGGACGCGACGGGCGCTGCGTTGAGCATCTAAGGGACACGACGGGCGCGACTACGTCGTGGCAGCTTAGGGACGCGCCGGGCGCTGCGACGGGCGCTGCGACAAGAGCCGCTAAGTACGCGCCTTACTGCTATTTCCCATTGTTAACAATCTGGGTTTCTTTCTTTCAAGTTATACCTTCTAATCGAAATTATTATTGCATTCTATTACATGTACCTTCGATTTTTTTTTTTTAACGGCCCCTACCTCACGCAACCCGCGACCCGCCCCTTAAGGCCCCGTCGCGCCGCCCCTTAGCCGCTCGCGCGCGGTCGTTTTCATACGTGCGCCCCGCCTGCTGCCCGCGCGCGCCTTATTTCCCTCGCGCGCGGCCCGTCGCCTACTCGCGCACGCCCCGCAGCCGCCCGTCGCCTGCTCGCGCACGCCCCGCAGCCGCCCGTCGCCTGCTCGCGCACGCCCCGCAGCCGCCCGTCGCCTGCTAGCGCACGCCCCGCAGCCGCTCGTAGCCTGCTCGCGCACGCCCCGCAGCCGCCCGTCGCCTGCTCGCGCCCGCCCCGCAGGCCCGCAGCCCGCTGTCGCAGCGGCCGCCCGCCCGCAGCCGCCCGTCGCCTGCTCGCGCACGCCCCGCAGCCGCCCGTCGCCTGCTCGCGCACGCCCCGCTGCCCGCAGCCGCTCGTACGCCGCTGCTTCCGCTGCTGCTTGCGCACTGCTGCCGCCTGTGCGCCGCCGCTGCCCGTGCGCCGTCGCTGCTCCTACGCTGCCGCTGCCCGTGCGCTGCCGCTGCCCGTGCACCGCCGTTCCCCGTGCGCCGCTGCCGCCCGTGCGCTTCTGCAGCCGCCGCCCGCGAGGCACTCGCTCTCACTGTTGTTTATTTTCTACCTACCGCGCACACTGCTGCCACTGCAGCTGCCACCAGTGCACCGTTGCAGCTCCTGCTGCCACGCTACCTACTACTGCCGCTCGTGTGCCACTACGGACAGTCGACCCCGCCCGCGCCTTGCCTAGCGGCCCCGCCGGCCCCGTTGACCCTCCGCACACCTTTCCAGCGGCCTGATTCCTACTACTACTGTTACTACTGCTACTACTACTACTGCTACTGTCACTATGGCTAGTCCGCCAGTTCTAGCTTTCGATGCCGAGGGCCGTCCAGTGAAGTTCGAAACCTGGCTAGATGACCTGCACCTGTTCCTACAGCTCACTGCCAAGGAAGATATCTCACTGTACGACCACGCCCTAGGCCATGCCACTGCCCCTGACTCGTCTGCTGACAGCACTCTGCGTTCCCAGTGGCAGACCCGTGATGCGCACGCTCGCTTTGCTATTCGCAACTCCCTGCCGCTAGACGAGCGCGAGCACTTCGGCCAGTGCAAGACTGCTAAGGACCTCTACACCGCTGTAGTTGCCCGCTACTCCTCACCCGCTTCTGCCACGCTAGGCCGCCTCACTCTCCCCTACCTGTTCCCCGACCTAGCCTCCTTTCACACTGTCGCAGACCTCATCACCCACCTTAAGACTAGTGAGGCCCGCTTTCGCGCTGCTATGCCTGCCGAGTTTCTCACTAGCAACCCCCCCCCGCTCTGGATCACTCTCTACCACATCGTCACCCGCCTCCCTGACTCTCTGCGCGCAGTCAGGGACCACTTCCTCTCTCGCTCCCCCACTGAGCTCACTGTTGCCCTCCTCGAGAAGGAACTGCTTGCAGCTGAGGCGAGCATCGTCGCTGTAGGCACCTCTCGTGGCGACCCCCGCACCCCGTTCTTTGAGGGGTGTTCCCCTTCCCCCCTCCTCCCCTCTGTCGCCTCTGCTGCTGCTGTCGACCTTCTTGGTGCTGAGAAGGTCGGGACCGCGTCTGCTTCGAGCGGGCGCCGCAGGAACAAAGGGGGCAGGGGTGGGGGTGGCGGCGGAGGAGGTGGGGGTGGAGGCGGTGGGAGTGGAGGCGCGGCTGGGGAGACTAGTGGCGGCAGTGGGGGAGGAGACAGCAGCGGTGGGAGTGGTGGTGGAGGCGGCAGCGGAGGCGGAGGTGGTCGTGGCGGCGGCAGGGGTGGAGGTGGCCGGGGCGGCGGCGGTGGGGGTGGTGGTCGTGGAGGCACTGGCGGAGGGCAGAGTCAGCAGCCCGCCCCGACGCTTCAGGCCGCCCGTGAGTGGTATGCGCAGCGTAGCTTTACCTGCACGTACGTCATTCGCACAGGTGACCGCAGCGGCCAGCAGTGTGGGAGGCCGCACCCCACGCAGCGCTGCTTCGCGCGCCTTAACGACGCGTGGCGCACTCAGTTTCCTGCTGCCACTGAGCTGCCGCGCTGGGCTGATCTGGAAAAGAGGGGTGTTGATATTTGGGCTTTAGACTTTGATGCTATTCTCACTGCCATGTATGCGATGTCTATTAGTGGAGAGGGTACTCAGTACTTGCGTGTTCCGCCCGACCCGGGCATTCAGGCCAGTCCGGCTGCCGCTCTAGGTGCTAGTGCGTCTGCTCCCACAGGTCCTGGTGAGGCTGCAGCCCTAGGTGCTCGTGCGTCCGTGCCCCCTGGTACTGAGTCGACTGCAGCACTGCACACCTTCACACTGGACTCCGGTGCTTCTCGCTCCTTCTTTCGTGACCGCACTGTCCTTGAGCCACTCGCTCGGCCAGTTGCTGTCTCCCTTGCTGACCCCTCTGGGGGTCCGGTCATTGCGACCTCCTCCACTGTCCTTCCTTGTCCGGCGGTCCCGTCCGGCACGCTGTCAGGTCTCTACCTCCCCTCGTTCTCCACGAACTTGGTGGCAGGTAGTGCGCTCCAGGACGGGGGTGTTCACCAGTTCACCCCTGCCTACGAGCGCGTGACACACTGCACGTGTGCTCGGACGGGTCGCCACCTGGCTACCTTCACTCGGGAGCCGGGGTCGGACCTTTACACACTGACCACTGAGTCCCCTCAGGTAGCTGCGTCCGCGTCTGCGTCTGCGTCAGGTCAGCTGTCCGCCCCCTGCTCGTGTCGCTCTCTGGCGCATGAGACTGTCCTTTGGCACCACCGCCTTGGTCACCCGTCTGTGCAGCGCCTTCGGGCCATGCACAAACGGGACCTTGTTGCTGGTCTTCCCAGGGTACTCCCTCCCCTTCCAGACTCGCCTGCTCCTCCCTGTATTCCCTGTGTCGAGGGGCGGCAGCGCGCCGCTCCTCACTCCTCCTCCTTTCCCCCGACAACTGCTCCTTTGCAGACGCTCCACTTGGACGTGTGGGGCCCAGCCCGCGTCCGTGGCCAGGGTCAGGAGAGGTACTTCCTGATTGTTGTTGACGACTTCTCGCGCTTCACCACGGTCTTCCCCTTGCGCGCCAAGGGTGACGTCCCTGATGTATTGATCCCCTGGATCCGCAGATCTCGTCTCCAGCTCAGTGAGCGTTTCCGCTCCGACTTTCCTGTCCTGCGTCTGCACTCTGACAGAGGTGGGGAGTTTACCTCTGGCCTCTTGGAGGCCTTCTGTCAGCAGGAGGGCATTGAGCAGTCGTACACGCTTCCGGCCTCTCCACATCAGAATGGGGTTGCTGAGCGCCGCATTGGCTTGGTCATGGAGGTCGCTCGTACCTCCTTGGTTCATGCGGCTGCCCCCCACTTTCTGTGGTCGTTTGCAGTCCGATACGCTGCGCATCAGCTCAACCTCTGGCCCCGTGTCTCCTTGCCCGAGACTTCTCCGACACTGCGTTGGACGGGAGAGGCTGGCGATGCGTCGCGTTTTCGGGTCTGGGGATCCCGAGCTTTTGTCCGCGACACGTCCGCGGACAAGCTCTCCCGTCGCGCTGTCCCCTGCGTCTTCCTTGGCTTTGTCCCGGACGCCCCTGGCTGGCAGTTCTACCACCCCACCTCGCGTCGTGTCCTGGCCTCCCAGGACGTCACTTTTGACGAGT